AAATTGTAAAATATTAATACTCTACAACAGAAAATATTCAAAAGGGATTACGTTACTGGATTTAGTGTAATAAATAAAAAATTATTGCAATGAATTTAATTTTTTTTTTGTTAGAGTTATCCTTTTTTATCTACTTTAATTTTTTTATTGGAATTCAATCTAGTAAGTAGACGTTTCTTGTCAATGCTTAATAAAAAATCGAAACTTTAAATTATAAAATTAATTTAATTCATCATGATTTAAAATCCTTTTCATTTCAAATCTTTTATTCGATAAATTTATTTCATTTATTTGTTAAATTTCTCATTTTAAATTTATTAGAGACCTAGTTTTTAAATTTAAAAAAAAAGGGACTATAAAAAATTATTTAGTTTTTTTGATGAAGAGAGGAAATTTTTATTTAAAAAAATTCAATTAATTTTCAATGATAGTGACAATCACTCTGTCACCGAAGGATATCTAGAGAAAACGTCTTAAATATAATAGACTAAGTAAAATGAGCGATTAAGGTTTAAGTAAAGATCAATCTTCTTAATGAATTCAATAACCAAATAGTACAAATAGAAAGTTAATCGTGATTCGGATCAATATACATTGAACACTCTGAGTGGCTTCTTAAAATGAATACCAACGTGCTTTAACACACTCTCTCTCTACTCCTCAGTACTCTTTAACTTGCAGTACTCAGCGTTCAATATTTCCCAAAGGTATTCGGTCAGAATAATAAGTGTGCGCGTGCACGTAAACACAGATAGATCAGTTACAGAGGTATGGACTTCTGTAATGCAGTTTTAGTTCTCTGACCCAACCTACTAATTTCCGTAGACTACGTGGATGTGCCTGTCAACAACTGCATTCAATATTACTATCTAAAATCACGCCTCAATAATTATTGACGTGTTTTTATACCCAGCTTGTGTTCTACCTATACCTTATTCGACACTCTACTAAATTAGTGATGCTATCTACTTTTTACTCCTAAAATACCACGATAGAAGCCAAGGTTGAGATGTATTTTTTATTTTTAGCCTATTTTTAAAAATTTATTTTTCATTTTGCCGCCGACAATATTTAATGGACGTTTGAACCTATAACGTATATAAATTGGAGATGGGCGTCGTTGAACGACTCTCGTCTATCATCAATCACTAAAAAATGCTCGTTATTAATCTCTTGTGGGGATGGATTCCAAGTGAAAATGAAAATAGAACAATACAAAGCATAATCACCATAGAAACTCCTGACATATTTTTTTAACGGCTGCTAATTAGCACAAGACTTGAAAGCATTTGCTTCGAGGTAGATTACTTTATTGTAACTTATAAGAACTTGGACGCAAATGAAACTTGCTATCGCATAGGAAAGTTTTGTGTTTCCAAGACCGGCAGGATTTTCCGGGCTCACAAGCTTGAGAGAGTGTTATAACGTGACTACTGCAGAAGATAGTTTCTCGCCTAGTGTCTCACGATCTTGTCATGTGCATCTCCAGAATAATCCGTCAACGCGAAGCGCAAGCATGTTAAACGTAATTACTTTACTAATCTCTTATACATATAATACCTCACTAAGTAAACGCATCATTAACAAAAAGTTCTCTTTTAATTTGTAAATCGGATTTATCATGGTATTCGACACGTTCTTTTCTCATCGTTTATCAGTCATTGTTTTTTTAATTAAAAAAATTTTCAATTAATTAGTTCTAATATTTTTTATTTTATAATCAGTTCGATTTCAGTTTTCATTTTATAGGTTTATTTATATTTAATAAAATAAATAATATTGGTGAAAAAAATTATTTGATTGAATGCAACATGTTTGCTTCAAAAATTGATATCTAGATCAACAAAATGTAAAAGACAGTAATTTTTTTATTCAATATTCTGTTGTTAAAATTTCATTATTTTCATGATATTCTATTTTGTTCGTACATTTAATAATTTATTTTTCCGATGAATGAAAAAAGTATATCCCAAATTTGAAAGCATGCAAAATTTATCAACTCACTATTTGGAGCCAAATATGTTGGTTGCATCGCCTGGGGGTCCAGTAAAATATAATTAACGAGAAAAACGAAGAGAAATCTAACACTGGTGCAAATAACGATGATTATAGTAAGCCTCTCTCGACCCATGTCCATCAAAAAAATAGAGTATAATATTTAAACTTATTCAGAATGAAAATGAAGGCTGAGCTATCGTTAAAAAGGGTTTACAGCATCAGTCGCAGAAGCAGCTGGCTTATATCTCTTTACATATTGGAGTTTTAAAATTCTCTATACATCAAAAAATGAAATTAGAGACTGGTCTTAGGAAGGAAAAAGCGTTGGCGGACTGAAAACGGCAGATGGTTCAAGGTAAAGGTGCATATTCAGGTATACGAACCAACAGATCGGAAGCAAGGGCGATCTGGAATAGACTAGAGAGAAGAAGATGCCGTGCACCTGCTCTCTCGTTATGTGTGTTATATATACATAAAGACAGAATCCTTGAAGGCGCGCCGGGATGGAAACATTTTTTAAACACAAGCCCTCTCCTTTTGCCGTCATCTTGATCTTACAAGTATTCTTTTACCACCACTGGCCATCAGCATGACAGCCACTACGGGTTTATAAAACTCCCTGAAAAAGCCACAGCCAGGCAGGAAGAAAATTGCCTCGCGCCAAAGGCTATCAAGTCTTTCCAGCCTTTCTCTTTTTTTACTTTTTCATTACTTTTTTTCTTTTTTGTTTCGCTCACGACCCCTCTGATGCTCACCATATGTCGATTCGACAACGGTAAGAGATTATTTCCTTTCAAGCCCGTTCACTGATATCTCCAAATGCCTGTCGATTGCAGTCGCATTTCAAGAAAAAGTCTCTCGTTGACGACAACTTGGCTGATGTCCTACTGCTTTTTTTCTCATCTACCGTCTCTTCACTTTTAAAAGCCTGCATGGTGTATGCTAATGCATTATTTACATGCGATCCGAGACTCGGACTACAGTCACGAGGGGAAGGCAGGTGCTCTTTTACCAACTCGCGAGAATTATGAGCCTTTTTACTGTTTCCTACTGGTCCTGGCAGTGATTTTTTTTTCGCTATTTTAATCGCTACAATAGTTTCATATCTGGATTATCCCTCTGACGTTTATGTATCACCAAGTCTTGGAATGATAATAAGAGGAAATATTATTCCCATACGTAACTTTGCTAAGTAGTAAACATGCTATCAAGTTGAAAGAGTTGGTGGATGTTTCTAAATAGTTAATTTTATGTTGTTGAATTTAACTAACGGATGTTTATAAAAGCCAAAAATCTGTTTTCCAGATAAATCTTCTAGATTTTAAATTATTTACAGTGAATTAAAAACTTAATAAGAACATCGCAATGTAAAGTACAGGATTTTTATAATCTTTATGAAACTAACAAAAAACATTCGTGAAAGGAGATTAAATTAATGGAAAAATAGCAATTAAAATGTTTGTAATGTTTTTGTTGAATTTAAATAACTTGGTAGAAAAGAGGAGTTAATTGGAGTGACTTTGGATTTATAAAAATCATTGGTAAGGAAAAAATATGAAAATTTTTTTTTTGATCATCTTGGAATCTTGTTTAGTATTATCGTGACTTGGAAGAGTTATGTAAATTCTCTTAGGAAATTTTTTAAATCATCTAGTCCTCCATTGTGCTTTACATCACCAATCAAAAAATGTTTATCATCATGTTAGTTATCTTACGATTCATCAATAACAAAATTTTTACTTTTACATCATATCATTTTATGATTTACTAATGGTTTTCTCTACTTGAAATAAAAAAAATTTCTCTACACATTTTAAAAAATAAAACTGAGAGAAAAGATATTTTTATGAAGCATATGTCACAATAAAGTGAAAGTAATATTTCGATTCAGGCTGAACAATGCAACTCAAATCGAGCATTATATTTCATAGCACTAGAAAAATCTAATTTTATTGACCCGCATCGAATGCAAAATATAAATGGAGGTGAATAAAAAAATAATGAAAAGCCCAAAAAATGTATTTGAATAAAACTGGAATACTTGATGTTCACTTTTAGGATAAGATAGAATTTCAGTTGAAAACCATCAGGCTCTTCTACTCGACTTGATCAAAGTCAATGTTTAAACCGCTAATTAGCCGCGCTTTATAGGCTTCTCGCCGTGTTTACCCGGGAGGGGAGTCTTTAATTTCTCCATCGACTTGCATGGCTGCACCTGCCGATCATCAACGATACTCAGAAGAACAAGAGAGTATGTATATATGTATCCACATGCTACATTAAGTGTACAGCACAACTGTAGCAAGTATCAAAGTCAAGATTCATAGATGCAGCAGTTGGAACTAAAGTTTCTAAGCAAGCACAAGTGTATATATTATGTACATGCATGACTTGGATGTTTCAAAGGCACGTCTTTCGACTCCCAAATCATCGTAAATTAACAGAGAATATTTTTTAAGGCAGTCTACCTGCCACAGCCACAGGTAGATAAATATCTACAAACGCGCGAGAGCTCATAAATGAAAACAGTTCAAAGAAAATAATCGAAGGCGAGCTGGAACGCTGAGAGTACCAGCGGGAAACGAGCGTTAGGTTTTGTTGGATAAGGGCAGGAAATTGGGAAAAAAGGTAAGGGGAACGTGCGTGCAGGGGACTTGAAACGTTGAAGCAGTCCCTAAGGCATCTCCTGATGTTAGGCCCAAAGGAAGAACCACCTGCCGCAAGGGTTTCAGAGGGGGCACACACAAACGGTTGCTTTTCCCTCTTGGCCCTTCTCCCTTCATACTGGTTTTGAGGCTGCGCCACCGCCACCACCGTCTCCATCCCCACTTTCAAATTGAGGAAATGATGTTTCTCAGTCCCCTCCTTCTAGTATACGCACCCCTCCACCAAGCTATACTGTCGACTCCAAGCTATACGATGCACAGGAGAGAGTAAAAAATAGGGAGGCCACCCGGTGGGGGTTACACTGGTGCTTACGCGTCCCAACGTTCAGTTGCCGTGCGACCGTTGAAAGGCGCGCATGTTGAGTTTGAAAAAAGTATTTCGCTAAGCAACTTTTCCATCTTTCGCGCCACAAACGCATTCAAGTGACTAGAGTGATCCAACAAAGAATTCAATCAAGGATTTCATTTGTACAATTTAAAAACTCCAAAGAGAAGCTTCTTTTATTTAGTGCAATTTTCATGGTTTACATGAAATACTTGGTGATACAGTGGTTAATTATTACTTGTCTTTTATCATAGCATTTGGCTCATTTCTCTAGGAGTTATGTAGTTCTAATGAGATACAATACTGTGCTTATGCTATTAATAGTGCAAATGAAGTGTGAATTGATGAATCCATGTTAATAATTTGTGCCAAATTTATTATAAGTGATTGAAGCTAATCTGTGTTCCATACCGATTTTGGAGTATTTACTTATTCATCAAGTTTTTTTCCAAAATAGTGGTGTATTGATGAAAATTTATTATTAAATTCAGTTGTAACAACTTGTTAATATAGAGTGAAAATTCTTGTTTAATTAGTGGTATGAAGACAAGTAATTGAGATGTACTACTTGTGGTGAAATTTTGGGGTTGATGGGTATAACCGAAACTTTACTAGTGAGTTAAAGCGCGTGTTAAGCACGTGCTCTAGTTACCCCTCGTGGGCTGATAACATTTTTACAACCTGCGCCAAGTGGATTACGGACGTGAATGAGGAATTACCGTGGTGATTTACGTCAATATGGATACGAGACAGCAGTTTAGGATCATGCTATCAATCTGGATAAAACTCCTGATCTTTCTGTTGATCAGTGGTGAGTGTAAATAAGTATTAAAATTATTTATTAATGTTATTAAGCATTTTAACATGTGGAAAATTTGGTACGATGCTCGGCTGATACGAGAAACAATTGTTCGTCGATACAGCTGGGTAATCGCTTCAAGACTTATTGCTTCAAGAAGCAATACCAGACTATGTAAACACCTCTGGCATTCGTAAGCTTATTGATTCTTCGGTCTTCGTAATTGTGTAATTAATAGAACGAGTCGAGAGTCACACAATTATCGATGCGTTCATCAACCAATATTGGTGTTGAAAGAAAAAAAAAATTAACTCATCAATAAATAATTATTTGAACAATGAGCTATCATGAATAACTAGCAGTTTCCTTCAGATAAATTCGTATGTGTATCACATACTAGGTAATAGAGGAATTTACAAACTTCTGAGTCAATTGGATGTTATAAGATTACTCGAATCGACAAAATATGACGCGTATCAGAAAGTTGAGACTCGCTCGTGAGTGTTGTAGAATCGATCGAGCATTAAATCAAGGCCGACAAAGTTACCCAAGTACTAATGCAGAAACACGTATCAAAGGTATTGTAACGTACGTGCGATCAACATTGCTCACGTACAGGCCTGAGGATACGGCAAACTGCACCGGACGTGTAGCGAAAGAGCTGGAATAGCATGGTAGAAAGGTAGAAAGGTTTTACTAGCTACCTAAAACTCCCTACTACCTAGCATACACCGATTAGTATTGACTTGAAAAGTGTGTCAAATAGTTTTCAGCATTAACTTAATTTTATCAATGAAATCTAATGATTATTTAAATACTTCCCTAATGATCAATTACGAATCACGAAATATTTCTTAAGCTACGAGTGTTGATTATAGAATTTACGTAAATTACGCAGAGTTCCATTTTCTTGTGACAATCTGATTGTCTCTGCTTCTCTTTAGCTCAATAGTCTAATATACTCATCGAGCTGTACTTAGAGAAAGCCATTCTCTGTTCGATCTTTGTTTAATTAAAATAAGCTATTACATAAACAATGATTTAATTAGCTTGTATACTACCAAGGGAAATGGAATAAAAAAGTTTTCATGTTGAATTACAGCTGATAAATTTCATTACAAATATTTCAAGTAATATAATAAAAAAGTTTTCGATGAAAAGTTATGTCAGTATTAAATATTTATTTATGTGACATATCATTGATAGGAATGTCATTTTGTGTGTTTTTATCATTTAGAATATTAATTTTGCAATCACTAGATCTCGTTAAAATACTGCTGACAATGCTTTATTTTAAATATGATATGTTTCATATTAAATTGACTTGCATTCTTGGGATATTTTGTTTTTTTTTTATTATTACTACCACTAGATGTTGATTGGAAATTTTATATCGAATATTCAGCAAATACTGAATATTTTCCACTACGATGCAATTTATTCAGTTTCATTCATTTTGTGACCCGCATAATTTTTTTTCTCATTATTTTCTCATTATTGAAATTATACAACTGTGAGATTCAATAAAAATTTTAACAATCCTCGTTTACGTAATTAACAGAATTATTTTACTTATGACTTCACAATGATTTCCCAATGACAAGGTTATTGCAATTAAATCGTCATTTTTTTATTTATATTCTTCATTAATTAATTGAAAAAGTATGAAGTCACAAACTATTGAAAGATACAAAACAATATTATTCTATTAATTGTGAAATAAAATAAAAATGCCTTTGTTATCTTGTTTATTATCAAATGATTATATCTGTTTGGTATTGAATAATTTTTTTCCTAGAAATACTTTTTCTCTACACAGAACCTTACGGTAATTTGTTTATACAAACGTCAAAGTCGATTGAGTGAATGGCAGTTGCAACAACCAGAGTGGAACGTGAAAAGAAAAGAAAGAAAAAAATAAATAAAAGAGAAAGAAATATTTCATATATTCACCTTTTCATTTATATATTATGTAATATTTTGCTCATTATAACTCAAATGAAATAGCTGCAATCAAGCAGCTTGTCATCCTTGATGAGGATTGTCGTCTACGTATTTCATATTTTATACAAGGCCCCTACATTCGCGTCTATTAGTTTCTACATATCTTATGCAGCTCAGACATATTCTCATGATAATACATAATATATTACACTTCGTAGTAAGTAATGTAATTATTAAATTTTTAATAAATCTCTCTACAAGCAAACACATCCCTCATCTGGACTCTTCATATCACAATCCATGTAATAATCCATCAACTCAACTGCTAAATAAAAAAATAGAAAAAAGGGAATAAATCAGTGAGGGTAATAAATTTTTTTCGGATCACGTAGCAAGTGTCCAGGTGGACGAAAAATGTGAATTTCTCGGTATCTGAATACTCGAGTGTCCCATCAAGAGGCTGGAGCTAAAAGATCCCATTGGGAAGTGGGCAGTAGTGCAGCTTCTTGTGAAACTTCTTCGGCAGTTGTTGGTTTACGTGTCTCGTGAGAAAAAGGGTGAAAGGTGAAGAATAAAAATGTCAAAAAAGTAAGCGCGTACTGTTTAAGAAAAACAAATGAAAATAGCACTCACAAGAAAATGTAGCAATTTCTTACAAAGACTCTTATCCTGCTCTTACAGTCACATGAAAGGTATTTCGCCACCGATCGTTTCCGACGACGTGGCAGCTCCGCGAATTCCATGTTAGCAGTCCTTTCAATTGTTACGACACTCGTCTGCACACGTACATAAACGTAATCGACTTCTTTCAAGACTTGTATTTATTTTACCCTAGGTCTATACATACTTTGGTAGACCCTTATATCATATCCCGAAGACAAGGACTAATCTCCAACAACGACACACCAAAGTCTGCCGACAATTGATCGCACTTTCGTGTGCTGAAAGCCGGGCTTTATTTCAGCCGAGGGGCCAAGTGTTTATTTCGCTGATAAATTAATTTACAGCCAAGTAAATTAAAGCTAGGGGATACTATCACACGTATCAACTCTATCCATTCTGCTTAGCAAGAAAAGGGTTTGCATTGCTAAACGCCCCGGACTATAGTCTTTTCTTTAACCACCCCTTCTATTCCGGCAGTCATAGGCCATATATAAATAAGGAATACCGCCATAGTTTAATCGATATAAGCTTATTTAGGTCCATTACGTTGAAAAAGTCGATATGACGACAAGAGAACGGGTGGAATGAAAACCACAAGACTCCCGGACGAAGACGAGTGTGCTCGACCTGGTGCTTGGCACGCTACAACGACTTCAACGACCAACTCGCGACCTCAACGGAAGACTAACACAACTGTGTTTCTTTAGGCTGCACCCTTCACCATCCTATAAATACCAATGTGGACACAACAGTACGCAGATGGCATACACCAGAGTATTTATGCGCGGACTCACCAACTGGCGTCGTGTCTCCAACATTTTCTTGTCTTTTCTTATTATGTATGACCGTTATATATGTACTATTGTCAAGCTTCCTACTATACAGTCAACATGCGTGCTGTATTTCGATGAATTTTTTTCAACATCTCATATAGGTTCCTACTTACCATTCTGAAGAATCAAGCCACGCACTTTGAGGATTCATCAAGCATTCTATTATACTTGATCCATAGCTGCATACCGACACGTCAGCTAACAAACTCTGCCTCAAGGTGGATTATTCGTCGAACTTGGCCTTAATTTTCTTCCGGTGTAATACTTTTATCTTCGCCTGAAGCTAAATGACGTCTTGAAATCCTGGAATTATTGAAATCATTTCATCATCATCATGTATTGGAAAAAACCAGTGATTAATCTTTTGAAGAAAGTTATTTCATTAACTTTTTCTACAATTTTTTCCGTTGGAATTGATTCACGTTATCATGAAAGTTGATTGGATTATTTTTCATTTCACATGTTCATAACACATATCAATAGGAGAATGTAAAAATTAAAATAATGTTGAATTTTGCAATTTAATGGCAAGCTTATTAATAGAGATTAACGTTTGTTTGAATTAAATGAATTCGAAAAACATACTGGTATAGAAAAAACATTAGCATTTAAACTGAAAGAATATTTATAAAAGAAAAAAGAAATGTAGAATAATTAAAAATTTAATTATAAAACTTTTTCTATTTGTAATAGCGCATAATAATTCATACATTCAACGGATTTTTCCACTCACAGCAAAATAACTAAACTGGGTAATTTTCATTTTGTAAACAGTCTTCCTTTTAATCGTAATTGCAATGAATTTGGTGCTTCTACACATTTTATTTCCCACATTAACAGATGTTATTTCAATTCTCTCACCAGCAGCTTTTACTCTCCACATGATATGACAAATTCTCTGGCTCTATTTATCGAAAGCATACTTTTATTCTCAATAACATCACTTTTCAATTTCATCAATATCCATTTAATTTTTTCATCCAACAAAAATATGATTTATATCTCATGATTTGACTAGTGTACCGTAAAGGAATATCCTTAAATAATAATAATAAATGACTATGTCAATAATTCTATTACAAACTTATCGAAAAAATTGATTTCGTGCTGTGGAGACATTGAAAATTAAAAAAGATAAAAGATGGTGTCGGGAAAAGCATTATAGAAGGCAATTCAATAAAGAGTTGGCTATTACATCGTTACAAGCTTGTGCGGCGATGCAGGAGATTGTGCGGAACGGATTCATTGCTTTTCGATTGAACCGTTCATCGAACAATAAATGAGAAGTACGGATTTCGAGAGAGAGAGAGAGAGAATTGGAGAATGAGACACAAGCATATATACATCATAGAGAATGAGACAGCAACAGACCTAAAGCTTGAATCATCTTCGGAAAGCAAATGGTTTCCATTCCTTCGTTATATGACCCCATGTCGACCCATATCCTCTACTACGAGAACATCTATATGCGTTCCTCGAATCACCGGTCAGTCGATGGTATTTGCGGTTGATGGCCTACGCATCATAGTAGTTACGGTATCTCAACGGTATATGTCTACATATGTATGGCCAAAGGCTATCTAACGGCATTCCTTGTCGAAAGACTCGTAAAATCTATCATGCATTTTCGTCCTCAAGTGTACTTATCTTGTAATATAACTGTGTCATGAGTCGAATTCACTTGACGAGGCTTGTTTTATGCCAACGCAGATATCTCATGTTGCAAGGCTCGTGAGACTTTATATGTCAGTTCAAATTACCTCATGACAAACGTGGAGTGTTGGTACACGAGTAGTTAAATAAAAAATTTAGACGCTGGTTTGTAGAAAAACTTTAGTTGTAATAAAAAATTAATTGTTCAAAGTATCCAAGTGAGTAAAATAGGAAAGAAAAAAAAAACACACATTTAGCCATCTTTATGTCTAGTTCTCGTCACAAACTTGGGTAATATTTTACGTGCGATAAAGACTCTGCCAGTTGCTCTTTGGCTTCTTGGTGAAGAAAGGGTGATAACGTTGTCGAGAGAGTGGTCTATAAAAAATATTACAACTCGTAGATTTTTACCAAGTTCGAGTTGTAGAATATCACGTTCTTATTCTTGACATTACTCGTTAAACCAATAAGAAAGCTTTTTCTTTCTTTATTCTCTTCTTGTCACCCTTTTATCAGTACGTTCTTTCGTCTTGTAATGACGTCACTTGTTCACCCGAGCATCTTTCAGCATCATCCAACCAGTTTTGCTCCTTCGTTTGACGACTACATGACCCCTTTTCTGTCTCTGGGAATTTCATTCTCTCAGATCGTTTACGAGCTTCCAACATCTCTTGATGATAATTCAATTTTTTATTGACGAAAAAGGGCAACCTAAAGTGCCTCTGGACATATACAGAGCAATGCAGGTGTATGATTGTTATTGTCAATATAATTTGAATTTATTCCGTAATAATTTGCAGGAGTAACCGCGACAATAAAGAACAGACAACGTCATCATTTCCTGTGTGCAGTCGACTTCAAAATGACCCCATAAACAGTCAATTCAAATCGTCGTTCATTTGAATGGTCGCGCGTTTTAACAAGTACCTATTTTAACTTTATAATGAGTCGTATAATCCTTAACATATAACTGTATTAGGAGATTTTATCAAAGAGTCATTTTGGTTTAGTTATTGATCGTATACAAAATAATATGGCTAATAGTCAAGGGGTTGCGAACCGTTAAACTGTTATCGTGCACCTAGCAATATGACTAAAAAATTTCAACATAGATATTGATGCTGTACGTGTACACTAATAACATGTTCTTCTGTGTGTTTCAGTATTGTCACCAGTACACGCAACAGAGGAAGACCAGGTCGACACGCACGAAGGCTCTAACGTTATACTAAAATGTCGATTCCCGCCTGTCCTGCAGAACGCTACAAGTTTTTGGCTCACACATACCAACAATGACCATGACAATGCAGCGATAGACAATACATCTCTGTCACCCAACTACAAGGTATACTTGAATCTCACTGAAGGTCGGTATGACCTGGAGATTCGAAATGTCTCATACGAGCTTAACAATGGCAAGTATGAGTGTCGTATAAAAGACAGTAGAAGTGGTTATAATCTACATCACAAGAATGTCACTTTGACGGTATTGAGAGCACCAGGACCTCCACATATATCACCTACATCAACCACAGCCACTGAGGGAAGTCGTCTTGAACTACGATGCAACACTGAAGGAGGTAGTCCAGAGCCTGATGTCACATGGTATCGTGACAATAGTCGCAGCCTTCTTCACAGAGGCCGTATACTTGAAATGGTTCCTACAAGAAATGATGATGGCGCTATCCTACGATGTGTCGTTCGCAATCGTGCTATGCCCGAGGGACAGACGCTCAATGCATCTATACAGCTGGATGTCAATTACTTCCCTCGAGTGTCTGTGGGACCAGCAAATCCTCTAAAGGTTGAGGCCAACACCACGGCCGTACTTAAATGTAATGTCGATTCCAAACCCGGTGTTAGTAGAGTTCGTTGGATCAAAGATGGAAAGAGCTTCATCGCCACCACTTTCGAACATACTATCCATCGAGTAACACTTCAAGATGCTGGAAAGTATACGTGTGAAGCTGATAACTATCTAAGCAGTAAAGGAGAAGCCTCACTATATTTGGATGTCCTCTATCCACCTACTGTCTTCATCGAAGGTGATCGCATTAGAATTGCTGAGGTAGATGACACGATAACCGTTCACTGCAATGTCACAGCTAATCCAAAAGCTTCTATCATTGAGTGGACAAGCGACGAACGTCCAGAATTTCGTCAATCTGGTCCTCTACTACGTCTCAGTCGTGTTACTGCTGATCACGCTGCGAATTATAGTTGTCGAGCAGTTAATACAATGCATCCAACTGGAGGACAAATTCAGAATCATTCTGCAAGTGCTCGCGTTACTATTCGCATACGTCACAAGCCAGGTCCAGCTAAAGTTACGCCAGATTCGCCTGTAGCAGTTGAGAATTCTCGAGTTATACTGACATGCAACGCTAACCCTCCTGGATATCCAGAACCACAATATAAATGGTGGAAAGAAGGCGAAGACGATGTCATGCAGCTTCAAAGATCCGGTTCTCAATTTGTTATTAATTCAGTCAATCTTGGAAGTGACGGCGTTTATAAGTGTCATGCTATGAATGAAGTTGGAACTGGTGAAGCAGCTTCTGTCACACTTACTGTTCATCAACAACCAAAAATTTTGTCAAAATTAAATCCTCACGTCACTAGAACGTGAGTAATTCAATTTTTTTTCTAGACTTAAAATCTTATCTTGACACTTGATAAATTTTATTATGCAAAAATATTTTATAAACACATTAGCTAAGTTTTATGAATATTTATATACATGAAATAATAGAAGTGAGAACGATTATTTGATCGTTAGATATTATTCTTTATGTGAATTTTTTTTTCATTGCAAATTTAATGTTGTTAATTAAAGTATAAAAAGGTCGTATATATCAAATAAGTTTACATTTAAATTTTAAATTAAAAGTCAATTAACATCAAAGCTATATTTGTTAAATACAACTTATTTTATTTTTAATGAATGTTAAAGAATTGATTATTTACTCATTTTACAATGTTAATGTATTTTCATTGAAAATTTAAATTATATTACTAAAATGAGTATTTACATAATTCATGATTTATTGTTCACTAAATTAAAGTTGCTCCTAATGAGAAAAAAAGAAAACTCATTCAAAACTTTCAATGAAATATGTTTCATGTAATTTTGTCTTCTGATCAATTTTCTACTATTTATACTACGTATTTGATAGAAATTTAATATTCTAACTCGGAATATTTTTCTTCATTCCATTCGATGAAAGTAAACTTATTCAGTTAACCGTTCTTCGTTATATAATAATAAAAAACATCTATTTATTTTTGTATCATGAACGTTACTTATAATAACAATATTATTTGCAGAGTTGGAGAATCATCTTTCGAAGTAACTTGCGTGGCTCAAGGCAAACCTAGACCAGTAGTGCGTTGGTTAAAATCTGATGAAGAGCTCACAGCCAATGATGGTCTCTATAAAGTTGAAACCTTTACATCAGTAGGCCATGGAAATGTTTCTATTGTTAATTCTACCTTGAGCTTCTTGGGACACAATCGTCCTCATACAGATGAAATAATTGCAAGTGATCGTGGCAAATATAAATGTGTTTTTCACAATGAAGTGAAGAAAGTTGAATCAGAGATGTTACTGAAAGTGGAACATCCACCAATAGTTTTACATAAACACAATAAAGTTGCTTATAATTTGAGAGAGACAGCTGAAGTAACTTGCCAAGTTCAAGCTTGGCCAAAGCCAGAATTTCACTGGAAATTTGGATCAAATTCTGTATCGCTTCAGGGCTCATCTAGTGATGGACATTACGAGATATGGACGACAAATGAACAAGGAGACGATATATACACATCGATATTAAAGATAACAAATATCAGAGAATTAGATTATAACAACTATAGTTGTCATGCTATAAATGACCAGGGAATAACTACCTCAGTAATTACTCTTCAACCAAAAGGTGCACCAGAGAAGCCAACTAATCTCTCTGCAACATATATCGGTCCAAATTATGTGACATTACAGTGGGAAATCGGTTTCGATGGTGGAATTCCTATCACTAAATACTTTGTGTCTTATCGCCGTATCCCTGGTGAGGATGATACCATAGCTCCAGATTGTGCATCTCCACGAAGCAACCCTCCGGGTCAATGGTCGGAGAGAGACTGTGGTCGCAATAATCCTTGCAATATAACTGATCTCGACCAACATCGAAAGTACGCTTTCAAAGTGAAGGCATACAATACTAAAAATCACTCGGATTATTCTGAAGAAAAAATTTTCACCACTACTGTAGCTAAAATCCCAGCACCTCAGAGAGTAAGCTTCGACCCGGAAAGTGGCAGTCTGGTTATCACCGCGGGTCCTACTTGTCTTTCTGTCGTAGCCTTTATCGAAAGATTCGAAGGCGGATCGAACGATCCCTGGAGAATAGTTAACGAGTGGCCCCTCGAGGTTCTCGGCAGTGCGCCAACTACCAAAGATGGTATTCTCGATGACCCGGAAACATCGCACACAGAACCACGTCTCAGGGTCAGACTTTGTCTCCAATCCGATAAACAAAAGTGTGGAGAATACACTGAAGCTGAGAGTAAGTTTTTTTCTCATTATCTATAGATTTTAATCCTTTCACGTATCAAAGTAATTAAGGGTATGAATATAATATCACATTTTTCAACAATCCTTCTGATAGAAAAGTCAATTTAGACATTCTTTTTTCGAATTAAAATAATCAATTTAAATGGCTCAATGTTTAATTTCAACTTTAAAGTAAATTTGTTTGATTCAAATAACAGAAATTACTAAACGGTCTCTCTTGAATAAATTAGAGATTTTTTTTACTTGAATTTTTTTTTTTTGTTTTATTTAAAAGGTTTTCGTTATTTTATTAAGTATACGAGTTCAATCTTTTAAAGAGTTAGAACTATTACATCACGACACTTGTTGTACTCGTACAATTAAACTTAAACTTTAATTATTTCATCATAAAAGTGAATATTGATGAAAAAATAAATGTTTTTTTTTTAGTTTTACTAATAGTCTGGTAATTTTTTATGTACAGTTGGACTGTCCTATATAGCTCAAGCAGGAGCATTGGCAACACCAACTTTGATAGCACTAGTAGTCAGCGGTGCAGTATTTCTTCTCTTCGCTGCTTTATTACTTTTGTTCTGTCGCTGTCGAAGGAAGCACGCCGCAAAAGCCAAAGACTACGAAATGGATTCTAACACGTAAGTTATTTCATTCTATCATTTAATATCTTTTCGTAAGAACAAGTTTCACTTTATTTAATATATTTAAAGCACCCAAGATGCACTTCATTCTGGATTCTCTTTTCATTCAAATACACTTGCAGCATTCACCTTTACTATTTTGTCGTTCTCTAAGCTATTGCAATACTGTAGAGCATGAAATGGAAGTTTTGCCAAGGACCCAATAGAGGTAAGAGAGAAACAAGAAGTTGCTCTTCCCAAAGGGTCTCTCGATCCCATCGTGTTTCTCCAACAAAAACCTCACGTCTTAGCTTGCTTGCCATTCTCGTCCGAGTAATCTTCTCGACCAGTGAACGATGTTAGCACTCAAGACTTGTGCTCTGCCTCACAAATACGTGAACCAAGCGTTGAAACCCGATCTACTTTGGTAGACAAGCCTCAATAATATTCATTTTCTATGCTTCACCATGCATGACAATGGCTTTTACTGGTTACAAAAAAATTATTACCATAAAATAAGTGCATACAATGCAAAACGTGTTACATATTTTGGAGCAATTTTAAATCATCATCAATTTATCGTTCAATGATTTACTAAATTAAAGTCTACTTTATTCAATCAATATCATTCTTGACATATGATTCTTACTTAACAACCATGAAAATCTCTGTTATAGTTTTTTTTACTATATCCATTAGACAAACAAGGTCACAAAAATGTTATTATACTCAAGAATAATAATCATTGAATATTAAATAGCAGACGATAAGCTCTGGATGATGCTTTTTTTATAGTTTTTGCCATAATTTGTTCATTTGTAATAAGCATTCAAAGTAGATAGATTCGTAAAAGCATTTTTATGGAAACAAATTAAAGAGGAAAATGGAAGTACATGCTGTTAATCTTGGAGTAAAGTAGTAACATACAAGTTTTTATAGACAATACCAGACTATACTATACATAAAACAGTTTAAAGAAATGATTCAACTTTGGAATAATACTATAGGTCTATAATAATTTTTTTTACGACTCACAAAAAATAAATACTTAGGACGAAGATGGATATCCACTCTCGAAAACACACGCCGTACACCGAAGAGAAATTCCATTGCTATCCAATTTACGTGAGGATTGGAGAGAGTAATAAAAAGAAGGAAGAAAAGCCGAGAATACTCGGCCATTGCTTTTTTTTATTCAACATCTGCTTGGCCGATTTTCTTCCAGAATCTCATTAGAGAATTTGAAGTCAGATACTGCATTACCTCAAATAATTTATTCAAGCGTCTATGCGTCATTCTATCTTTTCTTCTATCTTCCATTATATTATTCATCTCCCTTGGTTTATACATAGAGAACGACATCAAGTTGTTATTTCTAGTTGCTCGTGTACTCTCGTTATATATTCCAACGAACTCGTTAAATTTATAGACATGGTGACAAATAAATTTTCTCTTTGACGCAGGGTTCGCCCGAGCTTGGTCACCGGAAATGGACAACAGACACAAGCACCGCCACCCTATTATGCAGAGAACAAAGCGCTAGAGCATAGCTTAGATCGAGCGTTAGCTATGGAAGACTCTAAGACGCCAGCTTACGCCCAGCCGGGTTATAATTGGCGGCAACCCAATCATAATATCAACGGTGAGAATGGTAAATATGAATTGAAATACTAACAACTTTAGACAGTCATTTTATCAACACTGGACATCTGGCAGTTTGATTAGTAATATTGGTTGAATGATTACTATGCATATCTAATGTGCAACATGTCGCTGAATTGTCACAACATTTATCACTCTCTTGTTTGCCAGGTGTCAACATGGGATACTTGGACAATAGCTATTCAAACTCAAATAACGGCGGATCCGTCAACTCCCAGGACTCTATTTGGCAGATGAAGTCAGCCGCGGCCAATGGTGCAAATCCCCCATACGATCTTGGAGGATATGCTCCAACCGAGTCTGATTATCCTACCCACCCACACTATCTACCACAACGTGAGGATTACCGCGAGAACCACAACTTGAGTCGACAACAATTCTGTCCAGAGCCATTTGCTACCGTTGTAAAGTCTCAAAAGCATGTTGGTCAGTATTTACTCATCAAACATCCAAAGGTTTATTCTAAAAAAAATCCGCTTTTCATCTGCATAATATAAATATCTCTAAAAGAATAAGTTGGATTATTTTTAGAATAAATTTATGTTGGATATTAGTGAATTTTATCGTTGAGAAAAAAGTTTAAGCAATGAAATTTTATAGAAAGTTTAATGTCTGAGATTTTCTCTTTAATAACGTATATTTCTCTTTTCCAACAGATTCGCCGTACGACGTGTCTGGACTGCCTTATCAAGAAGCGTACGATGAGGATACAAAGCCACCTCAACAAGTTAGCCTCTCGTACGATGAAAGTCTAGAGTCCGGTTATTCCACTCCCAACGGCCGACGACCAAGAATTATAAGGGAGATAATTGTCTGAGATCAGCCTACCGGCTCGCGAGCCGGTAAATCGCGAACAACTTGGCTCTAGCAGAAAGCCCCTCATCATCATCACATGGAAATCGTCATCGAGAACCCGGCTGATCCAAACCCTATGATAACACCAGCTATAAATTCTGGATTTGGAACATTGCCGACTCCAAATAATCCGTTATATCGCACTATTCCCAACATGGAAGGAACATCACCAATTGGTGGAAGTTATTACGGAACTCTTCCTCTACGAGCACGTCCTCATCACGGAATTCCACCAATGGACTTTGACGTAACCTCAGGACGCCGCATCGACAAGTCTGGCCTGTTAGAAATAGTTGAACCAGATCCATCACGATGTCGACCTCGGCACCTTACTGGTGCAGAAAATCCTGGCCATACAGGAACTCTGACTCGGCGTATTGATCGTCTGGGATTACTTGAAGCCGTTCCTGAAGTACCTGATCAATTACAGGATCCAAAAAGTCCAGAATTAAATACTATAAAGAGCTCGGACGACTCGAGAAATCGATCAATTACAGAACGACATCTCACTGGTGCAGAGATTGATCTTAAAAATCAACCTGATTACCCCAATGCCAGTCTTAGTCCTAGACCTTCGATTGTATCTATTAGGTCACCTATTCAACCAGACGATAGTCGAGCATCAACTCCGTCAAGTATTCATGGAACTCAATCACCAAGTCCCTATTTTCAGCGAGGTCATGTAAGTCCTAAGCCAACCACAAATGGATCGTCTGTGTTAATCAACAACAACGAAACGGATTCTCATCGTGGTCAACTTGCAGACGTCTCTTTAACCACCAAGTTCTTGTCAGATACACTTGACTCACGAGGACAGCCTTATGTAGACCTAACGGGTGCTACTTATACACGAGCCTGCGCTAATTCACCTATAGTCGTATCTTCACGTCTTTCAACGACAATGGAAATGTCAGCTTCCGACAAAATAGATGAAGTGAAAGATAAAAATCAACCGCCTGACTGCTTAGGAAGATTAAATCAAAAATCGAAAGGAGATAGACATTCCCCCTTGACAGTTTCGTCAATTCCAGATGTCATTGAGGCGCATGGCTCACGGGTTGCAACTTTAAATAACAAAACGACTGAAGAAATACCTAAAGGAGAGAGAGCTGAAGCTGAAGGTTGTGAACACACTGCCATTGAAAACCTTGAAGAAGGAAGAGTTTCCTTTAAAAGCTCAAATAAAATACACAACGACAACATTCAGACGCTTCGGGTGATTATACTCTCGGAACAATTGTGAGAATATGAAAATTCTTATTTCAATGAGAGGAAGTGCGAAATTATTTAAAATTTAAATGAAAAAAGAAAAATAATTATGTGGTGATGATGATTATATTCAATAAGACTTTATCTTGTTAAAGCAATATGGGAGAAACTTTGTTTTATTACGAAAATAGGACGTACAAGAAAAGTAGTACACGATATTTTTAATTAATCGAGTACTTTGTACAGGAATATATGATTTAAAATGTACAGTTAAATATATATATATATATATATATATACAAACACATATATATTATATCATCACATATTAACTGGTATGAAAACGCAGGCGACAAAGACTTCGAAGAAAAACAAACGGCTAATGATGCCACAAGAGGCCATAATTAACAAAATAGATTAACAAAAACAAGTGTTAGTTTTAAATAAATTAACGAAAAAAAAAATCGTGAGATTAACAAAAACAAAACTTCCGTAAAAGAGTTTAAATATTGAATGTATTTTTAAATGATGAAAAAAGATGAAATGAATTTTTAATCACTGTAACAAATGTAGATTTGGCACAGAGAATGTCTCTAGTCGAGTGGAATAGGCTTTCGAGATGCTTCAGAGTAAAAGCCAGTCTCTTTAGCCCAAAGGGCCTCAAAAGTCGAACTATATCTCCAAGTTATGTGCTCTTGTTTCCTTGATTAATAAAGTTCATCGTTGACATTTGATATTCGTGACACTTTCGACAAGTTGGTGTGGTTAAGATACCTAGTATCACAGATAGTTCGATGTCAGCATAGCAAAAACATAGTTTTATCGTTGAGCATCATAAACCAACAGTTCGTGGGCTACCCCAAAATTCTTGCTTGCATAAAGTATAGTCTTGTGTAACACTGCAATGTATATGAGTGGAAAAGCACGCGTATCATGCCACGAATACCAAGTAAAGTGTTCAAAAGCGTGTTGTGCAAAACTATTTCTACGTGAGACAACGTGTACGGATGAAACTTAAGTCGATATATCGCGGACAAAGTCGACAGCTGCACGAATTCTTGTCCTGTCTTCAATATATCTTGAGTGAAGAAGCGCTGCAGCACGTTCGACGCCTTAAGTTTGAATTTTTATTGCCATTCAATTGTATATCTCACAGAGTAGATAGCTATTTACTCCAAGTATTCGTAGTTTATTCTTTAAACCTACGATTTCAAGATCTAGTACTTGAATTTTTGCATCTCGATTTTCACCTTCCACTCAACAACTGACGGCATTTCAATAAAGTCTTAATGTATTTTATACTTTTATATCGTGAGCGACTATGTGACAGACGGATGATTGTGATCCTGTGAAGTGTGATCTAAGAGTTATATTTATCAATGTGACGTGATTATTATTACAAAAGATAAATCGTAAAATATAGCGATGATATATTATATTATTCAGATACGAGAAAAAAAAATCTATATAAATAAATATATTATTATATATATATAAAAAAAAAAATAAATGAAAATGCAAATATTGTAAGGAGTCTCAAGAATACTTTGGCTTCATTATACAAACCGACGAGTATTTAAGCCGAAAAATCTCGTACTCATTCAAAGTTTTTATTGCATTTCTAAGTGAATGTAAACACTGAGAAAAACTAATATATCAACAAAGAGAAAAAATTTTTTGAATAACAAATTATTTTATCAAAAAACTTTTAAACTATCTAGGTCAACGAATTTTAAATTTTTTTAGCAACAAGTTATTGATAGAAAAAATTTTTAAACTAATTTATTTATTAAATTTTAATAGAAATACATTATATATAATTAATTTTGTACAAATGAAAAGACATTTTTTGATGGAATAATTTCCAATAAGTAAACTTTTTTTCTTTGTAAATATAACGAATTCTCAGTGTAAAAAAAAATTTGTAAATATAGCCATAATTAATGTATATGTAAGGTACTTAAATAATTAGAAATCAATGTGTTCTCATTATAACTTAATCGGGGACAATGCTCTGTTAATAATGAGTAAACTAAAGCAAGATAAACATTATTAATTAAATTGCGTTGTGCGTTGTGTACGTGTTTTATCTTGTAGGAGAAAATCACAATAATAGATCTGATAGCACGGCGATATTAAAGTTTATTTTTATATTTTCATTTAAACTATGTATAATGATAATTCTTAATAATAATTAATTATAACTATGATGATATTATAAAGGATGAAATTTCAATGTGACAAGAACAAGAAGGTGTGAGATTCCAATTGCTCATGTAAAGTTCTGAGCACTTTCATCAACGATCGATCTGCACTTTTGATCTCATTCGCTACGTAGTTCGAAGTTTAGTCTCAAAAGAGATTAATTAGTGATTACGGCGCCGTTCACGCACATATACAATATATTGTAATGAATAGTTTATTATGGAATGTGAATCTCTTGTAAGTTGATGGTATAAAGTTGCTGCACGTATACACACACACACATTTGCAAAATGCATCCACGAGCATCCATGAAGATATTTCCGGTGGATCGTTTAGTTGTATCCTGACTACGCTCGTTGAGTACTTGAACGTTTTCATATAGACTGTGAATTGCACTCTCAACAGACGATTGGAAACGAATTTTCAATCATCTGTTGACGACTGCTTAAACGTGTCGACCAAAGTAACGCGCTTACACTTGAAATCCGGAAGTCAAACACTAATGCAAAACGTTTGTTCTCATTTCCGGTTGAATATTATCGAGTGGCAAAGTGCTGAAACTTGGTTGCGCACCTGCGACCAATTAGTTTTGAAGGGATGACTGAAGAAGAATGAGAAATGAGAAAATGAGCGAAAGAGAAAACGCTAAAGTAAAAGAAGGAGAGTTTAAATATTTTTGCATAATGAAACCTTAGAAAACGGTGAAGAAGAGAATATATAATACTTATGTAACGGGTGATTAAATTTAACGAGCGTTGGCAGGATCGTCTACTTTTCCCACCCACTAAGCCCCCACCCAACCAACCTTGTATAAAAAAAAAAGAAAAATTATGTATATAGACGAAGGAAAGAAGTAATATTATATACGCTAAGAACTCATACTAGTATTTATCTACATTATAATTAAAGAAAACGATGGAAAAAAGTTATACGATCTCTCTAGCAGCGGATAACGATGCAAGAAGTTAAATTGGAGACATTGTAATTATCGAAAATCTTAATTAATGGTATGGAAGAAAATGAAAATTATCAATTCCTTTCTTTCATTTTTTAAAAATAAGATTAAAGTCCGTTCAATATTTGAACAATATCCATATGGATAGGACGTTGAATGACGTTGTTTGTAACTTGTATATATAAACACCTGCTCTCGTCAAATTATTATATATTAATTGCCTATTATTAGTTATAACTTTATTATTATTATTATTGATTATTCTGTACAAATTTTATGTTGCAATATAAAACAAAAATTGAATAATAAAGTGACAGTTTTCATAATTAAATCATCATTGTTAAATCCTTTTATTTTCTATTCTCAATCTGATAATGAAATGACAATTTAGGTCACCAAGTTTTGCGCCTTTTTTTACTCACTATATATGTATATAATACATATCTACAATTTGAATTAAAAAGTCTTCGTACTAATTACGAATCAGAAAGGAATAGCACAACGTACCACCGGATGCAGTAGCATAGACAATAGCTTCATCGAGAGAATCCGAGGTCACCAACCGTTCCCACAGTGCAGGATAATTACTCGTTTTATTTCAGTATGGTTTTACTCTGAATAAATTCTGCAAAAAATTCTCAGCCTTCTATGAAAATTATTTCTCATGTAAAGAGGAAAAAAAAATTTAAGAAAATAGAGAAAATCTGGAAAGTTTCTCCTACATCCTTTTTAAATTTCATCAGGAATTAACTTATTTACCTTTGTTAGCAGTAAACCGGAAGTTGTTAAATTTTTACAACACACTGTGATACCTTTGATTTTCATGTGCTACCAAAATGATTCAGTAGCTTAGTTCAAATTCGTAGTAGATTGTTCCCGGAAATGTCAAATGGCTTTACCAACAGTTGGAAGTGGATGAAAGAGCGTTTCCGGTATCATTTTTATGTCTTACAATCTCACATTTACAACCATGTGTATTTCAATCAGCTTTCCACAGCTCTCCATGAGCCATAAGGCGCCATCCATTGCCTGAGGCATGGTATTGCTATCAGAATCAACCCGAAAGGTAATGTCTATTGTATGTCAGACGATAAGAACTTTACTACTTTCAGTTTAACTACCGGAAACAATAAAAAGTAGAAACAATATCTCATTCAACATTTAATCTGAGACTAATTTATTAATCACATTTTTTATTAAATAGATAACATTTTTTAATGAAACAAATTAAAACTTGATTCATTAATTCATTTAATAGTTCTCTTTCAAAATCCCATCAGAACAAATCATGTTTGTTTATCAAATAAAAATATTGAGATCGTGAAAAAATTCTATTTACCATCGTAGCACAATCAATCATTTAAATTCTAACATCTCGACTTTGATCTCTCGAGTTTGCGCTGTTTTGCAAGCTCCACCTTTTAACGTCAAAAGCGCCGCATTGCTAGTGCAATAGCACAAGTGTGACACCAATAATTTTTTATAATAAATTTCCTATTAGTTTTTTTTACCTTTCCACGTACCTATTTTATATGATCAGTAGTTTAAAAAAATATTTTTCCAACAATGTTTACTAATTGTGACTTGAATCAATGGATAAATAAATATTTACTTCAAAAAATCAACATAATTCATGCTCAATTGACTGGCAAGAACTGTGTCACTTGCACAAATAGTTTCTTTCCACGTGGGTGTCAAGAGCTACATTTACAAACAACAATTCGTCATGAAATCTGTGAGGAAGTGAAAATGATAATGAGTGGAAGTTAATGAGAGTTTTATGGGACTTCAGTAAACATACAATTTAAAAGAGAAATTAAATTAAATCGTGATGTTCACTTCATGAGCATACAACGTTATACCTAAACCAGAATGTGTTTTCTATTAATTAAAGTGCATAAGTTAATTTTTTTTAAATAAATATCTCCAACACATTCACATCATAAGCACTATCTGCAGATCATAGCAAATCTATTAGTAACGCACATATGGACTCAATAAATTGTCATTTCGTTATCATTGCGTTAATTAAATTTGTGGCTTCAAAGGCATCTACAGTCACGTGGAATCCACCTTTTAGCTGTGTGCATCAAACTAGTTAATCCCTTCGCCTCATTCAACGTTTATAAATTTCTATATCAGCATCATCTGTTTGCTTCATTCAATCTACACAATTGGAAACCAGAAGAACATGTGTCTAGATCACTAAGGTTAACCTAGACCGCAAATGGAATGTCAACATCTCTGGGCCAATGCAAATAGAGAAATTCCAATGATCAACTGCTGGAAAAATTAGCAACGAATGTGAGGAATATCGATTCAAAGATGAGTGTTGAAGTAAATGAAGGCGCAGTCGCAACGACGCGACCCTCGCGGAAGAATCTGCGCGAATTCGCCCGCTACTGGATTAATTCTTTCAGGGTAAGGGCGTATTTTACTCGAGATGATCGAAATCGTGAGTGTTCGAATGTTGGTCGTTATACACCTGCTGAATATCAAGAAGATTCAAAGCAAAATGATGAAGAGTTAAGTAATAAAAACATCACAACAGCATCTGCAGCATCAGTTTACTGTTCTCCAGATGCATCTGCAGGATCACAACCAGACTCCACTGATACTGTCATGGGTAATCTACAAAGCGATGGAAAGAAACGACACAAGAAGCAGAATGCTGATGTTGAACCACAACATCAGGCCCATGCAACTTTTGAGAGAGTCCATACCCCGGGTAAAAGACCGGCTCCTCCACCACCAAAAATTCCTGCCATTCCTCAGGTTTGTTTATTTTATTGATGCATCTTAATTATGAATAATCTACTTTCCTAGCACCACTTGTACGTTATTTGCTTTATAAATTATTTAAATAATTTGCAATATATAATTAAGTCATGAATAAATTTTTTTTAATTATATTGCATTGAAAACAGTTATGAAAATAAAAAAGAAATGAGAATTTTTTATTTCATGAGATCATTCAGAGCTAGTAAATATTTGATTACTTTAATGAGAATTTAAATAATGAAGTGTTTATTTTAAAAAAATATGTGTCCTACATAGAAAGATATTAAATAAAAAAAATTACTAATACTACTACTTCTCCAAGAAATTAATTTATCTCCAATAAAAAACTAATAAGAACTTTAATTAAAAGTCACAAAGGTATTAGGTTTAAATGAATTCTTATCTCTACTTTATCAAAACAATCTTATCTTGAATTTTAGAAAAATCATACAAAATCGTAATAATAGAAGATTCTTTGAAAAAAAATTATCACAAGTTATTTAATTTGACTTCCATATGATGACGACCCTATTATTAAGGTTGAATCAAAATGATGAACTTATGAGTAAACAAACGAATTACGTAGCTTATCAACGCGATATCTAAAATGACATAATCAGCATGAACGCGGATGTTAGTTGATCTTGAGGATCAAGAATGTTTGGTGAGGGATATTGTAAAAGTTAAACGTCGCAAATTCCACCAATGATATAGAGATAAGATTTCTAATCAGATTAATTTTTTAACACAAAAATAAATGAGCATGTTTCACAGGCGGCACCAGTGATCTCGGAGATTCAGCCAGATGATATCAAGCTTACATTGGAATCTCCAAAACGAGCGGAAGTACCGGTTGAGATTGCGTCCTGTCCTCTCCCACCTGCATCACAATCACAACAGAGCTTCGAGGGTCCCTCAGAGGCGCCCCCGAGTTCCCCCTCGACTGGTTCCGTGAGTATTCCACCACTCGACGTCCTGCCAGTTCCAGCAACGGATCCTCCACTTCTCGTGACCGACTCGTGGCGTCGAGCTAACACTAGCCTCATCATACCGGATATCCCAACACCTCCTAGTCAAGCATCCTCCAGTGACAGCGTCTTCACCGATCCCGAGGAAAACGGGATGGTGGTAGAAACTAGTGACATCACATCATCACAAGTTCAGGGTATTTCTTTGGCAGCTAAAAAACCGTCAAGGGACCAAAGAAATTCAATCAAGAAAAATCGGCAAAGTCATTTCTCTGTAACGGGACACCGGAAGATTGAACTCAACTCAACATCAAATCGACTCTGTAAGTAGGAGAATTCGTGATCTTTTGATTACACTCTATAGTCCTTTGAACAATAGTGAATTAAATAGTCCAACCGGATAATGCAGATCTTGGGACCGGTTTTGCTCTGTTAAATAGTAAATACTACATTGTATTGTCTTCAAGGATATCGACGGGATTATCAAAGTAAATCTTATTGTTGTTGGTATATTCTAAGTAGCTTATACTTGCACTGAGAAAATTGGCTTGCCAGTCAAAGACTTCTATTCTATATAATCACCTTAATCCTTGAAACATTCAAATCCGAATGTAGGCTATTTATACCAAGAACGCAGATCTAGTGTCATCAAACGATAATCTTGTGTAAACATTTAAATTATTGTAACCAGTGCCCTCTTTCTAACTGCTGTTTATCAATGAGTTCGATATATCTAGAAGATAATACGACGTAGCTTGTACATCTGCTTTGTTATTTTATTTATTTATCTATTTATTGTTTAATTAATTATTAATTATTGAACAAAATGGTCTGGTACAAACATAGTATTCAAAACGTTCATAGTTTACCAAACTTAAATCCTGTTCCAGCAACATCAACATCCTTACAAGACTCATCTATCCAAAAGCACAATGGGATTAAAGATTCTCAAAGCAAAGGATTAAGAAGAGTTTCCAGCTGGACTTTGGGTAAGAATTGTCGACAGGAAAGTGACAGAACCCATTTATCATCAATTCGAAATACATTTGAAGGTAAGTTTAATCAAATTTGAATAATTATATTGATGACATCAATTAGATTCATTATAAGGAGCTAGATCTTCTAATAATTTATCAGCTAATAAAGAAAGTCTATAAAAAATAATCACTCGTGATAAACGATGACATGTGGACTCTGTAATCAATTATTTTTCATGATATGCAATAAATTCACGTGGCTACCAAGTGTTTTTGTCATGTCAAAATTGCTATAAAGTATCAATAAAATAGAAAAAAAAATATGCTTCAAGTTACTTGATTGTTTTATCACTCATCTACCTGGATGATTATTTGCTATTTTAAAAGTTTGAGTTTCGAAATAGCTTGAGTTTCCAAATAAGTCAGAGAGATTTATATATCCACAATTATCCCAATTCACTATCATGCTCTATTTATCTCCCCTTTTTATGATTTTTCTACGATTCACACATTGTCGCTTATTACGATTTATTTCCGCTTGTAGAGAAATAGTGAGTCATCAAGCAGTGAACTGTTTCATGGAGATAATTGTTGTTAGCTGTTGCTATAATTTACCTTTTCCAGGGGAATTTTTTTCTACCATTTAAAAAAAATTATTACATAAAATATAGAAGGTTCAAGTCCATTCAAATTTTTTTGTTATTTTTATTACATAAAAGTAGTATTTAGTTATGATAAAGTATCTTGACTAATTTATTTTATTTAAAAAAAATTTTTCACTGTTCAATGTTCAAATTAAAAATACTCTCAACTAATAGTACCTTTTATACAAAAATAACTGAACTAAGAAATTGTTTTTTATTAAATAAAAAAAAAATGTTTTCATTGACAAAACTGCTGGAGACTATTCAATTAAAAAAAATAATTCGCTTAATGAATGTAATAATTTTTATCAAAATAAATTCATGTTAATAAAACTGAAAGTAATAATTAGAGATGTGAAAAAGGATTGTACAGTCAGTGACTTCACACACTAATAAAAATTGACTAAACAATTAAAAACCAATTTAAACAAATCATTAGTGTAATATTTTTTTAATGAACGACAGAAGAGTATGGGATACTATCTCGATTCACTACTGTTTTCTCACTAAACTTTAAAGTCTCTTTGGTATAGCACAACGACCCGAGTCTCAACGGTGTATCATTTACATAAAAGCTGATCTCTAAATCACGCGGCGCGTTACAACTGACAGAACACGACTCTCACAGGCTCTGCTATCGTACAGTATACTAATTTTTTTTCCACATTCATAAAAGCACGTGTGTCTGTTATATTATCAATTTTACAATACACACAATTCACGCCCTCTTAGATTATTGTCAAGTTTGCGCAATATTATGCCACATGTTCTTTTGTTCTTCAATTATAAGTTTTTGCAGAATTAAATAGCGTTATTGAGAAACTTATCAAGTTATAAAATCGATTATCATACAATGCTTACATGAGTTTATAAACGTCTTGCAAATTTAATTACTTATTTACGTCAATTATACATTCATAGATCAACATTTTTTATTATTTCCAATGACTTTTACATCAAGCCAATGATGTATTTGTTTGTCACAGAGAGTTGGAGTATATGAAAAATTCCTCTTTGCTATAAATAATTATTTTTAGCTCAAAATGTGATACTTAATATGGAGAGATGATAAAACGTAATCTTTTTTATGCAAAGTCATTTGAATCATCTGTAAAAGGAGTTAAATGCAACACTATTTTCGCCAACTGATCTCATATTATATTATGCGAGCATATGATAAGACGTATCATATACACAAGAGCACTCACAATTATTATATGTTAGTGACGGTATGATCAAACTGGTAGTTTACGCAAAGCAGATGCCCAAATACCGTGTGTCGACGTTCTTCTTCATTATCTTGAGTCAGCTCATAAAAAAGCAGAGTGAACAGTTCTTAGTGGATCACGTTTAATAACTCAGTAGTGTTTTATTCTCTGTTGAGCACAGAACACTTGGTAAATTATTCTCATTAAAAATAATGCTTATTTTATATATTCTCATATATTTGTCGATAATTCCTCTATGAATTCGAAAAGCCGTTAGGTAAATGAGAGAGAAGTGCGGTAAGAGTTAGTGGAAGTGTTTTCATAAGTTGTAGATGAAAATATACATGCTTCCATCAGGTTTGGCCAGTCTTCCTCGACCATCTCTGACGTCTCCGAAGCTGGTCATCGTAAATTTGTGATCATAAGTACCTGTCGAATGAACAGAAAGCCGGTCCCGCTGCCTGACTGTTTTCGAAACCCGACTGTCGAATATTTACCTCGGTCCCAACACTCAATCTATCGGTAGTATACACCTGACTTTACTCGAGTATGAATGAACGGAAGTATTTCTACTAAGTTATGGAATTGTCACAGTCGTCTCCTACTTTTGCACAGTTTTTGGCTCCAATGAGTAAGTAATTTATGTTCTACAGTTGGTTTATTTGTTTAATGAAACTCTTCTCTTTGTTAATATTATATTTTTAATTAATAATAAACAATTTCTTAGTGATGTTTTTAAAAATAACTTCAAATAGTTTGTATATAATTTTTTTTCCGAGTGTCAAAATGTTAATTTAAAAAAGTTTTATTTTTAAAAATTAATTCATTTTGCAAAAATTGTGTATTGAATTGTCAATTTTTTTCGAACACTTTTCTAATATTTAAATAAATAATTATAATTGTTTAAATGTAAAAGCTAGAAAATTAGCAAAAACTTTCCTATTTGATGAATAAATTATTTTGTTGCTCAAAATGATGACAAATGAGAAGTAAATTGAAGCAATTAAAACAATATCAAAAAGCATGATAAGACTTAATTATAGTAATTCAAAGTAATTATAAATTTTTCGACACATATTGTGGGTTCAAGTATATGTATAAATGATAATGATAATAAACTAAAGGTCATCACGTCATCATCACAATAAGACTAGAAGACTTCAGACGTTCATGAATTTTTAATTAACACAGTGTCTTAATTTTTTTATTATTTTTTGCTTCTAAAGAGTTAAATATATCCTCCTGTTTTTATACTAAATCTATTTATTTATGTATTTCAGGTCAGCATTTAGTAAATTTGCTCACGTCAGAGATACCTGAAAATCTTCGAAATCAGTTATCTGATGGAGATCTTACAAAATTTACTGCTGCACTTTATTCTCAATTACAAGCGATAGGGGTCATTAAGCCTCTTAATGATAAATCATTAAGCAACAATGCTTTTTCTGTGAGTATTAAGTTCTCTAATTCATCTTCATTTAATTAAAACTATATCCTTGATTCACAAATAATGTTTAGACTCATTAATATATTTAACCCAAGAATTCTACAATTTATTACACCATTATTTCAACTTTATCCTAAATTGGAAAAAAAAAAAAGATTTATCGCTTATTAGTGAATTCTCTTTTACAGCCAGAACAATTATACTACTGGGAAGCACCTTCAATTTCAAAAATTACAGTTGAAAAAAAGAAAAATGAGATCAAACAATCAACAGAATATGTTCAAACTCTCGAGAAAAAAGTCGAAACATTACAAAGTGAAGTGGAAAAACTTCAAAAAGTAGTTGAAGAGTTAAAGCGGAATAATAAAGAGAGAAAGGAAATTCCAATAGTCATGCGATCAAAAGCAAGTTCGCCTGTACAGGAAATAAATGAAAATTCTCTAAGATCGTTAGATAGAACTAATTGTTTATCAGAAAGCGGGAGATTTACTGCAAGTTCTCTTGACATATCACCAATATCTCATCGTCACGATGAACATTCTGAACATGAGTCGTCTACAACTCCGTGTTTATCGAATGTTCCGGACATTGATGAAACAATTGAAAGAACAGTATACAAAACAATAAATTTAGCCAATGCAGGAGAGAAACAAGTAGTTGACGAGAATCAAATAAATTTTGAACAACTAGAAGATAGGATGAAAGCTGTTTCTTCAAGCGAATCCAATAAACCATCAATTGAAGAGAATGTTCGACGAAAATTAGACTTTGTTGAAGAAACAATTGAAAGAAATGTAGATAATCAAAATGTACATAGCTCTCGAATGAACCATGAATGCAAGTTGGATGAATGTAAAGCAAATATCAAGGAAGATCAGAAGTCAGGTCTACAATTATCATCAGATCGTGCAAGCTCAAGCATCAATGAAGAGAGATTACAACCAGAGACTACTTCAGTTATCACTAATGATACTAAGTCAGTTTCCGAATCTGTGGAATCAATAGCTTCTTCACCTTTACCAAGAATAGCACAACCACAAGTCGATACTATTCAACCATCAATTCCACCACCGCCTCCTCCGATGCCAGGGATGTTTGAAAATATTTCAGAAACCACGAAACCTACAATTCCTCCTCCTCCTCCACCGCCTCCTATGCCAGGGATGTTGGAAGATATTTCTGAAACGATGACATCGTTGATTCCTCCTCCGCCACCACCGCCTCCTATGCCAGGCAATCTGTCATGTCCTCCACCACCACCTCCGATGCCAGGAATGGTTGTTCCTCCACCACCACCTCCTATGCCGGGAATAGCTGGACCACCACCGCCTCCACCTATGCCAGGAATAACAGGACCACCACCGCCTCCGCCTATGCCAGGAATGACCGGACCACCACCACCTCCACCTATGTCAGGGATGACAGGACCACCACCACCTCCGCCTATGCCAGGAATGACAGGACCACCACCACCTCCGCCTATGCCAGGGATGACAGGACCACCACCTCCTCCAATGCCAGGAGTTCCACCACCACCACCACCAATACCTGGTTCTGTAAGTGGACCACCGCCTCCCCCACCACTTCTTCAAACTGGACCTGCATCTCTACCTCCTCCTCCGCCAGGAGGATGGAATCCTCAAGCCAGAGCAGGTAAATTTTTCTTGATAATGATTTAAAGTATGAAATAATTTCATTCATATGATTATTATTGTTGTTATTATTATTTCAGCTATGCGCAAACAACCGTTAAACCCAGAAATTCCAATGAAACCTCTTTACTGGACAAGAATATTAGTTCCTACTCATACAGCTCCTCCTACAATACCAGCAACGAGTCCAGACGCGCCCCCACAGGTAAGTTTTAAATGAAAAATTGTTGATTTCATTATTTATTAAAATTTGATTCATACAAAAATTATTTATCTTTATTGGACTTTTCTTATAAATAGCTGTAATTTATTGAGTCTTAATGAAATGAGTAACTGTATAAATTGATCAACAGGTTCCTTTGTGGGCTGAATTGGAAGAAGAAAAAGTCGATATTAAAGAATTCATTGATCTATTCTCCCGTCAAGTGATCGAAAGAAAGCCAACAATAAAAAAAGAAGAATCGAGTAAACCATCTAAGATTCAACCAGCCAAAATTCTTGATTCTAAAAGGTCAAAAACAGTTGGAATCTTGGAAAAAAGTCTACGGGTAGATTTCAGTGAAGTTGAAAATGCAGTTTACAACTTGGATACCAGCATTATTAGTCTAGAAGCATTAAGACAAATCTATGAAATTATGCCAACAGCGAAAGAAATCGAAGAAATCACAACACATGAGAAAGAGCATCCTGAAATTCCTCTTGATCGGCCTGAAATGTTTCTCAAACAATTATCAACAATAAAAAACTTCAATGAAAGGATAATATGCCTAATGTTCCAAGCAGAATTCGATGATGCTATTTCTACAGTTTCTTCAAAGCTAACTAATTTAAGATCAACCTGCGATTATCTACGCACCTCTCAATCATTGAAAAAAATTATGGCACTAATTTTAACACTAGGAAATTATATGAATGGAGGGAATAGAATGAGAGGTCAAGCTGATGGTTTTGGTCTTGAAATTTTAGGTAAACTCAAAGATGTCAAATCTAAAGCTCCTGGAATAACTTTACTGCATTATTTAGTTCGATTAGTATTAGACCAAGAGAAAAATTATAACTTTGATGAAATGTTACCACTTCCAATACCAGAACCAGCAGATATTGAAGCAGCATCAACTATAGACTTTGAAGAAATCACCAAGGAATTGGAAAGGCTTGAGAAAAAGCTTCAGGAATGTGATAAAAATTATCAAATAGTTATAGAAACTTGTCCCGAAAATTCCACAGCATTCAAAGAAAAAATGGATACATTTATGAACAGAGCTAAAAATGAATTAACGAATGAAAGGGAAAATTTGCAAGAAGCGAAAGCTAGATTTATTGCTGCAATGTATTTTTATCAGTATACGCCTAAAGGAACCAGTATTGAAAAGACGGACCCTAAAGAGTTCTTTGCACTATGGTCAAATTTTTGTAAAGATTTCAAAGATATTTGGAAAAAAGAGCAACAAAGATTGAAAAAAGAAAGAATGAAAGCAATTAGAAAAAAATTGGAAGAAAATCGTAAAATAGAAACAACGAAAATCGTTCCAGGAGGACTGAAAGATCGTTTGTTAAAATTCATGGAAAAAGAAAAAAGATAGTGAAAAAAAAATTAAATTTAAAACAATACAGAAAATTTATACCACAATATAGCACAAAGAATATCTATTCATGTTAAAATTATCTTATAAAATTTATTTAATGTTATCATGAGTGAATTGGCTTTCTTCAAAATATTCTGATCTCAATTGCATCACTTATCAAGTTAAACATGCCAAAATTCTAAAAAAATGGAACAAGAAAATATTGCTAATGAGCAAAATGCATTACTTGTTATACTATTCATATAAAAAAATCGTTATATTTATTATGTCGCGCACGAATTATTTAATTATTGTTACGATCTCTATATAGATTATAATTTAGTATTTATCATATAATAATAAACATTTAATAAAAAAAATTTCATAAATATGGCTGATAAAATTTTGTGTTATAAACTCACCGGCGTCAGTAAAGTTATTTCCTATCTAACTGTTATTCCATTCATCAAAGCTGCTATTTCATAATACATTTACTTGTTTTATATTTTAAACTGTTTGCATGCATCAATTAGACTAATACGCATCATTTTGGTTGTTAATTTACTCGAATTAAGGGAGAGAAAGTCCGTTAGCGTCCATGGCTCTATTTCAAATGCGACAAGTGACGCTTGCATAATGAGCTTGGTTTTCTATGTCGATGTTGCAGTTTAGTCATCTACTCATGACGACATCTACCATAAATAAAACAAACTAAAAAACAATCTGGTTATCTGTCGATAAAATAACCTTGGAAATTTTTGCGTTCATGCGCAGAAAGTATCTGCGCATCAAAACTGATTTTGAACTTTGATTTATTTTTTTAATTTCAAACTAAATGATTGAGTTTAAGAAAGAAAATTACATTGATTTTATATACGTTTAAAATTGATTAATTTGATAATATTAAAGTTATAGTCATCAAATTTTATTAATTTTATTCATCAAAATCCGTACTTTTCTCGCTCCTACATCCTAGATGTCAGCACACGTTTCCGCGTATACAAAACGATTTAGAGCGGCCATTTTCACGTTGTGGCGTCATTTTATCTCTGTTTGGCGTCAACTGTTGGTGAGTGATAATCCATTTATTACTACTTAATAAATTAAGAATCCGTCTTTTTAAATGACTTTATTCAATTATAAACATTAAATTAGAGTATTTATAATGATTAGTTATTCCTTATTTTAAAGTAATTATTAGAAAGCATATATAAATTATTTAATGAAATTGTACGAAGACGCCGACTCGGTTTTTAATTCAGATCTTTTTTTGTAAATAATTTTTTTAAATTATTCTCTTTTAAATAAACACTTTCGTAACCATAAATTAATAAAATTTATTCAACTTTGCTGTAATTTACGTATTTTTTTATATTTTCATTCATAGTTTCATATTTCCCTGAGGTTAACATGCTAAACATGGCGGTCGTTTAATCTAGAAAGAAAGTCCTGTATGAAACGCACTTTTACAAAATGTACTACTTGAAAACACAATAGCTGTGTAGAATATAATATATATTGAAGAACTTTGTCTTTGAAAAAATAATTAAATTATATATTTTTTCAGTTATATAATCCTTGAATCATGGCTGATAATGATGACCTTCTGGATTACGAGGATGAGGAACAGGCAGAAGCAGTCGTCGATGGAAGTGGAGATGCACCTGCAAAGAAAGAAGTCAAGGGTACCTACGTCTCGATACACAGTAGTGGTTTCAGAGATTTTTTGTTGAAACCAGAAATTCTCAGAGCTATTGTTGACTGTGGTTTTGAGCATCCTTCTGAAGGTATGATCGAGTTCTATGGCTTATAGAGTAGTTAATGTTAACCAAGGTAACAAAATAGGGCATTTTTTACTTGGGTATATTATTTCTGAGCCGTAGGCGAGGGTGGTAAACACTCAGGTAAAGATGTCCTGTTTTTTTCATATGATCAACATACTAATTTTTATTATATCTTTAACAAAAGTTAATTTTTTCTGCAGTTTTCATATTAGAAAGCTGACGGCTTTTTTTTCTCTTAAACAAAGACGGTGCTAGTCTACACTGTCTTTTTTTTGAGGGAAAAAATTCGTCGCTTTTTCCCCTAAAAACAGGGAAAAGTAGTTAACTTTTGGCGGGGATATGAGAAGAACATATATTTTAATCCAATGAAAATGATGACCCTTATAGATAGGGACAACAGATTGTTTGTGAATGAGATACATCTATCCTGATTGCTAACAATTATTAAAATATATATTTATTATTAAATGCGACAAAAATTAATATGAAATTCTTTTTTCAGTACAACATGAATGCATTCCACAGGCTGTTCTTGGCATGGATATTCTTTGCCAAGCAAAGTCTGGTATGGGGAAGACAGCTGTCTTCGTTTTGGCAACCTTGCAGCAGCTCGAACTTACTGAAAATCAAGTATACGTGTTGGTGATGTGCCACACACGAGAGCTTGCATTCCAAATCAGCAAAGAATATGAACGGTTCAGCAAATACATGCCTCAAGTCAAGGTAAAATATTATCAATATTTATTTTATTAATTCAATAAAAAATCATCCAGATGATGTTGCAATATTCTTAGTTATAATGATGACTCTTGCATATACCACTACCCACTACTGATGGAGATTAAAAAAAATTTTATTGATTTTCTATAACACAGTTAAGTAAATAACATTAAACAATTTGTATTGATTTTTTAGATTGGTGTATTCTTTGGCGGTTTACCGATCCAAAAAGATGAAGAGGTTCTCAAAAACACCTGCCCACACATTGTGGTAGGAACACCCGGTCGCATTCTTGCTCTTGTACGAACGAAGAAGCTCAATTTAAAACATCTAAAGCATTTCATTCTTGATGAATGTGACAAAATGCTCGAATTATTAGGTAAACATTAACTTTCAATACATTTTTAAAATTATTTATTTTATTTGAAATATTTAATTAATAATTTAATTCATTTCTAGACATGAGAAGAGATGTACAAGAGATCTTTCGAAGCACTCCACATAGCAAACAAGTAATGATGTTCAGCGCCACATTATCCAAGGACATTCGACCAGTCTGCAAAAAATTTATGCAAGATGTAATTAGCCAATCTTCCTCTTCACTGCGATCCTCGATCAATTCTACCTCGTTGGCCCCACGTTTACACCCAGGGGAGAGCTCAGGCCACGCACGCAATAATATTCGAGGCATACCCGCGGGTTAGGCTAGCTAGAAACATCAGCAAATTGTTGATACATCCTTGAGCACTTTTACTTCTGATAATATTCCTTATATTTTCCGTCAAACCAACAACACTCATCCTTGAAATACCAATTCTCGATATAATCCTCACCTCAAGAACAATCCTATATTATCTTATCAATCCAATCCAATATGCGCTATACATACAAATAAAATGATAATAGAGGGTGGGTGGGTGATTTTGTAATGGGTTATACCGTCAACGACCAGAAAGAAGATTTCAAGACATCGATGAAGAGAGAAGATGCAAGAAAGAAGATTCAAGAGGATCCTTGGGGCGCTGTTATTTAAAAATTAGTTAGGGTACATCAATTCGATCGTAATCAAATTAAAAATAATCGGTAAACCGCGTCCGTTAAACAGAAATAATTCAATAATATTGATTCAATGATGATAATAAATGAGGCCGGATATAAAAATTGTGCATCGAAATTAAAATCTTGTGACGATATCTGTGGATTTCAACGAGGATTCGTCTCTACTGAAAACCACCTTAATGTTAGCTGATGCTCGTGAGCATGTTACTTCGCGTTTCAATGGAGTTTGCGGGATTACAATGTTTGATTGAGTGGAGATTTTCATCAATGGGGGCAGTGGATTGTGGCTGAGCATTCCTGGGTGGCAGAACATCTTATTTCTGTCAGGAGATCCACTGCCAAGTTTTCATTGTTGCCTCTACCTTATTAGTGGAAGTCGTCGGACCGTATGTAACCAGTGTGACAATCTGATCAACGATAAGCCAATGTGTCATCAATATCAAATCATTCTTGAATTAAAATATAAAGAAACATTAATTTTTCAATACTTGAAATTCAGTTACAATTCACTTAAAAACTAGTTTATCAGAGTCTTTCACTGTTCATTTCATTTCTCAATGGAAACTTGAGTAAAAAAAAAGACAATATTTCCATTAGATAAACAATTCCAATGAATGTTTTATTTTTACAGCCAATGGAAATATTCGTTGATGATGAGGCTAAACTTACTCTCCATGGTCTTCAACAACATTATGTTAAATTAAAGGAAAATGAAAAGAACAAGAAATTATTTGAGCTACTTGATGTCTTGGAATTCAATCAGGTCGTCATCTTCGTTAAATCCGTTCAAAGATGTATGGCTCTCGCACAATTATTAACTGAACAAAATTTTCCTGCCATTGGAATTCATAGAGGAATGACACAAGAAGAACGGCTTTCAAGATATCAGCAATTCAAGGATTTCCAAAAGGTAATATTAATATTCAAACCAATTATATGTATTTAAAAAATATTTAGCCTATTATGAGGATATCTCATGATCATGATAAAAATGATTGTTTACTCTTGAACTCTCTACTGATTTATTATATTAAAAACTAAAAGTAAGTTGATAAGAAATTCTTCATTTTGTTAATCTGTGATTTATTTTATTTTTAGCGTATATTGGTAGCAACTAATTTGTTTGGACGAGGAATGGATATTGAAAGAGTAAACATTGTATTCAACTATGATATGCCTGAAAATTCAGACACTTATTTGCATCGAGTAGCACGAGCTGGACGTTTTGGTACGAAAGGATTAGCTATTACCCTCGTCAGTGATGAAAGTGATGCAAAAATATTGAACGATGTCCAAGAGAGATTCGACGTCAACATTTCTGAGTTACCAGATGAAATCGATTTGGCATCATACAGTAAGTTCTTTCAAATTTAAATACCATTTAGATATAAATTACATTTGAATAAATACACTAACAATAAAAATTTCTTTTTACAGTCGAAGGCCGATAGATACTCATTAGTAATAATAATAAATACGATTACAAATGTTGCCAAGATGGCATCAAGTTGGTCCACGGATTGTGATGGAACAACTAAGAATTCATTAAAGGGATCATGCGTTTTCCCTTATTTTTTCATATTTTCATTTTGACATAAATAGATAGAATAACTTTGACGTGAAGAACAGAAGATAAGAATAATTACTTATAATAGCCATAATCTTGGATTGTTTTTAGTACTCCGTTGAGGACGTTTGATAAATATTTCATTATTATAACAAAATGACATTTTTTTAATAACGCTACGTAAATAATTATTGATTGAATCCACTGAACATAGAAAATAATGAATGTGTGTAGTAATTTTTGTGCATTAATAAAATAGATTCAGGATAACATTTAAGAAGCACAAATAAAAGTCTACTCTTGAGTTGAATAATTATGGCAATTGAAATAATGAGTTAACGAAAAATAGCAATGTAATTTTTTATTTATTTAATGCATTAAAGTTGTAATTATTATTGTAATAAATTTCACTTAAGTCTAGATTTATTAAGTGGTTTATTTCCTTGATTACCACCACCACCTCTTCCTAAGGGAGCAGAACCTCTATTACCACGGTTTCCAAAGGTTCCTCTACTTGCTCCACGACCTCCTCGTTGATTTTGTCCCCCTCGTCCTTTCATTTCACCTCTTCCTCGTGCTTTCATTTGAACGTCTTCCTTTACCATGTCAATTACTTCATCTGGGATACGTAAATACTTTATCGTGTTACCTCTAATATAACATTCTGGCATCCTCCAAAATTTATCACCATCCTATAATAAAAAAAGTCATTTTATTATTTTTTAATTAAATGATATTTGAAAAAAGTATTAAATAATTAAATTACTTCGGAAAACAAGATTATCAATGAAAATTGACTAATACATTTAAAAAATTAAAAACTAAGTCAATACTTTTCAATCCCATAAAACGAAAGCTATTTTAAAAATTAACTTACCCTAGATGTGCAAATGACTTCTCTGAGATTAATATTCATCCAATTGTCACAGCTTACTAAATGTCCATTATATGTCTCTCCATTTTTTAATTCGACAAGCTAAAAAAAGTATTAAATGAAATGTTAAAATCTAGAAATTTAATTTATTTGTTATGAAAACTTTTAGGTTATAAAAATACCATGGGATGATTTTGAGCTGTGCGAAGTAGTGAAAGTGGTAACTGTAATAAGAAAGAAATATTGTTGTATATTATTTTGTATATTTTACTTTCTTACAATTAATAATAATAAAAATACTGACCATGATGAATTGGAGGTAATACGTTTATGGATGTTGTTGTTGTTTGTAGTTTTAGCTTGTGAAAAAAATCACAATTTTGATAAAATTTCAAATATAAATTAATATTTTATAATAAAATACTACTTAATAGAATTATCCAATACTACTAATAATATTTTTTTGTATGTTAATTGACAAAATTCAATTATATTTGCTTAGACTGCAAAAAATCATACTGACAAGTTTTTCACTATTTATGATTCCTGGGAAACATAACCTCAAAACTAGCGGCATCAAAATTATCTATAGTGTTATGCTATAGTATATTTTCATGTTTATGTACACATGTTTAAGTATACTTGAAAATCGCCACCAGTAATATTTATTTTTAATAACAAATTAATATTAAAAATGTTTATGAGATCACGAGTAGTGAATTTATCAAGATGTTCAGTAGCAATCTACAATGATTTGTTATTTGGATTAAACAATGTAAAAGTAAAATTGAATGTTTAGCTTATTTTATCATCAGGCAGAATGTTGAAAAATAATAATTATTAAATTTATTTCAGAATGTAAATAAATACAAAAAGCCTGTGATTTTTTATAGCCAAGATAGTCTTTTAGCTAATAAATCAAATAATGAAGAAGTATTACCTGTCAATAAATATGTACTCAGGTCTCATACCTGTGGAGAATTGACAGTTGATGATATTGGACGAACGGTTCATTTATGTGGATGGATGGAATACCAAAGGATGGGAAAATTTCTAACATTGAGAGATTCTTATGGTCACATACAATTAATAATTCCTGATGAAGTTAGCATAATTATAATAATTAAATTTATGAGCGTTAAACTAAATCACATTGTATATTTTAAAATTACTTTCTTTAATATTTACTTTTTAAATTAATTATTCTTTACAGAGACAATCTTTAATCCAAATAGTTGAGAAGTTAAATTATGAAAGTATACTTTCAATTACTGGAAAAGTCATTCGTAGACCTCCAGGTCAAGAAAATAAAAACATGACGACTGGTAACATAGAAATTCAAGTGGATAACTTACATGTTTTAAATGAATCAATATCACAGCTTCCTTTTAATATAAGAGAACACAATATCCCGAGAGAGTCACTCCAAATGCAATATCGATATTTGACATTAAGATTTCCTTCAATGCAAAGAAACTTGAGAATAAGATCTCAATTTATTCATAACATGAGAGGATATTTAATTGATCAATGTGGATTTGTAGATGTTGAAACTCCAACTCTTTTTAGACGTACTCCTGGTGTAAGATAAAATAATAAAATAATTCGCATAAAGTTTCTATTTCAAAAAAACTATCGCTACGAGGAAAAACATTTAAATAATGTATTTTTAGGGAGCCCAAGAGTTCGTAGTTCCAACTCAATTTCCAAGAAAGTTTTATTCTCTAGTCCAAAGTCCTCAGCAATTTAAACAATTGTTGATGGTTGGTGGAATCGATCGATACTTCCAAATAGCAAGATGCTATAGAGATGAAACTGCTAGACCCGATCGACAACCTGAATTTACACAAGTAATATTTTATTGTATAGTTTATAAAATGCTATTAAATTATTCGAATGCTCATTTATTTAATTATTCATCACTCGAATTTATAAGTCGTATTGTATGAAAGATGATTTATTAATACTTTTTGCAGTTGGATATTGAGGTTTCATTTACAGATCAAGAAGGAATTATTAATCTTGTTGAAGATCTTTTATATCACTGTTGGCCGAAAGAATTAGGTCAATTGGCTATTCCTTTTAAGCGATTAACTTACGAAAAAAGCATGGAAACTTATGGTTCAGAGCAACCAGACCTTAGAATTCCTTATAACATTTTTAACGTAACTGATTCTACATTAAATATTCATAATGAACAGAAAGATTTAGCAGTTTACGCTCTGTGGATTCCGAATGGGTCTGTAAGTACTATAAACAATTTTCTTATTTTGATATTTAAATAATTCAAAGGAATTTTTCATAACAGGAATTTCTAACAAATTCAACAAAAAACGAATTAGATTTCCTCAGAAAACAAAATTTTGAAGATGTAAAATTAATTCAAATAAAAGATTTCAATGATTCTTGGCAGACTAAACTTGCTAAGATTGGTTTAAATTTATCAGGTTTATTACAGAAATCGAAGTATACTAAAGATGATGTGCTATTCTTAGCTTTAGGAAGAAAATGTGACGCAGTAAATATTGATATAATAATAAGTTTGATACTTTTTTTAACTTAGCTGTAATAATAAGAATAATTTAGATTATTTAAATTTTAGAGACAACTTTTAGGAAAAATTCGTGTAGGATTTACTAACATCATGGAATCGAAAAATAGGCAAATAAGATCTCGTGACTATAAATTTCTCTGGATTACGGACTTTCCGTTATTTGAAAAAGATAAAGACGATGCAATATGTTCATCTCATCATCCTTTTACAGCACCTCATCCTGAAGATATGAATCACCTTAAGACCGATCCTCTTCGAGTTAGTATTTATAAATAAATAAAAATAGCAAAACTATTGCTAATATATTATTTAATTCAAGATTTAAGCCTTTCGAATCAATAATTCATCACTTTCTATTGCCTCAGGTCAGGGGATTGCACTACGACCTTGTTCTGAATGGATCGGAAATAGCTGGCGGGTCAATTCGAATTCATAACGCAAAATTGCAACAACAGGTGTTGAATATGTTGAATATTGACAGCTCACAAATGAAACATTTGCTGGAGGCTTTAGACAGTGGAGCTCCTCCCCATGGAGGGATTGCTCTTGGTATATGATTAACAAAAACATACAAATTAATTCATTTTAATAAATATTTAATATATATTGATAAATATTTTTTAGGTTTAGACAGATTGGTCTCCATCATTTGCAATTCATCAAGTATCAGGAATGTCATTGCATTTCCAAAGTCAATGGAAGGTCGTGATTTAATGTCAGGAGCACCTGCAGACATATCCGAAGAGGAACGAAAATTATATCACTTAAGTATACTGGATAATGATGCACAAGACATTAAAAAGAATTGACCATAAACTGAAGTTGTACAAAATTGTTGATATTTTATTGAATCGAATATTTTGTGAAGTTTCATCTACAAAACAAAATAACATGATTACAATAATATTTTGATGACAGTTATTTCAAGTCTAACAACAGTGTTTGCATTTTTTCATTGTTTTAAAATTATTTACGTAAAACGATGATTAACTATGAAAATTGCCAATTACGTAAACAGAATGGAAAATATATGTTTGAAATATTTCTTGAAATTAGATAATAAATATATATTTGTATGTAAGAGTTTAGAACTTTTAGTATTTGTTTTGACGTTGTTACAATGAATAGATAAATATTTAAACGGCATTGAAGTTATTGTAATAAAAATTATCAATGTCGCTATGAGGGATCAATGATTTGTTTTAATCAGATGAATTCATTTAGAATCCTTTTATCAACTATAAACGTCGTTAGCTTATCGCAATGGATTGGAAATCGATTTAATCGGCTTATTATAATATCAATTATGACTTTAAATTAGTCATCTCTAGATTCTTTAACAAACGATCATTTTACTGTCATATTAATTATGAGAATCGGGCATTTATAAATCTTAATAACTACTTCATAAAAAATGTCATTGTTTAAAGTATAAAAAAGGGATCATTTTGGATAATAAAAAAAAAGCGTAACGAAAACACATACAGTAATCAAGTGTTCTTATATAAGAAACATTCATTTCTTTTTCAAGTGCTTCTACTTCCTTCTCTTATAATTAGATTGATTTAAAATATTGGAAGATTCACACTGCTTCTTATAGTTTATTATTATCATACTCTTTTTTTTTATCTTACTATTTAACATATCTGACATTTAAATTAAACTAAAAAACTGTTTTACATTTAAAAAATGTTGACTACAACCGTACTTAATGCAGCATTTTGATTCTACTGAATTAATTTCTCGTTGTGCGGACGGAGAGGGGCGCGTCTTTGTATCTAAAAATCCAGTGCGCAGCTTTAATTTTCTCTTGCTTTACCTAATAATTTACTCAAAAAAATTCCAACTGTTTAGTGTATTTATAAATAAAAGGAAAATTATTACTATCAAAAAAATACATCACTAAAAAAATTACTTGTCTAAATACTTTTAATAAAAGACATTACTATATATTTATTTATTTAATAAATTCTTATTTTTTGTTTGATTATAAACTATTTATTAATAAAAAATTTTCTTTAATAAAAATTAAGTTATAAAGTTGATTATATCGTTAAATAGAAAACAAAAAAATAAACGTGAGGTAAAAAAAGGTTTTGTAAGAGTAATCGTTGGTTATCAAGAATTTTTCTTTTAAAACCATTTTTTGTTTTATCATGTTCATACATCCCATTAAATTAGTACGAAATAGATTTTGTGTATTTTAATCTAAATGATACGCGGTAAAGTTTCAAAAATCTATTACAAATAATTGTGTAACGTGATGAGGAGCCAGGAATCACAGAAAATCAGAATCAGCATTAGGCTTCAATCAGTTTTAATCTTGAATGAGTTTCCGCTATCACGTTTCACAACGACATTTTATTATTTTTTTTTTTTTATATTATATATACAATACTCGACACTCGGCAGTATATTAATGTCCGCAAAAAATAACGGACGCAAATTAAATCCATGATTCTAATCATTACAAATGTATTTCTGATAGTTTTCTTTAAATTAATTCTTTTCTCTGTTGAACTCCGCAACTGAACGAGTCGGTTTTGTTAAATTGTGTACATTTTTATGTCACAATAGAACACCAATTACAATTGGATGAAATTCAATAGTGATTACATATTATTTTAGTTGTTTATATATTTTATAAAAAATACTATATTACATCGAGTTGCACATTTATACTCGTCCTTCGAATCACGAACGCCTTTCTCACACTCATGCTCACATCCACATCACATTTATATTATGCAATAGGGATAGTCACGTCATTTCATGCAGAGTAAATGAGGGAGTTGAGAGGAAATGTTTAAAGACAAGAGAAAGGGGACAATGTTTGTTATGTGTCCTCGGATGAATAATAAAAGGAGTGCCATATTTACATAAACGAAAGGGTATGATTGAGGAGGGTAGTGTTCGACCAAACATTCATATTCATATTTTATTTTTTTCAATATCTTATATTTTTTTTTTCTGAATGAATTTTTTTTTTAGGAAAAAAGAATAGCTGCTAATTTTTACAAAGAAAAAATGTTTCATTGTTTCATATTATCTTTGTTAAGATGAATAATTTGTTCGAACGTGATGACAGTATTCTTCTCAAGCACACAATTGATAGTGGAACCGTAATCATAAGCACAGGTACACATGAACATAACTATGTACATGGGTTGAAAACATGTGTGAATACTAACGGTATTTAGTTAAAGTTCAGTAACGTGACCGAAAGATAAACATACGCAATATCGGTGTATCATAAGTGTCGATGTCAATGACGGAGATAATAACAGTATCTTCAGACCAGAGCCGGACAAACTTTGACTTTTGGGAGCACCTCTGTATGACTAGCATAGCTTTTCACCTACCTGAGGAGCTAAAAGATCCTAGTTTGCCCGGTTCTGTTCTAGACAACAGAAGAAAAAATAATACAATTATTTAACAGCGCATCATCTCTCCTCTTCTCTGTCTTATTGTTGATCACGTTTTAGCATATCTTGATCTTCATTAATGCGCAGGTAGGTCCCTCATGAAAATAATAGAAAAAACTCCTTCATCCTCTTGAAGTCCAGCCGTTGATATTGATGAAGAGAATCTTTCAGGTGGATCGTTTGTAATAGTAAAAAAAAAATGCAGTTCGGACATGGATCCATCGTCAATTTTTATCCATTCGCCACCATAATTTGATGACATTTAATTCTAGACTTCCTCGAGTGAATAAAAAAAACTTTATAAGAAAAATTGATTCACTCATGTCCTTTTTTTCTGATCACTGATGAGATCGTTTTGTTTATTAAACGTATTGCGAAAAAACCACATGGAAGCTCTTTACGCTGTATCTTCTACGGTTGGTAGCCAGAATGCCATGTTAGTGCATGCTGACGCGAGCATCATGTATTTTGGATTAAACTGAATGCATTGAACAGGAGCTGGATGATCACCATTCAGTACACAAACCTTATAACCAGTGTCAGCATTCCAAACGTGGACTCTTCCATCAGTAGATCCACTAAAAACAAACTGTGAGTCTGGACTAAAGCTAGCTTCAATGGAAATGCCCTTATTATTGAGATAACCAGCAAATGTTTGAAGTGGAGTTCCATGAAAAGCATCTATTAAACGTATTATACTTCCATTAGTTGATATTAAAATAGTTTTACCATCACGGCTAAATTTTAAACCTGTCCAATCACACTCTTTTTCTTGCGATAACTTGAATGTAACAAAAGGACCTTTGTCAAAGCTACGAAGGTCATAGAGTTTGATACATTCAGAATTAACACCAGCAGCGAAAATAAGCCCTTCTGGATCATAAGCTGCAACTGGTCTGCCAGAGACATTCATTACACCATGACAGTTTGGTGATCTCAAGTCCCATAGTCGGAGTGTTTTGTCGAGAGAACCAGAGAGAAAGGTATCCTCGACAGGGCTAATACACAGAGACACGACTTTCTTAGTGTGACCAGGGAAATATCTGATGTATTTATTGTCATGTAGACTGAGGTAGCGTATTGTGTCATCAATCTTCGTACTACTGTGAATTGCAGTATTTTTAGCATGGGTAAAGTGAATTAAGTCAACACCATATTTTTTCGAATTAACTGTTCTCATTTGAGTGCCTTTCTCGCAATCATAGATGACTATTTGATCGTCCTCAGAGCATGAGATTAAAGTGTCACCGCTTTGTGAAAAATCGATGCTGTTTATACGGTCAGAGTTTTCACGGAAGACCTTGGCCACTTTGAAGCTCCGTACCACGTGGTCGACAAGCTTCATGGCTGATTATTTACAACTTTTTCACTGATTTTAAAAACAATAACAATAACAACTAATAAATAATTTCCAAACGTCGTTGTCGCAGCCACCGACGCCGCGATTGTCCTTCCTCGTTAGTTTCCTCTCCCTCTCTTACTTGCTTTCTTCCTCTTCCGTTTCTCTCTATTCTTTTCAAGATTGGTTTTCTCCAGAGGATTGAATTGTTGTTGTGTTACAGATTATTACGACATCCGGGGTAAAGTCGTCGGTAAAGGCCGACGACCTTGATGAAAGGATTATCAACAAATAAAGTTTGATGGTGGTCGAGGGTTGAACGAAAAAATCCCGGGCAAATGATCACACAGTCGTTGTTCAAGGGAACGCCGGTAATCTTTCGATCTATTAACGTCAATTTAAGCCACGACCACTTATTGGTCAACGGCCACCGAATTGACGCGTCGATTATCAAATTTAGCTACGACAATTGACTGATTACTCACGACAAACAGATCCTCTCTTAACGAAAAATGAATACCTTCTGAAGAAAAAAACCATCGAATAACCATGCACGATGGTAGTCACTAATCCTTATAACAATAGTACCAACTGTTATTCTTGTGGCATTTGTGAGGTTGCTTCCACGTCGTCGCGCGCCATTTTTTTACTCTCACGTTGCTCTAGTCGATTATTTAAAATCACTTTGGCGGTAAAAATTTGTTTATTCAAGAACATTACGTAAATTCAACTCATGATCAATAAATTTCAACAATTTTTTTAATGTAGTGAATTGCAACGCAATGTAAAAATTGCGCTACTTTTGTTTATTTATTAAATTCATTTACAGTGTTACATATTTTGAGTTGAATATGCCTTTTTTTATTTTTGACATACTGTAAAAGGCGCTCGATGGCAAAAACAGTTCGTTGTAAGCAAATATTAATGCTTCATTCAATACAAACTCTCCTAATTACACATACTCTTTGTCATTAAAAATTATAAATTTTTATATTAAGCGCTAGTCCATAGTATTTGAGCTTTATATATTATTGTTTATTTAAATTCTGTTTTATTTTATATCAGTTTTATATTTTTTTCAGTTTGACGATTTTTCTACATAAAATATAATTAACAAGCTAAACAAATAAAATTAGCAATAGAAATTCCATTTGAAAATTTTTATAACAATCTGTTTTGTCGCACATATATTTCTCTTATTATAAATAAAGCGAATTGGCGACATAAAATTTACATACAAAACTTTTGCTTTATACTTCATAGTAAAAAAATAATCCAAAGTTTTATTTTGTAAAATTGTCTGATAAAACATGCATGTCAGCGATAACATTTTTTAGAAGATAATTTAGAAGTAAAATAGTACTTTTATATATATATATATATATATACAAATACAAATACTTTTATAGCATCATATACTAAATTATAATTATAATAAATACTCAATAATTATTTAATAAATTACTTAATTATTTAAGCATACAGTCCATCAATGATTACTTTTCGGAGTAATTCATAATTTTTACAACGTTGCGATACTTTAGAGGTTTCTGCAATTTTTTTTACATAATTCTAATCACATTCTGTTTTATATCTACTTTAGACTCTCATATACTTTTTTTTTTATAAATAATTCTTCAAATCTCTTACTTTTATTTTCAGTAACAACAATAACGCCATCGATAACGAGATAGAGATACTTAAAATAAAATTTATTCCCCATTTTTAATACGAATTACGAGGCAATTTTGAATAAATTACACCGAAAAAAGTTTATATATTACACTATGTCTTTGGATTTTCTTCTGTATAAGTTATTGTAATAAATTCATCACACTTGCAGTAATTATTACATCAATTGAGTATTTCACGCCGATAGAATTATTATAAGTAATATACAAATGTGTTCAAATCACTGAGGTACATGTTATTCAGTAGGGACGGCGTGATTATTTATATATTTTTAAAATTTTTCATTTAAGTTAAATTTGATTTCGGTATACTTTATTACAAAAGCCGCATCAAATTTTGTTTATAAACAAAGTGTCGCACAATAGGCTCATTATTGGTCCCTGAACCCAAAAATTGTACTTATTATTAAATGCGCAGCATATTTAAGCATTTTGGTTTTTTGTGACAATTGTTATTGTGCTATAAAAAGTATATAAAGTGCAGCGCATATTTTTGTGCAATAGTTTTGTGTTATATCACCAGTTTAAATACATAAAATTGTAAAAATAATATTGCAGGCTAATCTGCAGCGGTTCAGGGAATACTTTCGGTATCATTTTAAATATTATTTCAAAATACCATTGAAAACGATTTATTATCAGCGTATTGTGCGACGTTTTTTGTTGATAAAAAAGAAAAATATATCTACATCATCTGTATTTTCTTACATTAAATAATTATTATTGTATCGTGTATATACTGTAGGCTGAGAAAAAGATTTTTTCTAAAATTTATAACAAATAATATTCTCTCTCAGATTTTATAAGTCATTTTTTTCATATCATATTATTATATTGCAGTATTCTTTAACTCTAAAAAACTTCTAAGGCCGCGACTAATATCGTGATTTATATTTGGTAAAATATACATTATCAGCGTGATTCGTCGCATAATTTAAATTATATAAATAAATCTTTCAGAGATAAACAAAAAGAAACAAATTGTTTCAAGTGTATAAAGTGTAAATTACAAGATATCTCAATATTAAAAAAATATTATCAATGTGTAAAGAGTAAAAGCACATTTCGGCATGGCGATAATATTCAATTGCAACCTTTTTATATTTGTTTACAAAGCAATCTAGGAGTGCATATATTTTACATGCAACCTAGAACAATAGATAATAAATATCTTATGTGCTATTATTTAAATCACAAATATATTGTTGTCATGTAAAGGGAACCGGCCCTATTAATGTCTTCATTTTTTGAACTTTATCGAATGTATATGCAGTTAAATACCACAATAACAATAGGAACATCCATATTAATTTTCAAGATCTTTTTTGAGCCCATTTAAAATCATCAGCACGAGGTTTATACCCTGTCAAATTTTCTATTATCGTTTCTAAAATATACCAAAACCTTAGTTTCTCGAGGGGCCAATTTAACCAACCCGTAGTAATACAAAAGTACGTTTCGTGTGGAGCAACATGATGAACTCGATGATGTCTTCTAGGAAGTATTATTCTATGTTCTTGAAGCCACACCACCCAACTGGGGAGTCCGAAGTATGTGTGAGACCACTTATGAATCTGTAAATGATTCATGAGTTCATAGAAAATCTTTTCTAAGAAATTACTAGACAAATAATTCAGTAAATATTTGACATTCTCTACAATGACTTTTCAATGACTTAATAACTTTCTTCAATAATAGAAAATATTTGATAATTTGATAATCGTGTAATTATAAACAATTTCTTTCAATTAATAAGCTATTCAATCACACAATAGTTTATTTTTGAAAAAATACAAGACTCTTTGTCTTATGATCAATTATTTACCTGGTTAGTCATAGCTACAAAAATTGCAAGCTGCCACCAGAAACAACTCCAGAGAAATCTTCGCTGAATAATAGATTCAGGCAGGGTTAAAAAATCCCACGTGAGTTTACACAGCGCTGGAATAGTAACCATGAAATTATCGCCGTTCGTTTCGATAAAATCATGCCTAGTTATGCTTGTTGGATCTATGTGATGCTCACGAAATGGCCTCAAAAAATTCTAAAATAATAACACAATAGACTTTTAATAAAAGTCAATCAATGTCACTAATTAGATTATCATACTTTTCCAAGAATAGGTAATTCTACTGATCCCCATGTATCAGCCGCCCAATGAACTAATCCCGAGATAAAGTCTGCTGTAACGATTCCACAAAGTGCAGCGATGAGCATCGAGCTTAAATTCTCTAATCTCAAACGAATGACAATGAAAAATGAATTGACTGCCATTAGTGTGATACAGATACCCACACAAATACATTCTTGCGTTCTTTTTCCTAAAAAAAAAATTTTATTCATTATATTCAATACTTCTAAATTTTCCAAATCAGTTAGTTTGAAATAAAAAATACATGAGAATATAAATGCAGTTAAATTGAAATTAAAAATCAAGGTTTTTTGTTTCGAAACCGAGTTGCTTGAAGTATATAATTTAAATTATCTACAATCATTTTTTATTTATGTAACTTTTTTCAGCTATTTTTCTAATTAAATTATATTTCTTTTAATAACAAACATAATTACCTGTACTGTAAAGATTTGCTAGTTCTCTAGCTCCTTTGTGATTTGGACCCCATCTGGGTAAAGATCGGTCCTCGTGCAATGAAGGAACAACTGAATTAGCATTAGGATCATCTTCTAACATTGAATTTTCATAAATTTGTTGATCTGTTTTAACCGGAGCTAAAAAAGTAGTAGCCATAGAACAAGCAGTAGATGCTGCTTTTTCTAAACTGGTATTTTCCATCGTTGTACGTTAATTTTTGTTGTAGTAAATAATAAATGAGTATTATATCATAATTATTTAAAACTTATGGATCATATCCTTAGGCACATTACATGCCTTATCACTATTGTGGTATTTAGAGTAAAGCTTTTGTAAGTTGATAAGAATATCTATTTTTATTATCAAATAATAAATCTAGAAAAATCTTCTTCGTCATGGATTTTGAAGAATCGGTGAAGCTTATTAAGTCGGTTTTTAGGTGCAGTGACCGACTGAAAATATCGGTACCGCATTGAGAAAATCATTTAAAGGAACAATGACCTTTGTATCGGTTGTGAACAATTGTATGATAAAGGTCGTTGTCACGAGAACTGAATCATTAATTTTTCACTCACAATTAAATTCATTTTACCGCACGTTTATTTTTTTTTTATTTGTTTCGTGTAAATTCTTGAGTTATTTCAATGCTTCACTTCTCGCCAAATCATCACAGAGCCTGCAAAAAAATAAACAGTCTTATCAAATGACACTGCAGGTATATTAAATTTAAAATACTGTAATTATGAAGTAGTAGAGTATAATTAATTTCATGCAGACTATAATTTGACAATGATCATTGATAAGTAATTAAAATTGGAATGCAATATAAAATAAATTGATTAATGTCACTACTCGACTGTTACCGCAATGAAAGCTAGGAAACAATAAAAAAAATAACAACACATCTGCGCGCTCTTACTCGTCAGAATAATGACGACTGTGATGATTCGAGTGAAGCAATATACTAACATATATCACACCATACATTTAAGATCTGCAGTCAACGACGATTCTATGCGCACTCGCAACCAATTAACCGTTCAAAGGCATGACACATAAGGAAATAACTTTTAGTAAACCAAGATAAAATTAACAAGTGAATCTCACCATTAATTCACACTTTAATGAATTAAAATGTTACTGATTTGAACACATGATAAATTATTCATGACGACTAATAACAATTAACCAAATCGAATCACGAAATTCTCGCGTGTCGTTGTGTAGAATTGTGTTGAAATAAAAATGATGCTATAACCGGCCTCGCCTTGTCTCGAGTTCAGCTTTCATTAGCTCTCGTGCTCTTTATAGTATTGGTAACGTAACTGTCTTCATCTTTTTTTAAATTCCTTATGGTTGTCTTGGATCTGTGATTGTTTTACTTTTTGAGTATTTGAATGATTCACAGTTAGTAAGTCTTATTTAGCTTTTCTATTTTTCACTTTTCCTTATTTTCTATTTTCTTCGTGTCTTCCTCGTGCTATCTCTTTTTATCACAACATCTGTCTTTTTACATCAGAGCTCCTCACTGTCTCCTTCTTTCTCTCGTACTGGCCGTGTGTCCCGGCACCTTAGCCGACATCCAGTCCATGAGTTTTTAGATACACACGATTGACGCTGCCTGACGACGACGCCCTGCGCCGCGACGCTCGCAGCGCCTTCTTATGGCGCGATATTTTTGCTTTTTAAGATATAAATCTTGTCTACATGTATATGCTGCAACAAAAAAGCTTTATGAATAAAAAAATCCAAATTTATTGTTGAAAGAACAAGTTGATCATACCTTTGACAAATTTTGGACACTTTATCACTCATCTAGAAACTTTCTAAGTTTAGCGACAATATATTTAAAGTTCATTTGTATCACTAGCAACGAGACACTTGTGGAGTTTCTTTATCATATCATGGAGAGCGTTGAACTCAAATAAAGCAGCTCGAATTCATCTAGCTGCCACTAGTTCAAACTGGCCAATGTCAAGAGAATTGTCGACCACGGTGAAGTTGAAAGAAATTACCACCAAATCTACCTAGAACATGTGTAATTTTTTATATCGATTTCGTACTTTTTCTTGGTATCGTACATTGATCGAATTTGAATAACTCATGATGATTGTGTGAATGAACATGTGTTTTTAAAAAATTTGTAAAGCTTTACATTATTGTTTTTACATCATACAGAAGCTTCTATAATTGTCCTTGTATAAAGCTCAAAGTCAATAGAATAATTGTTGGATTACCTTTTACTCAAGAAGTTCAAGTAATCAACGCTCATGATTCTTAACTGCTTCTTCCTTTTCGTTTTTACAGGATAAGATGTTTTGTTTAATCCGCTATAATTGAAATAATTTACGCCTGCACATAAAAAGAATAAAAATGAATAAAAAATATGATTGTTAAATTTGATTTATATTGTAAAATAAGTCAAAATGACTTCCAATGAAAAAATAATTTTTATATTAATCATGCTGATCTCTATCTTTAACTATTAACCAACATGCTCTGATGTAAATCAACCGTTGTTTATTCTAATTCATTCCTATCAAACACGTCATTGATAAATACAATTTCTTTCAACAGAAATTTTTCTTTTTTTAGCATTGAATTATATTAATATTGAAGAAAAATTATCTCTCCCTTGGGGATAAAAAATCGCAAGGGGATTCTTCCTAAATCTCGTAACTACAAAAATCCATTATCCATTTGTCAAACTCCTGTCTGCAGAATAAATGATCAACTCTTAAGGGATATTTTATCATGTGAAAATTGAGCTTTTGAATGACTCTTTGAAATGTGTGAACATGACTGATTCTTTTTGGGTTTGGTTTTTCGAATTCAATATTATATGGTTGATGGAGCAAAAAAAGTAAAAATATTTTATTAAAGTACACCAATATGTTCACGTCATCCTCGTAAATTTTTTCTGCTCCCTTGACAATTCTACCATTTTCCTAGAATCGCGTGCAAACTTGACTTCTTACGGTCATGTATTTTTCTCAGCATTGCTCAATTATACTAGTAATAAAAAAAATATACATCGATGTAGGTGTAGTTGCGTAAAATAGCAGAAAGAGAGCACCCTTTTCCTCAACCTGTACTGGTAAAATAACGCGTATGACTTGTATACGTTAACGTGATATTAGTGGATCGATTGTCACGCTAGACTGAAAGATATCGATCGTTGAGTGCAAAGACCAAGGTTCTTTGTCAAAAGTTAATGTTTTGTAAATAATTTAATCAACTAAATTATGAAAACCTTCTGCATATGTGTGTTTAAAAGCAATGAAAATTTTTGAAATATTAACCATAATGGGAGGAAGTAATTAAATGATTTAAATTAATAAAACTAAAAATTATATTACTATTTTTATCCTAATTTCTATTCGATTATTCAACCCTCAACCACTTTCCCTTCAAGCTATTTATTATCAAGGCAAAACCTTTTTTATCCATTTTAAGAGATTACCGTTTAGGTATTCGTGAACGACATAGTTTCGTGTCTAATAAATATTATTAATATTACGTATCAAAAATTAATAAAAATGAGCATTCATTGTTTAATATGAAAAAAAGCTTTGTCAGAGCTTATTAATAAAATTATAATAGATCTGTATCAGTTTGTTTATTTATGATGAATGCCTAAAGTCATATGAATTTTCACTACACGAGTTGTATTTATATGCTTCTGAAACGAATCTTTGCGTATCAAATTCTAAAAGTAGTTTCATTCATTCCACGATGATATATATTTGACGTAGTCGACTCCGCTACATATGTAATTATTATGCACGCAGAAGAAATACTCGTCATTCCGGTTCGTTTGGCAGAGTTTCAACCTTACTCATCGTCATCGACTCGGAAAATAATTCTACTTTTCTATATGATTGTAATCATATCAATCAATATAAAAATTATAACCATTGAGTGATGACAATGAAGCATAAGTTTGTCACGCTAAATGAGTTTATTTCATGTTTCATTGTATTATATTTTTTCTCTTTCTTATGAATAATCATTAATTAATTAGTAAGATAATAAAATCATTTATATTTACCTAAGTCGAGCCAGTAAAAAACCTTGTACGGCCTGTACATTTTGTAGAGATCAATTTAACACGAAGGTCATTTCTCAATATGTTTACGTCAAGATGTTATAAGCTCAGGACTTATTAAACATTGCTTTTTTGTAGACAATGTGCTAAAGATAAGGCACAGGCGCTAGTTCTACACATTCAACTCTTGGAATCCGCGACCAATCGTTAGATAATGTCAATTTTTGGTTCAAAGATTATTTAGCTTGACTTATTGCATGTTTATAACCAATTTAATAATATATGAAATTTGTGTAAGTTACTTATTAACAGAATAAATGATTATTCTTGTTTTCTATCAATTTTACATTATATCAAATCGTTTTCCTATATTATTATAGTGTATTATCTATATATAATATAATACTTCCAATTATGATCATTATTCTGCAACAATAAAAAAAAAATTATTGAATGTCATTGATTGGTTTCTTGCATGTTCAGAAACTAACCGGTTTAATTGAGATTCTTCGTGTTGAACAATATTGAATAGGCTCGTCAATGCTCATCACTAGAAATAACATGAGTACATAGCACGAAAATTATATGGAAAGGTTCCTTCATCGATCGTCTTATTCACGTTTTCTTGCTTCGCCTTTAGTTCAAGATATATAGAACCAAATGTAATATTTATTATACATGGTTGAATATTTTTCTGTATATGTAAATATATTATTTATGAAGTTGAATGATTTATCAAAATACTGTAAACAAAAAATATTTAGAAACAACTTCTACTGAATTGATTGTGACATAAAACTGTTCTGCAGCGTCATGATAATTGACCTTAATTAGATATTATTTAACCTTATTATTTTCGATATCTGTATAGAACTTATAATCACATTCCTGTTAATTATTAATTATATCAAACAAATTATTACTTATTTACTCCAACTAGAACTAGAAAAAGCGGGAAAATGACAATGACGTTGCAGGATGATAATGCCTAAACTCCCGGTTAAAATAATTTCCAAATGGCGCCACTTGCCAAGTGTCGTGTTTTTCACGGCTGCCAAAATCAAAATTACATAAATGTAATACTTTTGGGAAGATAAGAGAATATTTTTTGATCATTTTTCCAGGACAATCGAATTTAATTCGAAATTTATTGTACTCCATTTTATATCCCATTTTAATCAGAATTATTAAGGTTATAGAAATTCAATAATATACAATATATAATAATTATATAATTTATTTCTTAATCAAAGAAACATTGATTTTATATGACATACCAAAATTTACTGTTTTACTTTAAAAGATATTTGTAAAACTGTTTTAATCTGTCCTATTTTTGGATATTTTCCCACTATGGTAAATAACATTATTCTCTTATTAAAAAAATATTAAGTATTTGAGACATGTATTGTGTTGTTCATTCGATTTGTTTTTCAGGTAACAAACACTATGATAAAAAATAGTCTCTATATACATATATGTATGTATATATTTGCCTATGTATGTATTGGAGCATGAAAAAGTACCAGTGTTGTGTCGACTAAAATAGTACTAATAGTATCACATGGATAATAGTTCAGACTAATAAGAAGTCTGTCTTAAAGACAATGATAAGAATCATTAGAAAAAGTTGTTAATTTGTAATTGTCCGTATTTTATTGATTGATAATTAATTATTTTTAAAGGTCTGTAAATGATAACTTTATTCTTTCATTTATCTTTTAAATGTAACTGTGGACAACACAGTTTAAGCTGTTTATGATAACAATGTTGTTTCTTTTTCGTTGTAAAAAGATAAAAATTCATTAAGAGTGTCAATTATTTCAGGAAAAATGAGACTATCAATTTTTAATGAGTACGATAAAGTATTATTATTGGGTGAAGGCAATTTTTCATTTTCTGTGGCTTTAAGTCAATATAACCTTAACATCGCAATTGTAGCCACATGCTTTGAAACCTTGCCTATCAACGATCTCGCTGTCAAAAATATTAAAATTTTAGAAAAACACGGTTCGTAATAATAGTTCTATTACATGGAAATTAAACACTTACTCAGATGATTTATTACGTCTAAGAGTTCCTCATTTAATATTAAATAATGATGAGTTTATGAATGGGAAGAATAATTTCTGCTTTATTTTAGGAGTTACTGTTTATTTAGGAGTAGATGCAACGAATTTATCGAGTAATGCGGATCTTGCTAATAAAAAATTTAACAAAATTATATTCAATTTTCCTCATGTGTGCAGTAAAATGAGATTAGACTTAAATCGAGATCTATTACAAAAATTTTTCCTGTCAGCTGAAAGATGTTTGGAGCCGGGTGGTAATGTTTTAGTTACTTTATGCAATGGGCAAGGAGGAACCTATCTTGATCAACCTCCCAGAAGATGGAATGATTCTTGGAAAATTAAAGAAATGGCAGCTCATGGCAATTTTATTTTAAAAACTGTTGAACCATTTTTCGAAAATAACTTTGCAAATTACTCCAATACAGGATTCCGAGGCCAAGATAAATTATTTTTTAATCAACAAGCTCTAACGCATATTTTTAAGTACGCTGGTACTCCAGATCTAAGTAATTTAAAAGCTTTGATTACAATTGACTCCTCCGTGATCAATGAATTATCGCTAACAGATTCACAAACTTGGGATCAGATTATTCCTGAAAAATATCATAAAGTAACATTTGGTCCTCCGTTTTTCTTTTTCGATTTAACATTTTCTACGACGGTAGATTTTAACGAAAAAAAATTTTATGAGGTCTTGTATAATAGTGTAGGACGTATTATTAAGGATGTAAAATTTCTAAGACTTTATGAATTTCTAAATTTATCTCGAATTGCAAGAACATATAGAATATGTTATCATGCAGAAGACGTTCCATTATTCAGAAAAAGAGTGATAGATTTCCATGATAAATTAATTTTAAACATTTTTAAAGATGACCGTAGTGTAATAGTTGACTAATAAATTATGTTTTTATTCAAATCTTGTTGTTCATTACTTAAAATAATTTTTTAATCCTTTTTATTACAGATGCAGTCATTGCGTCGCTTAGGTATTGTCATAAGTAAAAGTCTCACAAGATCACAACAGGTCTCCAATAGAATATTAATATTAAAACAACAAATCGTATTAAGAAACTATCTCATCAGAACATTTTATCGGTCAAGTTATTTACTTGATGAAGATTCAGTAGCGATTCCTTTGAGAAGAAGAAAAAAAAAGTCTGAGAGTAATTTGGTTTACAATTTTGTTGACATAAAACAAGTAAATAATTAATAAGTCTAATAATCATTTACTAAAGATCTTCACTAATTGTCTGATTTTGATAGGTACGAGTTAGAGGGGGTAATGGTGGAAACGGTGAAGCAAGTTTCGCACGAGAATGGTGTAAAGAATTCGGCGGACCCGATGGAGGAGATGGAGGTTCTGGAGGCCACGTAATTTTTGAAGTACAAACTAAACTTAAGCTCTAAATCTAAATTATCAATTTTTTTCGGTAAAGAGTAAAGTCAATAAAGGATTATTTTTTAGGCCTCAAATGTAGTTAAAGATTTACATCATGTTACTACATTTACTCAAGCTCAAAATGGAGAAAAGGGAATGAATAAAAATTGTTATGGTAAAAATGCAGAGAACACAGTAATCAAAGTACCTATAGGAACAATTGTGAGAGATCTAGATGGTAAAATTTTAGTAGATTTAGAGGAAGAAGGAATGATGTTTGTAGCGGCTCGTGGAGGTGCTGGAGGTCACGGGAATCTTTTTTTTACCTCAGATCTTAACCAAGCTCCGAAAGTTTGTGAATTCGGAGGTGAAGGAGAAGATAAACAATACGTTCTAGAAATTAAAAGCATGGCACATGTTGGATTGGTAAAATTTTTTATAAATTTCTTATTAATTCAAACGAGACGATATTTAAAAAAATTTTTTCTTCTTAGATTGGACTGCCGAATGCTGGAAAAAGTACTTTGTTAAGAGCCATATCAAGAGCAAGGCCTAAAGTAGCTCCATATCCTTTTACAACTCTTAGACCTTACTTAGGAATGGTTCTGTATGATGATTATGAACAAATAGCAGTAGCAGATCTTCCGGGATTGATAAAAGATTCACATAAAGATCATGGTTTAGGGATAATGTTTTTAAAACATGCAGAAAGATGTGCAGCACTTTTATTTATTATAGATCTTAGTGAGGATTCTCCTTGGAAACAATTGGATATATTACGGTATGAAATAGAGCAATTTAATCCAAAGTTGAATGAAAGGCCTTCTCTGCTTATTGCAAATAAAATAGATTTACCAAAAGCACAAGAAAATTTGAAAGTACTACAAGAAAGGATTAATTTACCAATAATTCCAATTTCTGCTAAAATGGGTATAAATCTTGCAGCATTATTAAAAAAAATCAGGGTAATCTATGATGAGGAACTTAAAAAAAAAGAATCAATTCAAAATAGTGCTGAAAATTCGTATTAATGTATATTTTCATTGTAAACAATTTTTATTTGTATTAAATAAATTTTTTAATAACTAATGCTTAATTTACTTTTTTTTTGATCCCTCAATGGACTTTTCGCACAGATGATATCCTTTCACAACTGCTTGAACTTCCTGTTGGTTTAAAATAGTCATAAACCATCTTGTTACATTGTTGAATTGCTGACGAGTTGAAGCTTCAAGTACGTATTCGTAAAGAGGAAGAAGTGCTGAGAACATTGAAATATCAGCAAGAGTGATTCGTTCACCAACAAAGTAAGTTTGGTTTAGTAAAATATCATTCAAAGTCTTTAGAGATGATAAAATGTTTTCTTTAGCAGCTTTAGATCTTGAATGCATGGACTTCTGTTCCAAACAAGGCACAATCCAATCTAGGACTAGAGGCAGTATATGACTACTAACATAACTCATCCATTGAAGAATTTGACTCATTTTGTATAGGTCTCCATCTCCTTTTAAAGAAGAATTAGCCAAGTAAAAAGCAATTGCATTACTTTCTTTGAGCTTGAAATCTTTTTCAACCAAAACTACTTCTTTGTTACTTTCATTCTTAACTTCAAGCTTCTTACCACCATATTGAGCGGCTATTAGCACATAATAACTTTTTGTACTGCCCACATTGACATGAAGAATAGATCCAGACCTGTTTTGTGCATTTGAAGCGTCTAATTGATCTTCTTGGATTCCTAATTTTGTATGAGCAAATTCCTTAGCAGTTTTCAAAGCTTCCTGAAGACAGGAAATATTTGAACCTGATGCCTGTGCAGCTTCTGGTTTTCCACCACCTTTTCCATTCATTAATTTGGCAATCGATCCAATCCAATCATTTGCTTTTAGTCCTTTATTCACAGCTCCTTTAGGTACTGATGCTAATGCAAATATTTTGTTTGCATCTCTATCAATACTTATAAATAAAGCACTGGTGTCTGGTGATATTGTTCTAACTTTTTTCAAAGCAGAATCTAATGCTTTCGTATTACTGTATGCTTCAAGTTCTTTAATTAATACAGGAACTCCAATTTTTTCGCCAATTATTTGTGCTACCTGGTCAACAACAGTATTGGCAACTGCTGCTTTCATCATACGATCTTTATCATCAAGTGTTTTCTTCAATCCCTTCAACGTTGTTCTTAAAGAATCTTTTTTCCATGCACTTATCGTAGAATGAGATATATCTTCAATTAATTCTACAATTTGTTTTGCATATGTCTTTGAATGTTTTCCTTCTTTATCTTCACTGATAATTTTTTGAATTTCATTAACTCTTCCTTGAAGCAGATCAGCTTTCTTTAGTGCCTTCATTGCTTCCGGACCAGTTAAAGCTACGATTCTTCGAATTCCTTTAGCAATAGCATCTTCGCTAGCAATAATAAAATTTTTCATGTGCCCAGTATAGTGAAGATGAGTTCCACCACAAAACTCAACACTTGTTGTGTTTCCAGCTGGGCCTAAAGGATCTTTCTCTAGATTTTCCACAGGAATACCCATACTTACAATTCTGACTGGGTCAGGATAAGTTTCTTCAAACATTGCTCGAAGACCTTGAATTGTTTTAGCTACCCCAAGTTTGCTTTCTTTAGCATAGATTTTTTTGTTCTCTTTAATCATTTCAACTGTAAAATCTTCGGTTTTTTTAATTTGATCTGGAGTCATTGCTCCTTTATTTGTAAAATCAAATCTTAGTCTGTCTGGGGCTACAAGTGATCCTTTTTGATCTGCTTCAGTACCCAAAACTCTTCTTAAAGCGTAATTGAGTGCATGTGTGGCAGAATGATTATTCATTATCAAACGTCTGCGAGATGTGTCAATATTTAAGTTAACTTTATCACCTTTCTTTAATACACCAGTACCAACTGTTCCAATATGAAGAACATATCCTCCACGTACTTGAACATTTGTCACTCGGATTTCTGTATTTTCTTCATTTGGGTTATTTAACACTTTTACTAAGAATCCTTCATCATAAATTTGACCTCCTTGCTCAGCATAGAAACACGTTTGATCCAGCAAAATTCCTACTTCTTCTCCAGCAATAACCTTTTCGACAAATTGCTTAGCACGACGTAAAGCTATTACTGTTCCAACACATGGTTCAAAAGAATATTCAGCATCCACATCATTAGATGAATGATAATTATATTTAAAACTGTCATTCGTTGGAGGTATTTTTAATTTTTGTAGTTCAGTAATCGCATGAACGTCTAAATTAATTTGATCATCAACTCCTCCGGCTTTACTTTGTGACGCAAGTTGAGCAGCTTTCTTTGCTTCTTCATAAGCAGTCATATCAACTGATAACCCTTTTTCTTCACTCATTAATTGAGTAAGATCTACAGGGAAACCATAAGTATCATACAATCTCCAAGCAACTTCTCCCGGAATAACTTTAGCATTTTCCAATTTCGCAATCGTTCGATCTAATAAATTACGTCCTCGAGATAAAGTTTTGAGAAACTGAGCTTCTTCTTCATTGATAGTATCAATGATTCCTTGAGTATCTTTCTTAAGTTCTGGAAATACATCACCAAGAATATCTACAACAACATTAACGAGAGATCCAAAAAATCCAGGTTTTGCATTAAGCTTCTCTGTTGCATAACGAACTGCTCGACGAAGTATTCTTCTTAATACATATCCTCTTCCAGTGTTATCTGGCATTCCACCATCAGCTAAAGCGATAGTTATTGTTCGAGCATGGTCAGCTAAAACTCTATAAGCCATATCTATTCCATCTTTATCTTCATCTCCAATTTTTCCAGTATAATCTCTTGCTCCAGTTCCTTTCTTTATAGCAGCAAACAGTGGAATGAATAAATCAGTATCGTAATTAGCACGTTTATTTTGAATAACTGAAACCAATCTTTCCAAACCAAGACCGCAATCAATGTGTTTTTTCGGCAAGTTACGTAAACTACCGTCAGATTCACGATTAAATTGAATAAACACAAGATTCCAAATTTCCAAGACGTCTGGATCATCCATGTTTACTAAATGAGCAGCTTCTCTACCTCCAATACGATCAAAATGAAGTTCACTGCATGGACCACATGGTCCAGTTTCACCCATCTCCCAGAAATTATCTTTCATGCTTCCTGGTAAAATATGGTGTGCTGGTACACCTACTGAAAGCCATATTTGTTTACATTCGTCATCAGGAGCCAAACCTGTTTTCTCATCACCACCAAAATAAGTGACATATAAGCGATCAGCAGGTAACTTCATAATCTTCGTCAAAAATTCCCAAGCCCAATGACATATTTCTTTCTTAAAATAATCCCCGAAAGACCAGTTTCCCATCATTTCGAAAAATGTATGATGATAAACATCTTTGCCCACGTCATCAAGATCATTGTGCTTTCCACCAGCTCTGATACATTTTTGAGTATTAACTACTCTTTTCCACTTAGCCATATCACTATTAGGGTCTGCTGTGCCTAAAAACATTGGTTTGAACTGGAAAAATTATACAATATGGTAATGATAAAGGAAATAAATCAGATCAGGTTTAATAATTACCTGGTTCATTCCAGCATTTGCAAACAGCAATGTTGGATCATCATGAGGAATTGTTGAGCTAGAGTGGACATATTCGTGTCCTCTTTCTTTAAAAAAATCTATGTAAGCTTGTCTCACAGCCTTTGCACTCATGTTTTGATCCATATTGACTAGCCTATAATATAAGAAGCAAAATGCTTGAACATATTGTATCTTACATCAGAAAAATAGGAAAAAATTTTTTAATAAATATGTATTAATTTTTGTTTATTTCTTACTTGAATTAAGTTCCGAACTGTTAGAAATGTTCTAATAAAAATGTTAAGAAAATTATACACTCAATTAAGAATTCTTTAACAACGCACAAGTAACAGCTGGGTTGGACTAAACTCTAGAAAGTGTAACAGCGAAAGGTGAATCAAATTTGTGTCCACATTCTTTTCGGAGTAAAAAAAATCGTATATGCGCAACGTAACGTTTACCAGTCAGAACCGCGTGTTTCCAGCGTGGTTAGATAGCTTTCTTGGATACTCGATCTGTGGCGGTTGGAGGATCGCTCTCAACAAGTATTGCGCGTTCGCCTAAATGAGAATTCAATTTTTTTCCCGCCAAAGCTGCAGCTAAATAAAAGATAAAATGTATTATTATCGGTCTACGTTTTTTGTGTTTTTGTCTATTATTAATTAGTATTTATTTAGGTGTGGAAAAATTGATTATTATTTGACAGCCCTACTACCTGTATTATTAGTATAAAATATCTAATTTTGTAAAGCATTAACTTACAGATCGCTTCATCAACACAATCGTATTTTATATTCATGTACAAACATAGCTTTGTGTAGTTGAAACGTAAAGGTGTAGTTGTACTGTTTAGAGAAAAGTTTATTATACAAATTTGTGAAAATGCCGTTTATGATAGGAAAAGAGCCCATTAGAAGAACATGGAAATATTTAGAAGCTGGTAGACTAATTTTAAAAGATAGTATTCAAATATTTTCTTTGCATTATAACACTAACATTGGTGATCACCATGAAGGAGCTAGGTAATATTTGAGGTTATTAAATACCGAATCGAAGCAATTATTTAACAATAAAATTTACAGAGAATTCGCATTTTGGGATATTCCGCAAGTTCAATATAAAAATCCAAATGTCCAAATCGCTATATTCACAAACATGACACCATCTCCATTCATTCGATGCTTCTATGGTATTATAAAATAAATTAATAAATATGCAATGATAAAAACTAATTGTTATTAAAAATGTTAATTAAATAATCCAAACTGATTTTTTTTTCTAGATGATGGTAAACGAATGCTCATTGATATTGACGGCAAAAACAAATTTGAAATTCTAGAACATTTAATAAAAGTCATTGGTAAAAGTAAAGAAGAGCTAGATCAAGAAGCTCTTTTAAATCGAACGTATTCAAACTCTGCAGATATTGGAAATGGGCAGGACAAACATTGTATATGTGAAGTGTTAGGACAAGTGCCTTGTCCAAGTGTAGTTCCTTTGCCGTTCCATATGAGAGGAAAATATGTGTATCAAAAAGCAGATATACCTGAAGAACATAAACCTTAAATTCGTTTCGTACTTCATTAATATTATTATTATTGTAAAAAAATTATTATTACATTAGTTTGTTAAGATATACATAAATAAATACTTGTACGATAATATACTTTCGCGCTTCACTCTTAAGCTTTATAATTATCCTAAGTGCATTTTTCAAGTCTTAATCTCTTCAGGAGTAAATTTAATTACAGCAGAATTAATATTAATTCGTAACGTAATCTTAAAAAGAGCACACAAATTATAAAAAAAAGACAATCAAATATTGATTATATGTCATGGACCAAGTTTGAGTAAAATATCGTAGTATAATACTGAAAACTATCTTCTTGGTTTAGATCTGGAATATGGGCGGCTTTGATGATGTCTGTAGAGATGATGTTTAGTGGAAGACGATGGTTTCTGAACTTCAGGTTTTTGATATTGTTGAATTACTGGAACTCCATTTAAAGGCTTATTTAATTCAAATTCGTCTTCACATTCTCTCATTAATTTTAATTTCGCTTCTATCGCTTGTATTGCTGTTTCCCGACTTATTTTATTATCTTCTTTTTTAGCACCAGCTAAAGCTGGTATATCAATTTTTGGTTTTGTCTTTTCCATTTCAGTCTATAAAATAAATAAACATAACAGAACAATATTTACAAGCAGATTATTACCCGCTCTTAGATGAAAATAATAGCGGCATTATTCAATTATAAAAGCATTAAAATATTATTTACCTCTGATACAGTATGGGCCCATCGAACGACGATATTTTTAGACCCTATCCTGGCATTATGAAGAGCTTTTTTTGCCTTTTCAGCATCTTCTAACATTGCATATGTTACGAAGGCATACCCTCTTGGTTGACCAGCTTGTGGTCCAGATCGATGGAATAGGAGATCAAACTTTTCAATTTTTCCATATTTTTGAACGATTTTGAGGAGTTGGTACCGGTTGAAAGATAAAACGGTGATTGTTATGTTTTTATTTTTACAACAAAATCATAAATTATAGGTTATACTTACTCATTAACTCTGAGATCTAAATTTCCTACCCATAACCTTTTATCATCTAAATTGATAGGTTTAATAGTATCGAGAGGTAAAGGAATCTTTGGATTATCCTAAATAAAAAAGAAATATTTGATAATTCTTACACTAATTAATTTATACATAAACATTGATTTTCAACAGTAAAATACTTACTGCCATAATCGTTGAAATTTTGTTTGTCACACTACTTCAATTACATGTAATCCAAAATCGATAATAGTTGTCATTGAATTTTCAAGTGGAGTTAATTATTTATAGGTTTAAATACTTAAAATCCATGAATTTCTAAAATAAATTCTATTTTGGAGTAACAATAACAATAATCATAAAAATAATTTATAGATGTCGCCAGTGCTTCTTAACATTTCCCGCCATCATTGTAAAGTTCGAAAAGTTTAAAATGTTGATTGTAAAATAAAAATAACTTTATTTATTAATTTGATCTGTGGCTAATATGATATTGATCAGATATAGCTATGATTAATTATTATAGGATATCCGTTATTATGTACGATCAAATTCTTTTACTCAGAAATTAAATTGAAAATGAATAACACTTGTTTTGATATTCTTCATTGTTATTTTGAATGGTTATCAAAATAGCATGCATACCAAAGAATGTAAACATTCATGTGAAACTTAAGTTCTAGAAATTCTTGTATCCTAGCAAATAATACCTATTAATATAATAACGATTCAAAATAATAGTAGAAGGGATTTTCGACACTGGCTGATTCTAAAATCGAATTTATGAATCAGTCTTCTGAAGATCTTAAGTGATATCAGTAAGTTGGAAAAATGTTGAATTTTGACGAAGTCAAGTCAGTGTTAAAAGCAGTAATAATAGCCAGAAAAGGTGGAGTTCCATTAGATGAAATCGAAGGTATATACATCCCATTTAACATTTTTTACAATTTTGTAAATTTTTCTCTTTATTAATTTTAGAATTAAAAGAAAAGGTTCGATAAAATTTTTCTTTCTTTCGTTTGTTCTAGAGGAATTTCAAAGGCACACTGGAGTGAATATACCATACTTATCATTGGGTTTCACATGTCTTTATGATATGATGAGGCAAATAAAAGAAATTATCACCATACGAAATGAAGAAAACCGAGTGGTATATGTCACATTGCCTGACAAAAGAACAGATCATATTTCATTTCTAGTGAGTCGTCAAAAGGACACCACAAAGTCATATAAGGTATTTTTATTTCTTTTAAATTAATAATTAATTATTTTTCAATATGATTAAATTATAACGTTGTCGACAACTACGTATAAACGAACAACTTGTAAATTCCCATAGTTGTACACATTTACGTAATTGCTGTCGATGTTAAAACGAATACTTGTTACTAAAGATGTTTCGAAAAATATATTAATAAAAATTACTGTAATATTGGAAGTAAATTATGCTTGTTAATATCATAAATCAAAGAAATATACAGATAATTATTTTTTCATTCAGGAATCTCATCAATCATCAACAAGAAAACAAAGACTCGAGACACAATTCAAACCTTATACCAGGAAAGTTTTGAATCGAAGTACACCTTTTTGTTTTGGTTCAGGTAATGTAAAACTATTTATTACTACATTCAAAGTGTTTGTTTCAAAAGCATGTATGACTGTTAATTTTCAACTTTTATTTCAGATGGTGAACATTCCGATGGAGATCTTATGGAATATAACTCAGTAATAATTAGTGATCCACCAAAAGACATGGTAAATATAAATTTAAATTTATAAATAAATAAATAAATAGATGAAAAAATTATTTATATTGAATGATTACTTATTAAATGATTATAAATTATTATTATTACAGAGTAGGATTCATGAACCTCTTATTAATGGACTGCAAATGATTGGAGATGATTTCTTTTTACAAATTGCAATTAGAAACCTTCACCAGCCTATATGGCGTAAGAAACGTAAGCTTATTGTCAATAATTTTATGTTTACTTGAATATTTCAACTTCATTTTTCTAATTATTTTTATATTTCAGCATGTTCACCGTTACATTGTGGGCTATGTGTTTCTGGAATGACAATACGAGGATGTATCAAGTCATTAAAAAGTGTTAAATCATTATCAAATAAACTTGTCATTCTTCTTGGAGCGGAAGATGTGTATAGAGTAGCTATCTTTTATCTAAATTCTTTTATTCTGTATAATTTATTGATATCAAGGTTGTTTCAGTTTTTAATGTTTAAAAAATTTATTTGTTTCAGGGTCGTACAGTCGACCAAATGAAGGAGGATTTCGAAGAACTACTGGATGTATTGCACACTTGCTTCGCTTTTTCCAAGAGTGCGATCAAACTCTGTACTATTCCTCCTTTAGCAAATTTAAATATTTATGATCACGGAAATTGTTTGATCACTTATCGTGCATTCAACAATTATCTTTATAAGCTGGCGTACGATAATAAATACAACCTGGCTGATTTTTACAGAAAAATGACAAATGCAAATTCAGAAACAGAATACGAATTTTTCCAACTAGACGCAAGAATGGTTTCGGGAAGTAGTCACCCATATGTGTTATTCAATAGAAGAGGAAGGCGATTGGCTACAAATATTCTGACGTCAGAAAAAGATTAATATGTCTTTTCATTTTGCAAGTTTTTATAAAAAACTTGTTAAGTCTTATTAAATTAATCTCTATTTTATCTATAAGTTGATGAATTAAAAATTTACAGTTCATTCTCTTCAATCTATATTGAATAAAACTGACCAAATTATCCGGAAATTTGGTAAAGTATTTTATTCGCATATAGAATTGATGAAGAATACAATTGTATTTTTTTTACATTCATGGACTTGTAAATGATTACAAAATTTAAATTATTATTTGAACATAAGTATAAAAAATAACTTTTATGTTAGAAAAGAGATTTAAAATTGTGAAATAGTTTCTAATTTATAAAAGATTATTTATTATTGTTTGATGTTTGTGATTGTAATTCCCAAAAAAACCAAGTACTTGAAGTAAAATTCCATGGAAAAATTAAAAAAAAAACAGATCATGTGTTCATATTCATTTAAACGATCCTATTTCTAAAAATACTTATAAATAATTTTTATAATTCTAAATTAATGATAATTAATACAATACATTTTGAATTATTAGAACTTCTATATATTTTGGCAAATTAAAATAATTTTTTTTTATTTAAATAAAAGAAAATACACGATCGGTCAATGAAGTAAGTAACGAATGCTTTCAGCGTTGGGCAATGCCCTCAACGCTACGCTTTGTATTCAATTGCTCTTTATTACACTTGATCAAAAGAGAAACATTAAAGAAAGTGATTTTAAATGCTCTAAAGATTTTATAAAAATTTCTTTGATTATTTTTTATTCGAAGGAAATTTTTTTTTGAGGTCAAAAACCTTTCAACAAAGCTCTCATCATGGAAGACAGTTCCAACGATCATCAAAATTCAAAGCACGAAGAAGAACCAACATGTTTTTTATATGTATCACGAGCTATTAGCAGTCATTCTCAAGATACTGCAGATGACTTGTCAAAAGCAACTTTAATAGAAGCAATACGTGCTTTAGAACCTTCAGGAAATTGGAGTGTCTATCAAACACCACGCGGTTTGATAGCAACATTCACACTAGAAGCTGATGCTGAAAAACTAATACAGCATGGAAGTCTTAATTATATCTTTCAAAGTCCAGTTCAGGTACTTTATTCAATTTATGTTTAATATTCAACTCATTCTTTACTTAAGTAGAACGTGGATTACAATGTGAAATTTTGATTAATCCTAACAACAGGTGGCACAATTTTCTGCCCAAGATTCACGCTACCGACAATCTGTATTTCTGCGCGATGTTCCTTGGGCTATTCCTCTTGAAGATATTAGCTCTGCTCTAGCTAAACAAGGAACTCCAGCTGCTAAAATCGAGCGATACCGTCAATACGTTCGAGTAGAAGTAATAAACTAGCATAAATATTTTAATAATAATAATTATTCTACCACTAATGATAGGAAACTCATTAAAAATATATCTTTTCTAGTTAACAGATGCAAACCATTACGAAGTCCTGTTACGTCAAGGTCTCGACTTCTTTGGAGCAGCTCGGTTTACTGCTTTGCCCGAGCAAGCTAATTTCTCAAGGGGAGCATCAGGAACTAATCCTGGACCTCAGCAACCATTAATTCAGCCTGGAGGCCAAGCTGTTGAAGGTCTTAACGTTCAACAACCTGATGGGATATTACAATGCTATCGCTGTCAAGGATTCTGGCATGTAGCAGCTAACTGTAGACATTTACCTCGATGTGTACGTTGTGGAGAACCTCATAGTGTTGGATTTTGTCATCGACCTCGAAATAATCCTATCTGTTGTCATTGTTCTGGCCCTCATCATGCTGGTATGTTTATTATTTTTTATTTATAAATAGTTATTGCTAGAGATAATAAATTGCATCAAATAAGTACTGTTAATTATTTCTTTATGGTTTTTGTAGGCTACAAACAATGCCCGGTGAAACTACAGCTTCAAAATGCAACACCAATGAGTATAACACTTAGCACAAGTAACCAAGGTCAATCTTCGCCGAGTTGTTCAAGAAAGTCTAGTAATTCTCAAAATCAAACGTTAAATGAGCAATCTTGAATTTATCTAGCGACTTCATTACTTGGTTTTTTTATGAAATTATTCGATGAAAACATACTTATCATAACAATTTTTTTTCTATAATTATTTTTTATTAATTTTTTATTTAATATACTTATCGACAAAAAATTGAGATTGAAGACTGATTTCAGCTTAAGCGAAAGCTGGTTTTCCTAGATTCATATGAAATTTTATTTAGAAATGATTACTAACATTTTAACTCACCTACTCTATCATTATGTCATAATTATTAAGAGAAAATAAAATTATACATTGTTTATACTCAATTATTATCATTAATTAAATTTTATACAGCAATTAGAATAGGGAATTATCATGCCCAACAGCATCCTCCCTAGTGCTCATCAATTCGTCCTACTTTTTTTATCCATTGGATATTTGTTCTACTTTCCTAGACCCCCCACCAAGTGAAAATGTAGAATTTACAGCATTATCAGGTCAGCCAGGTCGACTAGGCATCCAAGACCTGACTTTAGTTTTAGACATAAAAACAAGGGAATATGAACACGTGTGTATAACTCATTCATTAGACAATTCAATCGATTACTAAGTCAGCATAGTCATACCAGCTGTAATATTAGGTAAAAATAGTAAGTACCAATGACAAATTTTCAATTGATATCAGCTCTAATAAAGACTTCTGTGAGAAGTGTCCCAAGATTGGTAGGTCCCAAGCAATGGTGGTGGAGTAAGAGTTAAATCGCGAAAGCGGGAGCAGTGATATATCGACTTCCGTAGCACGTAGACAGTTGAAAAGGACATGAGCTCCAGAGTGAAGGTGTTACTAGTGCTCTTAGCAACATGTGCCACGACGAAACAGAATCCTATTTTTGCAAATATTATAAATCATAAACGTACCAATTATATACCTGGTGCTCCATTATATACGAGAGACATTCGCCGGGCAGTTTATTTTCATGATCAAACAGTGGCAGTTGTTGATGTTAACATTAAAAATGAAATGCAAAACTGTGATATTATTGAAGTCTAGTAAGTAAAGAGATTTCTTTAGAGTTGAAAATTTATCCATTTTTATTTGTAGTTTACATAAAAAATTTTCATCACAAATTTACTGGTGTGATCAGATGTAGATTATTAGACTATTGAATTTATAAAAGAGGTTTTAGAATTTTTCTATTATCTTTACTACACTTATCTCTCTAAGTTATCTTTATAACACTCACTGAAATTGAAACGAGCAATAAAAAACCGGTTGGTTAATTTTTTTTAATAATTTATTGATAATTAACTTCTATTTCAATATTTAACTAAAAGCTTTATTTACGTCAAATAAATGTTAATAAGCCAATGCTCTCTTATTATATCTAATAATTCTAATTTAAAAACATAACAATGTTTCGTAACTTAAAGTGGTCATGTTTTTCAGCGAGCCAAATGAAGCAAGAGAATTGCTGGGAAATCTCTCAATGACAGCACGCCCAACTGAAGTATCGTTTTCTCAAATGAGAAGTTTGATGTACCGCTGCGAGATACTAGATAGAATGGAAGAGTCTTTTCTAAGAAGAGAAAGTATGGCTGAAGGAGCTTTTGAACGTGCTAATGTGGCAAAGCTACACATATTTAATATATTTCACGGCATCTTACCAGGTTTGTATTTTATGATTTTATAAAAATATCTAAATTAATGTAGATTATCTAATAAAATAGTAATAAAGTAATTAATAAATTAAATAGATAAAAACTTTCCTTGAAATAATCCTGTAGGCACTAAATGGTGTGGAACTGGAGATATAGCTGATAACTATCATGATCTTGGTACAGATACGGATGTTGACAGGTTAGTATTGTTGAGAAATCCAGTTATTGATGTTAGAAAGAAAGAACTTTCTTTTTAAATAATTTTTTGTTGTGTTAGATGTTGTCGAACTCATGACTTGTGTCCTGTAAAAATCAGAGCACAACACAGTCGTTATAATCTTACCAATTATTCATTGTATAGCAAGTAAGTGTCACCATACAAATGTTGACTTTCGATAAATATTGATTACGTTACCCTTCATATATTTCTTTTAGATCACACTGCGATTGCGATACCTCTTTCTATCATTGCTTAAAAATGGTAGGAGGTCCAGTAGCTCATATGATGGGAAAATTTTACTTCAATTTCCTCAAAGTCAGTTGTATTGAAGATTTGCCAGAGAGTATTAACTCAGTATCATCCATCTCACCGAAGAGAAAATTTTCTATGACACAATTAGCCTTTTAGAATAAAGTTATTAATTATATTTCAATATTTATTCAAATTAAAAATAATCACCATCATCATTCCGACTATTAACTAATTAAGTTTGATCTTATATTATTTTTGTTATGTTTAATGTACCTTTCCCAAAATTTATTTAGTTTTTTATAATTGCACAGATTGAATCGCTAATTGTATGTTTGTTAAATAAGATAACAATTCTTTTATACGATGATTTATCCTCGGTTGAGAGTGGTTGTAGAAATTTCCTGTAATTTAAAATAATTGTTAAAAATATGTAATTATCAATTTTATCATATATTTTTTTAGAAAAAAAAACTATTAATTAACCTATAAGCCATAGAGTTTCTTTTCTAACATGTACATGAGGATATATTAATAATTTATTAAAAATTTCTTGGACGTCGGTAGTTTTGTATTTTAAATTATATAAAATAATGTCAGCTATTGAACCAGATGATTCAGAAATTAAATTAGCAAAAAGCCTAACAATTGCTGTAATTCTTTTGGTATCATAAGATTGTTCATCCATTTCTTTCATTAGAATATCAAATATTCTTTCAATAATTGTATCATAGGATCGTAAACAAATTGGATTCGATGACAGAAGTGCTAAAATCCACAAACCAGCTGTTGAGTCGAAACAGTTTCGATTTATCAAAGTATTTATTATTTCAACAGACTCTTCATTGCTAGAAAATAATTAGGAAATATTAAAGATAAAGATCCAGTTAATAATCATTCATCAATAAAAGTTTATATTTTACCTAATTAATTCAGGTCCACCAAGAATGCAATGAGTTATTGCATAAATAACTGATGGTAAGATCATTGTGTCACAATCTCGCAATAGTGAAAGCAAACGACACAGACAGCCTTGTGCATAAAGAGCTTTACAGGCATTTTTACTACCACTACAAAGATTTCCTACTGTCCATGCAATAACTTCCTAAAAAATATTGGTAAAAAATTATTCAGCATACAATCTTCAATCTTCAATAAATTATATGAATTGGAATGCTTGAATGGCAATTTTAATTTGTATTACCAGTAGAGGATTGCTCAGAGTATCTAGTTGTTCAATCAAGTATGGTCCTGCATATTTACTGAGGGTTGAACAACATGATTTATTTCCTAGTGCAATATTACAAAAACAATGAGCGGCAGAAAGCTGGATAGCAGGATTAGAACTACAAAGGTCACGGATTAAAGCAGAAATTATATGATTGATGGATAAAAATAATTTTATGTTTGCTTCATCCTGTAAAATTGATGGATTCAATAAATTATTTAAAATTTTTTAATATTATTCGGAGAAATTTAGTAAACAAACCTGTATAAGGGTATTTTGCAGTTTTATGTAATCATCAATAGATAAAGGTTTTCTACGGAGTTCTTTTGCTTTTAAAACTAAGTCATCAGCATTCCAAGATTCTTCATTGTACGTTAGTTCCCCTAAAGCTGTTCTTCGTTTATTTACTTCGGCATAACGTTGATTTTTTTGCTCTGTTTTTACAGATTGTCGTAATTCTTCACGAATAACCTCCACAGAACTCTGATAATATTCGGTAGATTCTTGCGTTGCCATTTAAATGATGAATTATTTGTCAACGACGGGAATAAGATATATTAAAAAATTTATCATAATTTATTTGTAATAATAACTATTATTTTCATTTGTCACAGTTTAATTCAACAATAAAAGTGCTTTATACATCTACTTTTTCAAATGACTTATTTTTATAAGACGCCATCATGGAAAATAGTTGAAAATTTCTCCACTTGGTGGAGGATATGAATATTCCAAGCGGGAAAAGTTAAAAAAATTAATTATTACTGAATATATTGTAAATCAAAAAAAAATATAACTTAGTATTAGTCATTGTATTCATAAAAAAGATAAACATGAAATGAAAAAAAAATTAATCGAGAAATTTTTATGTATATTTTAGAAAGATAATAAAATTTAATAATATTTTTCATAACACGAAAAAAACATAAAAAAACAAATAACAAAGTAATTACATTTGGTATGTATATCTGTATTTTGTAGATGTATAAAAGAAAGATGACTAAGATTGAAATGTTTTTTTTGCGCAAAACAAAAGAATAAAACTTATACTCACAAAAATGAAAAAATTTTTGTACTATCAACTGTCATATTGTTGCTTTATTTGGTACTTTGAAATTATTGGAAATATTCAATGTATTCATTGTAAATATTTTTTTTTATTTATTAAATTTTTAATTTAACTTACTTATCAAATTGATAATTGATTTTATAAAATGCAGTTTCTTCATCATCAAGCCAACAACTTCAAAATTCTTACAGAATCTATTCAAAATCTTCATCTGGTTGGAGAACCTATCCTTATAAAGATGACGGTAGTTCTGATGATACAGTAACTTATAAGAATCAAAAATATCCCGTAGGAAAAGGACTTTCATCACCTCAAGAATGTGCTCGACCTTGTACCACTAACACCAAACCTAGAATTTGTTATTATCATTGGACTTTTGAATATTATCGTACATTAGGAGAGTAAGTGTTACTACATATTAAAAAAAAAAAGAAACTAAAACTTGAATTTATTTCAATTACATTGGACACATTACCTATCAAATTTAATTTACAGAGCGTGTCATTTTTGTCAACCATCCACAAATGCATCAATTGTTAATAATTGTCAATGCATTTTAGCAGACGGAGTTGAAGTATCAGGCATTATAGTCGCTAATAGAATGTATCCAGGGCCATCAATTCAAGTTTGTTTAGGAGATATTGTAGTTGTCGATGTGGAGAATTTAGTTGCAGGAAATGAGCTGTCGATTCATTGGCATGGAATTTATCAGCAAGATTGGCAGTATTTTGATGGAGTACCTTTTGTAACACAATGTCCAATAGCAGAAGGTACAACATTTAGATATCAATGGAGAGCACAAAACCCTGGTTCACATTTTTGGCATGCACATACCGGTCTTCACAAAGCAGAAGGAGTTGACGGAGCAATCGTGATTCGTCAACCTCATCAAGATGAACCTAATCATGATTTGTATGATTCTGATGATTTCGATAACATCATATTTATTAGCGATTGGATGCACGAAAGTGTTGCCAGTCACTTTCCAGGTACAACAACTCGAAATGTTGGCCAAGATCCTGATAATTTTCTGATCAATGGTAGAGGACAATGGATGGTATGACATATCTTAAATAAAAGAAGAAAAATTCTGTGAGTAAAAATTCTCAATTTACTTTTAGAATTCTACTGATAAATCACGTACAACAACACCATTAGCAACCTTCAATGTCAGAAAAAATATGAGATATAGACTTCGCATAATAAATTCTTGTGCTTTCGGTTGTCCTGTTCAATTAACAATCCAGAATCACTATTTAACAATAATTGCACTTGATGGTGAAGACGTGAAACCTCAACGTGTAAAAACAATTACTACTTATTCGGCAGAACGTGTTGATGCTATTCTTGAAGCTAATCAGCCTGCGGAAACTTATTGGATACAAATAAGAGGTTTGAGTCAGTGTGCTGAAAAAAAACTTCAACAACATGGCATTTTGCGTTACGTTGGCTCTCATTATCTTTTACCGAAGACTCCTAGACCAGCTTATAATCCTGGACTTCCTCGAGGATTGGTAATAAGCTTATTCTGTAATTTAACTTCTACTTTGTATTGTATTTAGTTATCAGATTAACTTTTTTATTTATTAGATATTTAATGATATCCATGAAATTTGTAATGGCACTAGAAAAAATGTCATTTGCGTCCAAAATTTACAAAGTTTTTATCCAGTTCATAAAAAAATACTACAGAGTTCTCCTGATTTTCAAGTCTTTTTACCATTTTTCTTTCATGAATATACAAGCAGAGAGCTCTTCCGAACTCAACCGTATCAACGATTCGTGGGTGAATAAAATTTTTTAATAAAAATACACAATATTGAAAAAGTTCTTGATTGATTCAAATATTTGTTTCAGTCCCTGATGGATCCTCTCTCTTATCAGCAACTCTTAATGGAATCTCCAACGTTTTTCCATCTTCTCCACTTGTTAGCCAGTTAAAGGATATTCCTCAAGACCAAATTTGTAATTCAAATCGACTACCAGCTTATTGTAAAAATTCCTCAGTTTGTCGATGTACACATGTGATTCATGTGCCTTTGAATGCAGTCGTTGATATATTAATGATTGATGGAGGTAAAAAAATTAATTATGTCAAAATGAAAGATCTAATGTTCAATTTGAAATTTATACCACATGAAATTATCAGCTCCAAACGGAATTTCTCATCCATTTCATCTTCATGGGTATGGTTTTCACGTGTTAGCTCAAGGATTGTTATCAGGAGTAAATATTACAGCAGCTAACAAGAAATGGGCTCTAGAACTCCATCGACGAAAATATCCATCGACTAATAAACAACCACCGACAAAAGATACTTTAGCAGTAGCATCTGGTGGCTATACAATTGTGCGATTTATTGCTGATAATCCTGGTAATTAAATTTAACAGAAAGTAATTAAAAAAAAAAATTTTTCGAATGATTGAACATTTTACATTTCAGGATGGTGGTTGTATCATTGTCATTTCCTTCCTCACTTGTATAATGGAATGAGTTTAGTTTTTCAAGTTGGTGAATCAAAAGATCTTCCTCCTGTACCACCAGGTTTTCCAACATGTGGAAATTTCTTACCTGAAATTTATAGGACTAATCCAACTTCAGTACAAGATAACATGATGAATAATGATTGGGCTCGAAGAAGAAATGTGAAGAGAAAGAGTAATCCTATTGAAAAAATAAGCAACATAATTTTGCAAGTATGAAATGATACTAATTGTTAAAATATCAGTGATGTATTATAAAAATATGTAAAAATAAATTTTTCAAGATTATTTATTTATATTCGGTATAATGCGCGAGATAAGAATGCTACACTAACGCCACTACTGGTGAAAATTTAAAATTCAGCCTCAAAGAATATTACCGACTGATGGTTTTTTTAATGTTCGATGTAAATGTAAACAAAAAACTCACATGCATGTTGTAACCTATGACCAACGCCAGATGTGTCGTAATTACTGAATCGAGAAGTTTCATCTTTTTAGTGATTACGTATGTGTGTTAATTTAATTTTACATGGATAATTACGGAAATCCGCATTTTCAGACAATGCTTGAGCATACAAAACAAGGAATTTTCAATATCTATATTAACCCATCATTCCATGGGCCTAAAAAAAGTGTTATTCATATAAATCCTAAAGTTCAACTAAACGTGCCAGTTCATGTTAATCCAAAAATGGTAAACGCTTTGTCGACATCAGGAACACAAAGAGAAAGGTTTTTAGTTCAGGAGAAGCAAACTATACTTCATAGAAATCCAAAACCGAGTGTTCAGAATTCTGTTTATGTTAATCCAAAATTAATGCAAAAACTTACCTCTAAAACTACAAAATATGAATCTGTACCTGAAATAGTAAATAAGCAACAGGCAACTCCTCAGTTACCAACAGTTCAAAAGCCCATTACAGTAGTAAAAACGAAAATGAAAATTGTTAATAATAATAGCAACAGTAGTACAAAACCACTAAGTGTTAAGAAAAATTCTCCATCCAAGATAGTTTTATTATCTAATAGAAAGTTAATTAGAATACGTTGTGCAACTAAAAAAGTACTTAGTTATCCATCACCAGTTAAAAAAATTAAACCCAATCAAATCATTAATATCAATCAGCCTAAGCAGTTTGTGTCGATGAATAAAAAAATTGTAGTAGAAAATAAAACCAAAAATGTAGTAAATAGACCTGTTGTTCCTAGTATTTCATCAACTAATAAGTATAAACTTGATAGAACTAAAGTTCAGAAGAAGAAAATCAATGTAATTCGGGTATCCAAAAGTAAAGTAGTTGGAAGGTAAATTATTCAAACAAATTTCAATATATTTCAGTTCAATAAAATTCTAATATTTTGCAATTAATTTTTTTTAATATTTCAGGAGGAATACGAATTTAATTAATATTGATGGAGTATTATATAAATCATCAAAATCACAACTTGTGAAGAGTAGCAGCAATGGTCAATCAAGTGAATCGGGCACGAAAAAGAGTTTGAATAATTCTCGAACTAAAAATGTTTATAAAAAAGTAAAATCAGATAGTAAAATTACGAAAGTAAAGAATACAAATTCAAAATTAAATATAAGTAGGGCATCGATCACTAGTTTCGTACAAAAATCTAATTATAAGCATGTATTAAGGTTAGTAATCACTTTCGATGGTGCTCTAGTAATACATTAATAATTATTCCTGGGAAATATTTATTATTTCAGTAATAGAGTAAAACAAAAGTCCATACAAATCTTGAGGCAAAAAATGTCGAAAAACAATCAGCCATGTTTACTTTATCAACGATTTGGTTATTGTGCTAAATTCGTCGAAGGAACATGTCCTAAAGTCCATGATAAGAAACAAATAGCATTATGTAAAAAGTAAGTAAATATAATTAATTAATTTTTTATTCTCTAGAAAAATGAAGAATTAAACATCAAGAACAGTTTCAAATTAATCTGGATATCCATAATTATTTTGATCTAGCTTTCTACAAGGTAAATGTTTGCTCGATAAATGTCCATTATCTCACGAAGTAGGACCAGAAAAAATGCCTACTTGTAAATATTTTCTCGACGGTTGTTGCGTGCGTGATTCTTGTCAATATTTGCATGTCAAGGTTGCTGCAAATACTCCTATTTGTATAGCTTTCTTGAGAGGATACTGTGAGAAGGGTACAGAGGTAATATTATCAATAATAAATTTTTTTTTAATTGCTCAGTTACTTATAATATCTCAGATTTAATATTTCTAATACATTAATAACATAATTAAATAACTAACTAATACGTTATAAGTTAATTTAAAACTTAAGATTTAATTATAATTACAATTTTGCTAGTAAAATTAATTTAACATCATTCGCGAATGATTCCTCCACAGTGCAGCGAACGACATACAAATATTTGTCCAGAGTTTGAAAAAACTGGAAAGTGCTCAAAAGGTAAGAATTGCCCTTATCCTCATAAATCATTTTTGTTAGCTAAACAAAAATCTTGTAAGAAGCCAAAAATGAGCACCTTCAATAAGCAAACGAAAAATTTCGAGAAACAAGATGCTTCCTTCCCTCGCGATGAAAGTAAAAAGCGATATTACGATGACAATAATCTAGACAAGGATCTCTCGATCAAAAGAACAAATATTTTAAGTAGAATTAATGCAATGAAATCCCTCCATTTGGATTCCGAACAAAATCTTGTAATAGCACAAGATTCATCTGATATCAGCAACAATTTACACCAACAACAATCAGATAAATCTTCACAGCCTGATAGTCAAAATGTACTGTTAAGAAGGCAACCGATTGGACCTTTACCTGCCTATATTCCTATTGAATGATTTTAACTCGCGTATTTTGCTTATTGTAGGTCTTAATTTCTACCAATTACAATAAGTAAGCAATAAGATGTATAAATTTATCAGAGTTAAATAAAGTTTTTATATTATATATTTATAATTATTGAGTTGCCTTTCTTTTTTTTTCACCCCTCTTTAGACTAGAATCGATTCTAACGCTAAAATAGTATTAATTTTGCTAAAGTTATTCAAATTTTAATTATTAATTATCTGGCTAATCGTTTTTATTAGTTAATAGTTTTTCGAGTTAACAAATTATTAAATTTCAGAAGTTTTTAACATTAACTGATAGTCAACACATTATTTTGTGCATTCAAAGCATTTTAGTAGATCCAATTAGTGATAGAGAGTTATTACATCTCTAATTTTTACCTACACTTGGAAGTTTGAAGATTTATGTCATTCAAGACATTTTTAATAATTTTAATTAATATTTATACATTAAATGCTGATAGTTTTATGTAATAACCATTAGGATCAGTTCTATAATCGAATTACTCTATAATTAATCATCCTATTTGATATGACTATAGTTCATCATCCAATCTATGGACGTTTTGAATATTCAAAAATGTTTTCTTCACTGTTAGTAACATTGTTTGTTATGTTATTCTGAGTATTTTGTGTTGGAAGAGTTGAGTATTTGACGTATGAATCATTTGATTTACATTCTTTATATCTTAATCACCCTCACATCTTAGAATTAATTGAATACATTTGGGTGTATTAGTGTTTGTAATCGTTCGTATTTTCTCCAAAAATTCTTAGTTCTTTGCAATAACAACCACATGATTTAGAACATTCGCAAGTATTTTAAACAGATGATAAAGATTTAGAAGTATGTAGATGTAATCTACAGATAATTTTTCTTATCCTACAAAAATATTTAGCAAATCATTCGTTTATAAATAAAACAAAATCTAGAAAGTAAGCATAAATATTTTAAAAAATACTTTGAATAATCTATTTGAAAAATTGCTCCAAAAATAATGAAATTCTGTTGATATTTTTTACAGTAAATGTTTATCAATATCTTCTTAAATAAAAATATATTGGCTGGAATAGAGTGCGTTTGAAATGCAATTGTGCTTAATATAAATTACAAGTTTACACAGGTTTACAATATTAGTTTTAAAAAAAAAATTTATCAAAGAAAAATTAATTTTTCCTTATTTTTTCAAACTACGTCAATAAAAATTTTTGTAAATACAATAATATTTTGATTTTAGATACAATTTTGATAAATTTCAAAAATGTAAGCCTGTGTAGTAAATCGATTAAAAATAAATTGAGTAAGAAGATAAAAAAATAATTGTAAAATAAATATAAATAGCAAGCAAGCAGACTTTTAAATAAATAAAATATTTAAAAAATAAAATTAAATCACAACCAATGTTGCAAAAAATATACGCCGGGATTCAGCGCGAGAATCCCGACGTAAATTTATAGCTACGTAGACGCTGCGAGGCTAATTGATGTTGATTCAGTGACAGCTGATCTTGGCTTGACATCTAGTGAATCATACAAAGGAAATTCACAACACAATATGAACTTAAGGAACCTCGGTACTTCAACGTAAATCGTCGGTGGTATGGGAATCAATGGCGATGTTGACTGCTTATACTGACGATATTCAGCATTACTAGAAATAAACATTAAACAAAATTATCTTAATCTTTTAATTGCTAAAGTGCTTGAGCAAAATATTTTATCTTTTTATCGAACAAAATAGTTGGAACGTTTTCTTCGAAAAAACATTTATAAGTACTCGTAAAAAATTCTTCTGGCAAGCTATCATGTTATTCCAATAAACTATTTTATTTACATAAAGGATGAGTATTGATCCAAATAAACTTACTCTCGATATCGTTCGTCAGATGCTTTCTCCAATAAAGGCATACCAGATAGGAACAATATTATAACAGTTGTAAAAATAGGAGAAGCAATGACCATCCATTCAAATCCTTCAATAACATTTAATGACACAGTGAATATTCCCCACCAAACAACTATTTCTCCAAAGTAATTGGGATGTCTAGATAACCTCCATAATCCTGAAAAATAAACCATTAAAATAAATGTTTTGTAATATTTTTTTAATTTTACTAGGTATTAGTAATTCATTATATTGTCATTCCATTTCCGTACTATTTCTAATAATAATGAGTAACTCCGTTATCGATATGACAAGCTTACTCATTATGGCATTGAAATTGCACCAACATATCAAGCTTACTCATGACGATATGGTATCGAATGAAGCAGCCACTGTTTTAATATTAATTGCATTCATAATATACTTCATACATTGATAGAGCATTTTAATTAATGATCAACATTTACCATCATTGCACCATTTTCCATTATTTACTGGATCTTGTCTGAAGGAAAATTTCTGAAGGTCAGCATAAGTCTCTGCTAGCAGACCAACAATAAATAATCCAGTACCAGTACTATCTAATGTCGTCATGGTCTTGGGAGCCAGAGGGATTCTGTGTCTTGGTGAATTTATGATAATCACTGGCAGACTTACAACATAAACCCATACAGCCTGAATAATTATAAATAAAATGTTGCATAATTCTTTTTAAATATTATTAACAACAATTGATAATACTCAACTATCAGTGACATATATATTAACATTAATATCTTACTTGAAAGGTCCAGAAAACAGCAAATCTGATGACATTACTCCTTCTATCATCAAACCTTTTATCACGACCAATTTTTAGAATACGATACAATAAGTATCCAGATAAACGGACTCCCCAAATACAGACAAAAATAGTTACCATTAACTGACGACTATCATAGACCTAAAAGTAAATAATAACAACGGTGAACTAAAAGTATAAAGCGTGAAGCTATTCAATTAAAAATTCATTTATGCGATCAATCGCATACCTTGCCTTCCTGGCCAAGGAAAAACGTGAGTAGAGCAATGATAACGAAATTCATTCCACCAGCAAAATCCGTTAGCTTATCCATTTGAAAAGTAGCAGCGATAGTGAAAAATATCAACTGCATTCCAACTGTAACAATTGCACTAACAGCAAGGTGGTCTTCGTCTAGAATTTCCACAGCCATCGTTATATGATGTTTAACAATTTTTCACTTATTTTATGGTTTCATTAGTAATGTATCAACAAAACATTTTATTAAATTATTATTTGAGGTAAAAATTCTTTAAATGATCCATTGTTGTAAGCCAAAAGCTAATTTATGACGTAACTAAGTCACATTGACATTAAGAATTTTATGCGTAAAATGAAACGTCTTTTATCATACTTGATACAACATGTTTTATCTCTTCTTCTTTGCCCTTGTATGATGTAACCTATTTCTGTCCTAGTCGGTAACGGCAACCTACATATTTATCTTCGGTTAATTACGTAAGAGATAAAGAGCACGATCCAAGTGTGATGATATTATGATATCGAATTGAGCAGGATTGCATACTTAGAACCACAACAAAGTAGCTGATATGTAGAAAAATAATGATGAATAACAAAAGGATATGAATAAGAGTGTTTAATTAAATCATTATATATTTATAGATGAGTAACTCCAATAAAATATTTTATCTTTATTATTTATTCATGTATTTTTGAAATAAAATTCGTGACCCAAGTTGACCTAAAACAACTTGCATCAAAAAAAAATTTCCGTTAGTTTCTTTATACTTTTAATGAAAGTGCTAGTAAGTACATATCATATCTACATCTTAGATCATTTAATAATTGCATGAATGCTAATGAGGTTGGGAAAATTTTATAATTTCATGTGCATTTAAGTATTTCATGATTACCTAAATATGAGCTTTGAAGTTTTGACAAGTATAATTATTAAAAAAATTTTAAAAAGGTCATTTGTATGTATGTAATATTAACGTTGATGGAATTGAGAGGGTCAATAATTTTTAATGAGGATATTTTTAGTGGATTTAAAATTTTTTTAATGATTGTCAACATAATACAAACTACTAATACTAATAATAGTTTTAAGGATAAATGAAAAATGCAAGTGATAAGAGTTTATTTATAAACACAGTTTATTTTTTTGCATGATACAATAAATGATGGTGTAATAATGACAGTGAAATACATAGCACTGAGTATAAACCGAAATTTAACTCACATTGATATACTCTAATGCGTAATATATATTATTCGTAAACTATTTTCGCAGTGTTTCAATTCATGTTTTTCAGCACAGAACAATAATACAAGTTCGATAGAAGCCAGTAGTCACAATCATTTTGTTAAACAAAGTAAAATCTTAGTGTAATTTGTAGTTAGCTGCCATGTCAAGGAAAAAAGTAATTGTTTAAATTTTAATTACGTATATGAGTTAGAGAGTCAACGTTAATTAAAAATTACTTTTCTCAGCCTGGAAGACATGGCATTGACATATCAATAATTACAATTATTTTAATATTAATAATAAAAATAATAATAATAATATTAATTAATCTTTTTTAAACATATCTTCAACTAAATAAAAGTATTATTTCTATTATAATTTCTACATAAATGCAAAGTATATAAATTTGTCTTGAATATAAAAAATTACAAAAATTATTGTGTACGGATTATTACATAAAACGTAGTCGAAAGAAACTGAGTATAATATTAAAGTGCATATTATATATCTTTAAGCTATGCACCAAACAATGTAAGATTAGCGTTAAGAAAGACAGAATAATCAGCAAAATAATTATTAATAAAATTGATGAATCTGAATAGTTAATAATGCTTACTAATAATGCTTATTAGAATAGATTGTAAAAAATATAAATATAAAAAAACCTACTGCTAAGAGGAATGGCGATGACGTACAAAAAAACAAAATGAATAATTTTCATTTATAAATGTAACATCGGCATACAAAAGTGAAAGCGTTTTTCGTTGCGCTTAAAAAATTTTGGTTGAGTATCATCGTTAGTCATTAATCTATTGAAATGCTTATTGTACTTTAATGACGTCATGGTTTAGTTCGCTAATACTATAATTCAATAAATTTCGGATTGATTAGAATATGACGCATGCAATTGATTAATTATACAGTCATTGTATCGTAACTTCCGTTTTTTTTTATATCACAAATTTATTATGACTTTAATAATGAACGAACGTTTTGTCTTAGCCGCATAAAATGACAAATTATCAATACGATTCATTTATTTCTTGCTATTACTTGAGCTACTCCACTGATCCATTTTATGCATACGTTCTTTCTTATATCATTTACTTACTTCTTTCTATCAGTACCTTAACGGATCTTGATCAAAGAGAGCTCTAACTAATAACTATTATTTCTTTTTTATTTTATAACAATTCTAATTTATGAGTTTATTCATTAATTAAAATCAATATCTTGTGATGATGTATAAATGATTATACACGAAATCTCAAATCGTAACGAAATATCTATTAGATATGAATTGTTATACATTACAAGGTCTTAAAATGAAAAAACTTAATCTAAAAAATCCGATGTATGGCAAACCTATTGCAGTTCGTATATTGCATGAGCCTGATTGATATATCAGGCTTTGAACAATACTACAATAAAATCCGTTAAAAAAAAGATTGCTTTAAATGTTTTCTTAATAATTCACAAAGTAAATAAATCAATATAAAGTTGTCAATACTATATGCTTTATAAAAGTAAAGATAAGCAGAAATTATATTCCTTCATATCCCTGCCTCTTATAGTTATAAATTTCCTACATTCACGATCGCATATTCAATTTCTTTGACTTCTTTTCTTTTTAAAACTTTATCATTGATTTTAGTCATCGCGTCTGAACAGCGAACTAACCACTTATTTTTCCTCGCCTCTTTCTTCTTTTTCCTTATTTTCATCTACCTCTTTATCTTTTTCAACTTCCTTCTCTTCTTCTTTAACTTTTTCTTTGTCACCATCCTTACCTTCCTTTGATTCTTTTGATTCTTTCTTTTCCTCTTTGCCGTCTTTAGTTTCTTCCTTTGGCGGTTTCGGCAAGTGGGTATTCATATCTAGCGAATTGCAGATCTCATCCCAGTCTGGAAAGCACCTGTCCTTCATGCGTGAGCAGTGTCCTACCAAGTTGGGGCAGTGATCTTGCATATAGTCTCTGAGTGCAAAAGGTACGGATTTTTCAATGTACAAAATTTGTGCGAGGTGTGCAAACGCAACGACATCGAGCTGTAAAATAAATTAAATCATTTTCATTAGTTTCATTGTTAAAAAATTAATTGCATTACTTTAATGTAATTTCAACAAATCATCTCATAAAAAATTAATTACTTACTTTAGTGGGTTCATCGCCGAAGAAGAATGGTTTATCAGCTAATAAATCGGAGAGAACTTTAAGATCATCACAACCGAATTGAGCTACTTCTTCATTGGTATGGACCCCCATTCCTTGAGCTTTCACTTTCTTTGCGCACTGGAATAAATAATAAAAATTTTCACAAATTATTTATCGTTCATTTGATCAATTTCAATCTCGATTAATTAATTAGCTAATTGACAAAATCTCACCTTTCGTCCATATGTGAACTTGAAAAAGAAATTAAGGATTCCATTGGGTATGCGTGTTCCCAAAGCATTTTGTAAATTAAATCGATACCCCTTTAAAACAGCGTCTGTGTTCTTGGCGCGCCACCAAGAAACCACCCACACCAGATGATTTTCAATCATGGAGATCATTGCGTGAGATATGGTACGTTGTTCATTAGTCAGATTAGCATCCAAGTCTTTGTGGAATTTTTGGCTCAATTCTCGCATGATAATTGCGCTATCAGCTATCTCAACGCCGTCAAGTTCAATAAAAGGCAATTGGCCTTTCTTCGAGCGGAATTTCATTTTATGATCCACATTCTGAAAATAACAACATAACATATTTTTGTTAATAAGTGCAATGGAAAAACAATTTCATTAAATTTAACAAAAAAAAAAAACTTATATTTGAGGATAAATTTTTGTATTATATTTTAAAACTGAAAAAATCATTATGAAATTTGTTAAATTTAATTGCATTCTAGAAAGGATTTTGTTTTGTGAATAAAGGTTGAAGTTTTTCTATTCATTTGGAAAAGAGATCATTACTGTATTATAGAGTATGTAGTCCAGTATAAAAGGTAGGGCATAATTAGCTTTGTAAACTGATAAATAAATAAAGAAATAATGAAATCTAAAAAACAATACCAACGAACTAATAAAAAAATAAGTAAATTTTTTATGAAATAAAGAACGAAAAATGAAATTTTTCCATTTAATTAAAGAAAAAAATTCATTGCTGTATTATAAAGTATGCAGTATGGAACAAAAGTAGTGAGAGCGAGAGAGAAATTGAGGAAGGCCGATGAACCCATGGTAGACAGCTTCCGTTGCCTGGCAACATCCCCGCCACTTTGAATTCAGAGTTGCCATCATAGTAGTTGTTATCGTCGTACTGTGTGCTAGTATTGATCGTGAGAGCACTACTTTGCGATCGCTATGTGCTCCCTCATTCATTTAAGCCACCAAAAAAAAGGAAAAAAAAAGAAAAGATCTCTCAATCCATAAAATATCTCTTTCAATACTCAGAAGCATTAATTTGATAATCTCTACCCTCATCCTCAAAGACAGACTTTATATTTTGCATCATTTATCATTGTTGATAATCTTTCTGACATTTAATTTTAATTTTTTCATTAATGAGCCCTTTTTTACGTCATCACTTGGCGTCAATTAATGGTAAATAAAATACTTTAGGAGTAATTTACTACTGAGGAATGATGAGAATGGTCATTCATGACTCTAAGGAATTATTTCATTAATTTATTGAATGATTTGTTTTAATAATGCTAGAAAGAGCTTGTTAAACCTTAAACTGTCTGTGCTGTTCGATAATTCAACAAAGAAGTACATTCTTTTCATGATAATTAGATTATATTAATACTGTGTCTTTAAGTATATTGAGAAAGGGGTAAAATAAATGACTGAGAATATTTTGATGATAAAAAAATTTGGTAGCATCACTTGTTGCTCCAAAATAAGACGATGCTGCTCACAGTTGACAGTTTGTGCTTTATCAAAGTCACAAAAGCTCGAAATAATGTTCATAATACTCTATATATGGCTTCGAAGCACACAATAGCAACTTTTTTATGCTTTGGAGGGGATGCATTATATATTATCGTACTGTTGAACTAACAGAACGGTGCTTTGTTCCTCCAAAGCCATTCTAGAACGTTTAAGTTAAGTATAGCACGGTGTTTAACTGTAATCCTTATGGAATTTCCGGAGTTTCCATAAGGATCTATAAAAAGCTCCAAAGATATTAAAATGGGAGGGTAACCGTGCGTCAAGGATGCCTAGCGGGAGGTAAGAATGGCGTCCTACTCGATCCAGAAGCCTAAAATTCGATGTAAGAGGCCTTAAAAGTGCAAAACATGACCGTGGAGATAGACTTTGTTAAAAAAAACTAACTCTCTCTAAATGATAGTTACACTAAATGTAAATTTAGTGACAATAATAAAATATTTACCTCATATTTAATGTCGTTAAGCCGCAACCATGTTTCCACTTTGAGACAGAAGGGCGAAATAGATGGTATTACTGGAGTGCGAGAAAATTGATACAGATATACAACATCCTTTTCATAATTAACTTTATGCACTGAGACAGATTTATTGGTCGTTTCATCAGCAGCATCTTCTTTCTTTTCATTCTCCATTTTCTCCGTTGGTTTTTCATCTTCTCCTTGCTTATTATCTGGCGGCGTCTCCTCGTTCAATGCTGCTTTCATATCTTTCACTTCTTTATCTTCTTTTTCTCCTACCGTCGTGTTATTTTCAACCTCTGTTGCCACGGTCATTGTTATTTATTTATTGATTATGTAAATAATTAATAGAAATAATTAATGAAAGCGCCAACAATAGAATGATGATGAACGTGCTCCCGAAAAAAAAATTTTCTGAATTACACTGCACGAAAAGTCGCTAGATACTGAATGCGTGCTTGCCGGCCGGTATATTACTCAGACTTCAAGCACTACACTACTAATACGCTCATCGTTGTTGAGATTTCCGAACTCTACGCATGCGTGTGCGCCACACCCCATGAACCGCCATTTGTGATTTTATTGTGGGGGTTTGCGCGACGCCCGATGTGCCTCCGACCTCAATGCACGACAAATTCCGGATGCGTCATGCTCTAAAACAGTTTGCCAACATTTACATTGCACTTTCGCACGCGCGTTATCGAGAAAAAAATTACTAGGAGTCATTTGATTCCCTAGCCACTTTGTAAACAGTCATCTATAACCTCAATGTTTTGATTGTAGATAAGCATATTGGAATAGTAATTTGTTACGATCGGAATTAAAGGGTTTTCTTTCAAATTCAGATTCAGGTAGTTTTAATGAAAGATTTTATAAAGTTGTTTATTGTTGTAGTATTTAAAATTTTTTAAAATGCTTGAATAAATGTTAAACAATTGTACAAGATTTTTGTGAAATTTTTTCAGGATGCATCGACATACAAATGCTGATTATAATAAAAACCGTATGGATGTTCTTCCTCCTGAGTTGGAAAGTCAATTCATTCTACGATTACCTCAGGTAGGTTACAATTTATTCTTTGCTCCAATACATTATTTATTTACTAATCACGAAAAGAATTGTTGGGTATTTAAAATTACGTCTTCTGTGAGATTGTATATATGTTTGTGAAAAGCCAAAGATTGTTACTTTTTTTGGTTTTACTACATTTTAGTAGAATTAATTTTTCTAGATTAAAAATCAAGATATTTCATTATCAGATTTTTTCTTTGCTTTCTTTTCAGAAACCAGCTCAAGTATTGAAGGAATCATTACAAGCTGGTCATCCATTAAAAGATAGACTTTCTATCAAAATTGACAATGATATGAGATATGGAGAGGTTAAAATTGATCAATGGCTATTACATGCTAAGGTATGCATTTATTTAACTAATTTCCTCTCCAAATTAATTAAATAGTTTAAATAAATTTATATTCATTATGTTATGTTTATAGGTCGTCGATTTACCAACTATTGTAGAGTCCTTAAAAACGATTGATAATAAAAGTTTTTATAAAACAGCTGACATTTGCCAGGTATTTAAATAAATAGATATTCTACTCGATCGTAAATTTTCAAATGTAAACCAACTGAATATTTATGAGTGATAAACCAATGTTTTACAGATGGTTATTTGTAAGGAAGAAGATGACCATACTACCGACGATGAATCGCCGGTAAGGCAAAAGAAAAAAGATCCTAACAAAGTCGATAGGAAATTTTTGTGGCCACATGGCCTTACACCACCTACCAAAAATATTCGTAGAAGACGATTTAGAAAGACTCTTAAGAAAAAATACGTGGAAGCTCCTGAAATTGAAAAGGAGGTCAAACGTTTGTTAAGAGTAGATAACGATGCTGTTAACGTTAAATGGGAAGTCATTTGTGAAGATGAAGACAGTACCAAACCCAACAAAATATCTAATTCCGGTACTGTCAAAGGAAAAAGGGAAACCAATGATTCATCCCAAAACGTTGACGTAGGTAAGTGTCGAATCTAATTATTCAATTTTGAAAACAATTCCTTAGTTATGACTGTAATAAGTCATTAATAATACTAGAATAACTTTTGAGTTGAGAATTCATATCATCAATTGTTAACTATATATTTTTTTTGTAATGCAGCTGAACACGACATATTTGGTGAAGCTGTTAGTGACAGTGAAGATGAAGATGAAGAACCCAATATTAATGTAATGGAATTAGATGAGAATAGCCGTTTATCCGCTGACAGCCGAGTCTCTGATTCTAATTCATTGCAAGTGGGCTATTCTGAACGATCAGGACAGGATACAAATACATGTAGTGAACTACTTACAGAGTTCAGTAAAGATATGTTTCCATCAGAGAATGCTGATGAACAGGATGCTCGAACAACTGAAGAGAATATTTCGAAAGTTCCTAAGATTGAAGATTTCCATTCTGAATATATCATACCAGATGATTCAGAAGCTCAAACTATAAATATACCAAAAGGTATGATAATCATTCTAGATTATTTAATTGTGCATTTAAGTCATTGATTTAGCATAAAAGAAATATCAATCATAATTTGTTAATTTCTATTTTTGTAGATACATTGCAATGTAGGCTAGTATCATTACATAATGAATTAGCAGAATTACGTCAAAGACGACAGCTTCAAGAAGCGGAAATAGCAAATATAGAGAATCTTAAATTACGACAAAGATTCCAAGAAATCTTGGACAAACTTTTGACGGAAGAGATGCAAAAAATGCAGGAGGTATGTAAAAAAAATATATATTCAGATAAATTTCTCATTAAAAAAGCTTGTAATTTTTTATTTGTCATTTTTCACCTACAATAAATATGCAAACGATTTTTATGACATTTCGAGCGCTAAAAACTCTAGTAAAAACAACCCAAACCATTCTTACATTATAAATAATACTTGTAATTTTATTGTAGCAAGAATTAAAATTCATTTTATCTTACCCCAATTAAATAATTACGTATATTGATAATTTATTATTTATATTAGTTTTTATTGTTTATCTATCATTTTGATGGTAAAATTTAACTAATATTGTTAATTTACGACAAATATATTATTCAATATTTAAATCCATTTCCATTAGCTCCTATTCAATTATTAAAAACATTTCCATAGCACTGTTTTAGTAAATATTTAATTAAGTAAAATTTTAACAATTATATAAAAATATTAAAAACATCGTTAACAGTTAAAAATTTAGCACAAATGAATAAATTATTTTTTTACTGTTTTTTTAGAGCTCGAACAGTCTTAATGACAAGACATAAATGACAACTTATGTTTACATGATTGTATTATTTTTTCCAGATTCAAGATTTAGAACTAGAGGGAAAATACACGATTGAATAATACTAGTGTGCGCTGGTCGGGATGAACATGATTATGAATAAAATCATTTTCTAAGATATATTTTTAATTTTTGACTATAGAATGGTCTTGAAATTATATATTTCTAAGTTATATTATTATAATATAATAATTGCACATACCAAACTGGAAATTCGTTTGTTGCTATTACTCTAATATTTTTTTTAAAGTATATTGCTACAAATTTTTCAAATTGATTTATCATTTCTATATTCTTCACGAATAAATAAACTAAAATAACTAATAGTATGTCTGTTTTTAATATACTTACATTTATGTAAATATATATGCTGTTAAAATTATAAAATCCATCATTCCTTTTAATAAAATACTGTCAATTATTACACAGTAGATAAGAACATGAGCATAGAAAATTGCCAATTTCATTCAATTCTCATTATATTATATATAATAAGTAAATTAATTATTTGGCCCCTTTATAAGGATTATTTTATATAAAAAAAATCTATATTAAAATGCAACTGATAAACTGTAACAAAAAGATCTAAAATTTATATCTGAAAAACAATTTTTAAATAAAAATATGACAATATTCATTAACAGCTCAATCACTAGGTCAGTTTTTATCCTCTTATTTTTTTCATTTTCTTTTTTTTTTTTGTAAAATCAATATAGTTTTCTAAACACTAAGTGCAATAATACAATACTTAGTATTGTGCCATACACACATACTAAATTCCATTAATTAAATTATGACTGTCATATTTTTATTCATGTAATGCTATTTAATGCCTTCAACTCACTTTCAGAGCTAGCATCACTCCATAAAATTTTAAAAAATGTATAATTACTACGATTCATATTTCGTAGTAAACATTCATATAAATCTTTGAGGCCAATTAAGCTCGAGAATAAAAAAATAAAAATAAAAAATGTTCATATAAAAAACATTTTGCGATAATCTTATAAATATTACATTGAAAATATTGGCATGAAGTAAACGTAATTTAGCACAGTACGATTGGAATGAATGAGTTAAAGTCTCTTAATGTATTTATCATGAATAAATATGACAGCGAGAAGTTAACTAATATTGAAGTTTTCATTTCAATATTCCTTTTATCGTTCGATGCTGAATAATCCTTGTACTAGATTCTAGGAGAATCTGGTAAAGGTGTGTTATTAACTTGATCTTGTAAACAAATCCTGAGATCACGTTCGTCCAATTCACTTTCAGGTTCAAAACTAAAATTACGTCCAATAAGTTCGGTAGAACCAGTCCACTTTTTACTATTTTTCAATCTCAAGATCTAAGACATAAAATGAAAAATATTTAAACAGGAACTAAGCTAGAACTAGTTATTGTAAAAATCTTTACAATATTTCCAAATTTATGTTTGATAAATAAAATATCTAATTAATACAATATCAATTATTGGATAAAAGTAAAAGAATGTTAAGTAAAGATTTTTACAAAAATACTCTAATGAAAAAGTATGGATATGATAAAAAATATTGAGTCTCCCAGTCAGCTTGGGCTAATAGAAAAAAATGTATAAAAAATTCACATACATCGCACTCGTTATTATTAGCTACACGGTATCAACTTGAATATTAAAAAGAAATTGATAGTTATTACCAATAAATTATTAATGTAAAGTATGATAATAATAGTAACAGCTATAATAGCATACTGAAGCAACATGCGATTTTAAAGTCATACACGAACAGGATTATATTAATTTAAAAATATCGCTATTATGTCGAGCAATCAAATAAATATTACGAACAGCTAAACATGCTTAAAAAGAGCTAAACGCGATCTCTGCCATTCCAAAGTTAAAAATATAAAATTGATATCTTTATGAATCAATTAATAAAACTATATAAATTCTAATAAAAATAATATAGTTAAGATAGTAATATTACAACAAATAATAAAGCTCAAGTATTGATAGACAATATTCAAGATCTAGCTACCAACACAAAAATCGATAATTTTATCATAACATCACAATTATTTAGATGTTATAAAAATACACGTACTCGGTTAATTTCAACTTACTCGAGCCACCGCCAAGGCTCTGTCTCTGGACTGGTTATGGGCGTGGGGAACTATAAAGATCAGCAACAATATTAACATCATCAATTTTAGAATAAACTGAACGAATGCGATGTATCAACACTCTGAAGTTCTTTTATAATTATTTACATCTAAATATGAATCGATTTACGATTATGAATACCTGAATTTTTCAATACACTCTTACCTCTGCCTTCAATTCCGCAACTTTGTCCTGCAAATCGCGTACTCGATCACTATCATCTAAATTACTTCTCAATTCACCTTCAGCATACATTTCTTCATTCTAAAAAATGTATAAGTTTTCGTTTTAAATTAGCCTACTTTCTGGGTGTATTTAAAATTTTTTACCTTTAGCTCTAATAAAGATATTTTTTGGGTTAATTCAGCAACGTGTTGAGCATGTTCAGCGTCCCTAACTCGTGCCATCATAGCATCATCTTTCATTTTCGATTCTAGATCAGAATATTTGTGCATTTGTTCACGTAATTTACTTGTTAATTCTTTAACTTTAGCTGTAGCAGTCTCTAACTCTTCATGAAGTAACTTTTCGCCTTCGTCTTGTCTCCTTAATTGATTTGTAGCCACTTGAACTTGAGTTTCCAATTCCATCACCTTGAGCCTAAGTTCTTTAACTTCACTAAGTACCACCATCTCTCGAACCCTTGTAGACATTAAGTCTTCTTCAAGTTTTTGAACCTCATGTCCACGATTTTCCCAGAATAGTAATTTTTTGGGAGTAGAGTCAGCTGCCGGAGCTGATTGTGCTGATCGATGTTCTTGTAAGTGCCGTTGCCATGCTGTACTTAGTTCTGTAACTCTTTGTCTGAGATCCTGAAAATCATAATAATTTTTGTTATTAACTATTCAGAATTGAAATTACTTTAATACTTCTGCAATTTTTTTTAGTTTTACCTTTAATGATAAATTTGCTTCAGCCTCTCTAAGTTTAACAGCAATTAATTCCTCTTGTAAATGCGCCACAGAATTATCAGGCGTTGATTCACGGAGAGTTTTTTTATCTTGTTCTAATTCTTGTATTCTAGCTCTTAAGTCTCTGATTGTCGCATCTTTTTCAGCCTCATGTAGTCGCACACGTACTAATTCTTCCTGTAAACATTCCACCATTTCTTCTTTCTGTGAAAGAGCTTCTTGTTTCATTACTATTTCATCTATAGATGACTGTTTAGACGACATATTTTCCTCTAAAAGCATCGACAAAGACCTCAGTTCTTCATGTGCTTGTTCCAGTTGATGACTCGTCTCCAAATGAGTATGTCGTAAAGCTGCTAACTCTCGTTGTACTACAAACGACGTTTCTTCTTCTTCTGCTCTAGAAACTTGACCCTTTACTAATCGATCAGCTAATTCTGCAGATTCAGCCTCTAATAATTCACATCTTTGTCTCAGCAATTTATTCTCTGCTCGTAATTTTCGCAACTCAACCATCTCTTCTTGTTCTTTCATTTTAAGTACGGTGTAATCTTTTTCTAATTTTTTCATACGCTTTGGATTTATCTTCATTCCATAGGCTAAATTCAACAGCTTGTCTGGATCATTTTCCGCTCTACCCGGTAATTCTTTCTGAAAGAACTGTTGACAAATTCCAATAATCAAATCAATCTCATCCACTTAATTTTATTTTCAATGAAGAAAGTTGGTTGTCTCCATCAAAAATGATTGGTTAATTTTAGAAATTAAGTCATTTATTTTAAAATGATTGCGCGGCACAATTAGCAATATTGTATACTTAAAAAAAATAATTTACCTTCAACATTCCTTCCATATCCAAACTGAGCAAATCATCTTTTCCCAAATCCAACATAGCTAAAGCAACTTTAAAAATGATATCCATACCCTCCATAAGAAAGACATCGAAAATTCTACACGCTAAAGGCAAGCTTAACGCTGTTGTGAATAATGTAAGAAACCAGGAAGAGGCATACATCGAGGTATGAAAACTTTGAGCTGTAAAATGAGCCGCGAGTTCTGGATAAGTGTCTGATACTAAGTGTTCTAATTGGTACATGCAGACGCCTAGTTCAGCCATACTGGGTTTGAACATATCTCTTAAACGATATTCTTGCATGAGAGCTACTAAGACAGCAAAAGCTTCCTCTTCTGGCATTTGCTGAAATTTATTGGTTAATTATATATATCTTAATTCCACTTAATTATAATTATTTAATGAGTTAATTGTCTCTGATTATATTTAATTTTTTAAATGGATCATCTAATAAGTCTAAATGTTAATACCTGCATGAGCAACAATCCAACAATAAAGCCAGATCCCTGGCAATATCCCACTTCACGATCATGAAGACTATAAGCTTTCATAACATTAAATAAACTTTCTTGACCAAATCCATCTTTTTCTTTAAAAAACTCATGTTCTGGATATGTTCGAGCTATGTCTCTTCTGATGATTCTTTCACAAGCTGACGTTGCTTTAATATATTCAGCAAACTGTTTTTTAACAGGCGAATCATGCGCGCCACATAATAACTGCCATACAATACCCCTAAATTGGTAAAGAAACAAATAATAAATCATAATATAAAATTTAAGAAAGAGCCTTTGCTCAAACACTACTTGACGTTTGATTAAAATGTTAAAGTCTTTTTATTGACAAGAATGATAATCTTAAGTGGTAGAATGAATACATAAGTAAACATTTCTCCTTGAAAAGCAAACATTGATTACCTAAAATGATGTGGTATCCCTTGTTTAACTAATTCTTTAATAACATCTTTATGTTTCTTCCAATAATTCTCCCAATCTGCTACGATATTACCCCATCGTTTCCAGACATCAACTTCTCCATCAGTTGGGGTGTGGCATCGGGCCGCAGTTTCACTATCACCGCTGACGCCCGATGCCTGAGTCTGAGATGTATCAGAACTTTTTCTACTGTGATTACTTTGTAATGAGTTACATGATTTCACATCTGACTCGATTAATCTAAAACAAATAATCAGGTTTATTAGCAAACATTATTTCTTTTCAACACTTATTCAATTGATTAGTAAAAACATAATAATTAACTTTGTAAACATACCGATTAGCCTCTTCCAGCTTCCCTAAAAGCGCCAGCTCGTCGGTTGATATGTTTGAGCCTTCGGAACACACTTTTTTAGTGTTAATACCCAGTTCCAAGGCTGATAAAATAATTGCTTTGCAGCAAGACTCAGTAGAAAATTGGAGAGATGAATTAAGAGTGTAGTTTATACTCATCACCTGTGACTCATATTATTATACAATTTTTTTCTTTCTTATTATAAATAATTAAGCTTAGATTATTAAATAACAATCAATAAATTAATCCCAGTGATGTTGATAATTCTGAAAAAATAAATATTGTGTAAAAAAATTTTGGAGTAACTTGAACATAAACATAAACGTCAAGTATTAAATTGGAGTAAAACAATTATTAAAAATGTTACACATACATTTGATATACTTTAACACTTGAAACATACATTTAAATGGCTAATACAGGCAAAATAGAAGGTTAAGTGGTAAGCATTATATAGATCAATGAATGAAATAAATATAAAAATTATTAGAAAGTTGTACACAACAAAAGTTTATTAATAAATCATTTGACAGCTGTCTTTAAAGGCTTACACGTCAAATTACTCACCCACACACTGTAAAATAACGTTACACTAGAAATAAACTTTTTTTTACAAATAAGGCAACAATAAAAACGTTTGTTAATGACTTTATAACTTTTTCAATTATTGTATAAAGTTGATAAATTTATAAATTTATTGATACTATTTAATGGATGTTTTGACTAATTATATTACTATCTCTTTCTTCCGTTTGATAATGTAATAGGAAGGTAAGTATAACGTATATGTAAAAAGAGTGGAAGGGGGAAGATACCTTTCCAACGTTTCCAACTCTGGAATGTGACTGACAAGCAGTCGCCATATTGAAGTTAGATCTTTCGTAATGTAAAATTTATCTTGTACGTGACCAAAAACATCTGTAGAGAGATCAATATATCATTTTATACAATTTTATCGATAAAATATATTTATGAACAACGAGCGAATATTATTGTTTTTATTAAAAAAATATCAAATTGGATTGAGTAAATAGAATTTATTTATACTCAAATATTATTTGAAGTAATATTCTTCTCTCTTTCTTTAATTTTTAACAGAAGCAAATTCTTTTTATTGAAATAAATTTATACATGATTTGTTTTTATCAATAAATGTAATTAAAAAAAAACAATTATACAAAATAGTTACATAATTGAGTATAAATCATAATAAAAATTGTTTATAGTCTACTATGAAATATTTCTCATAATTTCGTAAATAAGAGAATTTATTGGTTTTATTTATACAATAGAAACTTCATCATGTAATACAATAAAATAGATCACGACGGTAATACAATAATAAAGATATTTTAATAAAGAATAATTGAAATAATCTAATGTATTTATTTCATTTAAATATATTCAAATTATAATTAATTACAAAGTACTTTTTAAATACTCATCGAACATAAATAATGATACAGCAGCATCATTGTCAGATAGGAGACGTTTTAAATCATTTGTATGTCCTGCCAAAGTTCTTATAGTTTCTGCTTGAGGTTCGATGAATTTCTCCTCTATATAGTGAGAAACTGAAGCATCATGTTTATTTGCGTGATGTTCAGCGATGTTATGAATATGTAATGCTTCATTAGCCATCTGTTTTTCAGTATCAAGGGCTCTAGCCAAGCTGTTGATCTCAGGAAGTTCTAATACGAGATTTTTGTCCTGTTAAATCGATAAAGGAGATTGTTTTAAATCATGAAAATAAATCAGAATCTTATCTTTTAAAACAAAATTATCTTACGCTTCTCTTGATTCTTGGTAGGACATTGAAGTTCATTTTTCCTCCTCTCTTGGTGATAAACTTGATCAAGTCAATGGCATTTTCCCATGCTTTATCAGACATTTTACGGAAAAAGCCTTTGAATCCATCACGATTAGAATCATAATTACCAAAATGAGATGACATAAGTAAATATTCAAAACTTGTGTCAATGTGAGCGCTAACGTAGGCTTGGAGATCAGTTAATAGATGGTTTATGGCTCCATATTGAGCATTACAATTGGCGAGTGTCGGGTTTTCTAAAAAAAAATCAGACACATCAAAAATAATGAAAAGACAATGAGCACAGTGCTATTACGATAATCTAATCATACAATCTTATCGACAATGTAATTGGTATACATAAAATTCAATTGTAAAACAGATTAATAATAATTTTAACTAACCGCCCATAGATTCCCGAGTGTTACATGCCGATTCTACATCACTGTAACAAAAATTTGCTGTACATGAGCTTATCAAGAGCAATCCTACTAAAGCTCCAATCTTCCACATGATGGCTGAAACTAGAAAAATAATTATCTATCAATTATGGACTAAATATAAATAAAATTATTTATATTAAACATGTTACATGAAAAATTAGAGATATACAAGATCAAAAGATCACCACGATAAATATTATTGAAAATTCATCGTTTTTATTCTACATATGATTAATTCGAAATAAAACAAAGTAATAAACACTACTTAGTATTAGTGTCAATGAAAGATATGAAGTTACATTAAACAATTGAAACTTGGTTCATTATAAAGAGTTTCATTCATAAACCTTTTTATTAATAAGTTCAATTTTTACAATTTTCTATGAATCACTTGATATTTAAACTTATTTATTGAACCAGTATTTTTTTTTTTAAATTTAGAGTTCTTAAAAGTATATTTGACCTACAATACTATTGGTTATGTTTTTAAACAATTCCAGAAATTTCCTCAGTGAAGGTCTTTCTTTTATTGAATGACTCATAAATAACAACAGGAGAATCACTTACAGGACTTTATGATCAGCTTATCAAAGTACAATAATTAAGAACAAAAGATTTATTAAATAAAAATAAATGCGCAATACACGGAGCAGAACCAAGTGAAATATCGATTTTATATAGATCAAAATAAATACTAAGATGGCCGGTATTTAAACAAATGATCATGTCAATTGTAAGTTACATAAAAAGTATGAAAAAAATCAAACTTACTATTGTATTTCGTTTAATAATGCAATAATTAAAAGCGTGAATACTCTCGTTTCGACGCTTTACGGTACTTCACTGAGGTTTTATTTCTGCTGCGATGTTAGCTTGGAATCTAATAATTAAAAAGCGCATGCGCAAATCGCAGTTCGTCGAATTCTTAACTCCATTGTGACTTGCGATTATCATACTTTGTTTTCAAGTGGCCAATGGCTAATACATTTTACTTTGCTCATTGATATTACTTGAAATTTGTGGCGGAAGGCCTTCTATACCAGTGTGTATAAAGGTTGCTTCGATATAAGTCAACGAAGAGGAGAAACGCGTATTTCTTTTTAACTTTCAATTTTAAATCTAGTTATTGCGTTCTAAAAAATCATCATGAAGGCTCTAACCACTTTTCTTCTAGCAATTGCATGCATCAGCGCAACTGCTGGTGATTCCTTAAAATGTAAGTTTATTTATTATTTTTATATATTGTCAATATCTTCATTACCTAATAACTATCATTATTAGTTTATTGATATCGATTTTCCATTTCTTTTTCATGGTTGGCTCCAAGTTTTTAATATCATCAAACCAATGTTTTTTTTTTATCATGGCTTTTTTAGGGTTCAAGGAGCCAAAGTACATGGAGATTTTTAATTTATACTCTTATTAGTGATTGATTTGTTCAATGTTTACATTATTTAATTTCATTAAATCATCAATATAGTCCACTGACTTGCTCCAGTGGTTTCACTTTAGGTTAGTTTATTCATGTGCATAATAACTATTTCTTTGTTTATAAAATTCAAAATCCTTTTTTTCAATTTATAATGAAACTCAATAGATATCCTTAGTAATTTCATTTATATTCATTGAATTAGTCATTCCAGTTTAATTATAATAGATATCAGTTTTGTGGGAATATTTGATAGTTTAATGAGGTGTCTAAATTCAGAAGTTGAAAAAAGGAATCGTATAATTCGACTAAAAAACATAATGATAAGGAACCGATTATAAGTCTCACGTATTATTTGCCAAATGATAAGACATGATAAAATGAAATTATGATGAAATACAGTCAATTAAAATGTTAATATTGTCCTTTGGCTGATCGATCGATCAATATCATGCAATCTATCCTACTTTCCCATCATCCTGTTGTTGCATTGTGCACTTCAACATTCATTTTCATCATTGTAAGAATGTCTTTTATGAATAATCTTAATTATTATCATAAACGAGTAATAAATAAGTAATCACTGAATAATTTTAATAGAATAATAAAACTATATAAAATGTTTAACTATTATCAGTCAGCAACATTAATTTGATAAGAAAGATCCCCAAGGACATGTAATAAGTGGGCGTATTTTTCGTATTATTCATAATTCCAAAGGTCTCAATAGTTTATCAAGTTTTCCATTCTGTGATTTTAGAAATTCTAACGAATGTGTTAACAAAGTGAATGTTTTCAAAGATAAATAATAATTTTATATAGTAGAATAGCAATGACAATGATATTATGGTAAAAATAATATGGATGATTTTCGATTTATAGGTATCATCAAGCCTGCTGATGTTCCTAATGAATGGATTGACATGGTACATCCTTGCATTAGAGCTTTGGAAAATCAGGTTAAAACAGAAATTGATGCTGCTATGACCTACTTAGCGATGGTACTTTGACTCATAATATAAACTTGATATGATTAAACTTCTGTGATTCACATCACAGATCATTTAATCATTAGTACGAATTATTTTTATCATTTTAATTCTTTGTTTTAAAATCATTAGGGGGCTCATTTCTCTCAAGACACTGTTAATCGTCCTGGATTTGCAAAGTTCTTTTTCGCAAGTGCTAGCGAAGAACGAGAACATGCTATTAAAGTTATTGAATATTTGTTGATGCGTGGTCAGCTCAAGAATGACGTTAGCAAGCTTTTAAATTTCCCAGTGGTATGTATTTGTTATATATATATATATAATAATTATTCAATATCTCCTCATTGTAGTATTAGTATATCAACAACTTACAATAAGCCTACCAAAACATTTGATTGTAGCATCAAATGTATTTTTCAAGTGATATATCAGTCTAACTATCAAATATTTCATTTCCTTTCCGCCAAACATCCTGATTATTATTGTTATTGCTTCTTTTATGATCATTATATAATTGTACGCTTATTTAATTCATTAATACTACAATATAAAATATGTTTAAATAGATATAATTTTCTCTGATTGTTACTAATTGCCTTTGTATAGAAACCTCTAACGGATGAAACATTTAGCGGCATTCATGCGCTGTCAAAAGCACTTAAACTAGAAGCCGAAGTCACCAAATCTATTCGCAGTATTATTAAGAACTGTGAAAACGATAAGTTCAACGATTACCATGTAAGATATATTTAATTTTTTTCAATTACGAAATCACAATTAACCTTTTTTTAAACTATAGCATATTGCTATATTTGTTTATTCTATCAACTATTTTTCTAGAAGTAATCTGTAATGATTAAAAAATTTCAGCTCGTGGATTATCTAACTGGAGACTTCTTAACTGAACAATATAACGGACAACGTCAATTAGCTGGCATGGTATCTACTCTTGGTAAAATGATGGACATGCACGGTCCTCTTGGAGAGTTTCTTTATGATAAAAAAATATTGAAGGAAGAATTGTAAATTTTATGATGTTATTATATTTAAAACCTTTAATATTTTCTCGATCATACGTAAAGTATAGTATTATTAATAATTCGTATTATAGAAATATATTTGAAGATTTTTTTCATTTTTTATAGATTTGTTTTTCATATATTCTATATCAAAAATTAGATGCACTAACTTTATGTATGATCAAATTGATTATGTAATTATTGTATAATCAAATGCTGTATTTAAATGTTTTATTCGTAAATAAAAAAACTATCAATAAATGTTTTTTTAATCAAGGATTTTAATCAATAAAATTAAGATCAAGTCTCTTAGAAATATTTATTTCAATTTATTTTTTCGACGTTGTTTCTTTCTTTTTCTCAGATTTTTTTGCTGTTAGTTTAGCTTTTCTTGCCTTTTTTAGACCTCGTTTCAATGCATAAAATGCCTGCGTTCTTATTTTATTTCTAATTTGACGAGCTTTCCTTAATTTAAATCGATCAAAGTCACTCATCGCCAAACGCTGCAACAAAGAAATCAATATAAATAAATAGATTCAAAAATAGAATTCTAGAAAATATTCAGTTTGCGAAAGAAGATATTCTTATTATAAGTCTAGCTATGTTCTTATTATTTACCTTCTTCTTGGCTTCAACTTTGCTGGCCCACATAGTTTTACTCCATTGCTCATCAAGCTTGGCTTCATCCCATGCTTTTCGAACCACCCGGGTTCCTCCAGTGTAGGGGAATTTTAGACAAAACTTAGTTAAATGAAGATCGGTTAACTTCATTTCTCCCCTTGGAATTTTCGATTGTGGTCCATCAACCAAAACCTAAATAAAATAAAAACATCATGAATATTTTGTATTACTAACTATCAATTAATGAATCTATATCTATATATTTAAATTTATATCAGATTTAAAGTTGGCATCAGTTATGTATCAGCCGGCAATTCCTATCAAGAATGGGGATCATCATTTTTTCACATAAAATACTATGTATATTTTTGCAAAGTGATTTATATTAAGCAGTACTTACTCGGTTTTGATCAATGACATCCACGATGGACACAAGTTTGCCTTTATGAGGACCATCATTCACCAAGGCGATTCGCCCCGTTTGCACGTACCTGGCAAAAGGCTATAAACAAACAGAAAACATTAATATACATCATATTTTATTTATTTTCAGCGTAATTACGAAATGATCGCAATAATTTTTGTGTAACAAACGAAGCTCATAGAATGCTACTGATCAATGCATAACCTCACGTTTGGAGTAAATGACAATTATGATCATATATTGATTTGTACCAGGTACTTAGTTAATTATTCATATTTTCTTAACAAAATGATGTTTAAACTATTAGTTATATTCATTACAACATTGAAATCTATAAAATAATTCACAATATTTATCAAATAAAAGTATAACCATGTGCTCGCATTACAGATGTTTTGTTCTTAACGTTTCCAATATTTTAAGACAGAATAAAATGATGAAAAGATGAGTCAAAAATATTTTTACATGTAGGATTAAGTTAATGATATTATTTTAGTGTTAAAGTTTATAAAAATATTTTAAAAATAATAATATAAATGAAATATTAGATACTAACCATGGCGGAAACGGTGAAAAGAAAAAGTTCGAGTTGCAACGTTCATGGCGCAGCATTCGAGAACAACGCAAGTCATGTGTACTTTTAAGAAAAAACAATCTGAAGGCTATTTTTATTAAAAACAGTTTTTTGATGTAAAATAATTAGATTTATATGTTTTTATATTTATTTGTATTAATTAAAATCAGAAGTTTTTCAAAAGAAAAAAATTTTCTTTATATATAGTTGCTTTATTTCCGCATCAATATTCATCTCGATAGTTTGTTGTTGTGTTGGCAGCCATTTTACTTGGTTTATGAAAGATTGACTCAATTCAGTGCGTCATTGAATACACTCAACAGTTCATGTTTTATGTTTTTTTGGTTTTTACAGAAGCGAACCAACAAATAACAGTAACCGGTAGTAGTGTGTTGCCGGTAGTTTATACGTATGTAATTAATACAATAATTGCGTTCTAAATAACTCATAGTTTAACATAACACTCGTGTATTTTCTTTATAAGTTTTTGATTAATAGCGTAAATATTCACGTGTTGCGTGAATTGTATTCTCTAACATGAATAAAATAAGAAAACTGAATTCTTCTATTGACATTATTCCACTACAGGGTGCAAGTAATGACGAAATGATTACTACAATGGGAAGAAGTAACGAAGATCATCAACCAAGGATTCAAGGAGATTCGACGATTATTAGTCGCGTACAAACGGTACGTAAGAACATAACCTAAAATAATAGTGAAGTAACTCAATGCTTTGTTAAGTATTATTTTAAATCAGTAGTTCTCAAGTTTCAAATGTTTCAGTTACGTCTTTTATGCGATATCTTTTTTTTTTAATGAGCAATCATCTTTATATGATTGAATAGCTCTAACGTTACTGTTTATGTTTTAGTATTTGTGTGAGAACGAAGATAAAGTGTACATTGATGTAAATGAGATGGCTGATAGTTTACAAAGAAAATATCGGGACTACAGGCAAAAGAAACGTGGTCCATTCAGAGCTTTAGTTCGTCGAGCTTACGATGAAATAACTGAGAGTTTTTCTAAAAAATCCGACTCTTTATCACGACAAGATGATTATGATGATGAAGTAGAAATTGAGGTAATAAAACACATACTAATATTATTTTTCTTATAATGATTATTAATGGTTAAATTATTTGATTTTAGTCTGATACACCAGTCAATGATCCTTTGGGTAAAGAGCTTTTAAAAATGTACACAAAATCTTCAGAACGAAACGGAAATTCAAGCGATAAAGAATTAATTGACATAAGCAGCGACGATGATTCCGAAAAATTGGAAGATATTGCTCCAGAAAAAATAGCCAGATCATCTCATGTGAGTGGTGGACCTTCATCAAAAATTCCTCCCAAACCTTCAGCTCATTCTTGTCAACAAAAATATGCTAAAGCAGACGTTGATATCACCAAACTTACACCAAATACTCCAAAAGTAATTTATCTTTCTATCTTTTATTCATAGATTTATTTATAATATTTAATTCTATTTATACAACTTTAATTCTCAGATGCTAGACGCTCGAAATAAGACCATCTTAGAAAATTCAAGGAAAAGACCCCGTGAAAAATCTTCCGAAGATTTTCCGACGTCCAAGAAAAAGAAAGAAAGTCATAAAGCGATAGACGTAAAAGTAAAATTCGCTGATGTTGGAGGAAATAAAAAAGTTTTAGAAGATGTTTGTAGATTACTAGTTCATATTAAACATCCAGAGATTTTTAAACAAATAGGAATATCACCACCTAGAGGATTTTTACTTCACGGTCCACCAGGATGTGGAAAGTCTTTGATGGCTCATGCAATTGCAGGCGAGCTTAATGTTCCATTAATTAAAGTAGCAGCTCCAGAATTGATCGGTGGCGTATCAGGAGAAAGTGAATCGCGTATCAGAGAACTGTTTGATAAAGCAGTTGCATGTGCACCTTGCGTTTTATTTTTAGATGAGATTGATGCTATGGCACCCCACAGAGCAACAGCTCAAAGAGAAATGGAAAGACGAATGGTTGCTCAACTATTATCGTGCCTTGATGAATTAAGCTTCAAAGAAAACGGAGAACAAGTATTGGTTTTAGGAGCAACTAATCGTCCAGATGCAATGGATCCCGCTCTAAGACGGGCTGGAAGATTTGATAGGGAAGTATGTCTTGGTATTCCTGATAAAGAATCTCGAGAATGCATACTCCAAGTTCATACAGCTCGTTTATCACTCGCAAAAGACATAGATTTAAAGAAAATAGCAGCAATGACTCCAGGATTTGTTGGAGCTGACTTAGTTGCTTTGTTACGAGAGGCAGCTATAGCAGCAGTGGATAGAATTTTCAAAAAAATCAATAATGAAAAGAAACTAAATAATGATGATAAAAAAATTTCAGAACCAGTGGCTGAAATAATCGAAAACGAGAAAGAAAAAGAGAGCGATGTGAGTGAAAAAGCTACAGATAGAGAAATTAATGAAATGGATACGACAGCTACTGAGAAAAAAGATGAAGAGCCGAGTATAGTAGTATCAGATGAAGTTTCTGTTGAACAAACGATTATATCACCTGTTGTTCAAAATGATGATCAAAGTCTTCCAGTAACTGATGAAAATAGTACAAAAGTACCCGAAAGTTCTGAAAAACTACAAAATAACTTTGAAGATTTGGATAATTTACTTAAGCTTTTACGAGATAAAAATCCTTTATCTCCAGAACGATTATCAGATTTACATATAGAAAATGTGGATTTCGATATAGCTTTTCGAGTAGTACAACCATCATCTAAGCGAGAAGGATTTGCTACTGTACCTGATGTAACTTGGGAAGACATAGGCTCGCTTCAAGAAATAAGAGAAGAATTACAAATGGCTATTTTAGCACCTGTAAAACATTCCGAAAGTTTTGCAGCTTTTGGTTTAACAACTCCCACTGGAGTATTGTTATGTGGACCACCTGGATGTGGAAAAACTTTGCTGGCAAAAGCGATAGCTAATGAAGCAGAAATAAATTTTATTTCGGTTAAAGGACCAGAATTACTTAATATGTATGTCGGAGAAAGTGAAAAGGCAGTTAGACAATGCTTCATCAGAGCTAGGAATTCTGCCCCATGTGTCATTTTCTTTGATGAATTTGATGCTTTATGTCCAAAGAGAACTGAAGGCGATAACTCTTCGACTTCACGGGTTGTTAATCAAATACTCACTGAGATGGATGGTATTGAGGGAAGAAAAGGTGTTTATTTAATGGCTGCTACGAATCGACCTGACATTATTGATCCTGCAGTATTACGACCAGGCCGATTTGATAAAATTCTTTATGTTGGCCTTCCAACACCGCTAGATCGAGTAGATATCTTAAAGGCGTTAACAAAGGTAAAGGATCCACTATCAATAAGTCAATAAAATAAAGAACAATAGTTAATAAAAAATTTTGAAATATTTATTAATTTTTATGTTGCAGAATGGAACAAGACCTAAACTTGCAGCTGATGTCGACCTAGAGATAATAGCAAAGAGTGATCGATGTGATGGATACAGCGGAGCAGATTTAGCTTCATTAATTAGAGAAGCTGGTATTCAAGCTTTGAAAGAGTCTATGATAAATAATTCAGGATTGACTGAGGTTTACATGAGACATATAGATACTGCTTTTACTAAAGTTCGACCTTCAATTCTTGACAAGGTATTTTTTACTTGACTGTTTTAATAATTGGATTCAATAGGTTTATGCTATTACAATCAAATTAATTTTATTATCAACTTAACTCTTTTTAGGATGCAAAACATTATGAAAAATTAAGAAAGCTCTACACGATAGAAAAGCTTACAGAAGTTACACCAATGGAAACGCCTATTGATTTACCTATTGATCAGCCAATAATTGATGCACCGATGGAAGAAATGGAAACGTGAAGACGGTAGTTCTATAATAAAAGTAGAACTGTGTATAATCTTTTATTTTTTCTTGATAAGATTACTTTTTACACAAATTATCACTCCGTTTTGATTTATGGATTATCAATAGTTTTTCATTAATATAAAAATAATAAAAATTTTGAAAAAAAGAATTCAACTGTTTATTTAACTTTTAGACAATGATTGCATTAATTTAGATAATTTCAAAGGTAATAAATTAACAAGGTCTTTACATACATTAAGTTCATTTTTCATTAACTCTGCTGTTTCTGGATGAGAATCACAGTAATCAATAAAAAAATTATAAGCTTTTATACTATTTTTAATATTTTCAATCTGTGTATTCTTATCCAGAGTTATAATTCTATTGTAGAGAGCTCCTGAATTGAAATATGCGAAAAGTGCAGCTCGAACTAATTCTTCTGGAAATTCTTTTGGTGCAGGTGCTGATTCAGATTCCTTCAAAGAATCAAGGAATGTCTGATAATACTTTATAGCGGATTGGCATAACTGATTTATTTTGTTTAGAGTTGCAGGTGCAGGCCTGTCGTCTGAAGCTCGAAGTTTATCTACTTTAATGTCCAATATAGCTGAATATGTTTCACCAAGTTCAATCCAAATTTGTCGACATTCAGATTGATAATATCTTGGGTTCAACTCTTTTATTACATGCTCAAGAATATCAATTCTACGTTTGTGCATCTTTGCTTGACGGTCTTCATCGTCTTCAAAGAATGATAAATATTTATAAGCTTGAGACATATCTTGCATAATGTGAACATAATCTGATGCATGTGTTTCTAAAGCATAATATTTTTTTGCTTGGTCGAGCCATTGTTGAACATTTAAAAATACTTTCTTAGCATCATTAAAATCTAAAAGATATTTATCAGTAATCTGCTTTGCGATAGGTGTTATATTTTCTTCTAATTTCTCAAATTTCATTCGTTTAAAATCATCATCATTACCTTCTTCAGCATCACCTGGCTTTGAATCATTAGTTGAGTTCTTTTCATCGTCAATATTTTCAGAAAGTTCAATTAGTCGATCTCGAGACATACTCATCAGTAAAATTCCATATTTAGCCCAGCATCGAGCCACATCTGCACTTCTATGATGAAATTGTTCCCATTTAGCTGCCTTAACTTCATCATTGGCCGTTTCACCTGGATCATCAACCAAAGAATTTTCATATAACTTGAGAATATGAGAAGCTGCTGCTAAATGGTGTCTTGCTTGAGTAAAATGTTTTTTCTCCATGAAAAACTGCGATAACGTTGCTGCATTCAGTGCCCAATCAATGTAATCTAAATCTGTTAGTTCTAGTTGTTTTTGGAGCGTCATATGACAATAAAGTGCTGATTTATGGTGGTCTTTACATATTCCATAAACTTGTGCAATGTAATAAAGCGTTAAAGCGTGTAATTTTTCTAATACATGCTGAGGAGTTGGTTCTTCACTATTTTCTATTCCAAATATTGAAGACATTCCTTTTGGCTCTGGTACAGGATCTAGATTTTTGTACTCTGTATACAATCTCTCTGATTTTTCTACAAAAGCCTTTGATTTCTCATACTCTCCCCATTGAAACCAAATAATACCTAATTGATTCAAAGCGCTCAGAGATGGTAAGATACATTGAGGTTCCAGCTCACGACCTTTTAAAATTTCAATACATTGCATTAAATTATCCTCAGCTTCTTTCAGTTCTTCATTATCAATACAAATAATTCCAATATTTAGCCAAACTACTGCTAGCATTCCAACAAAATTTAAATCTTGATCAGATGAATTATTTAAAATATTTTCTATTTTTATCTTCATTTCTTTTAAAATAGTTATTGCCTTATTCTTCGTTTCACAATCAGGCCCTTCTTGATTGTTGTCATTGGGATCATCCAATAACTTCCTAACCTTAAAATATTTTTCTTTCAAGTCGTCTAACAATTCTTTATTAAAAGTCACCATTTTTGCTTTAATAATTACTTATCGTTTCTATTATTATTATTAGCACCACTTTAAAACTACTTAACTTGAATAAATACCAATGGTAAATTATTCTTTTATTTTTTTCTAACAATATTTTTACTAAACGTTTTTGCTATTTAAAAGGACACTACTGTATATAGTCGAACTGAGAAAAGAGTTCCTCAGCTGCTTCAATGCTTTCGGGCTCCCCACCACCGATTTTCTACCCCTTCTACCATGCTTTTTACTACTGCGCAAGCGTACAAGAACACATGAAGAGGATCTGAGGAACTCTCCTCAGTCCGACTATATATTAAGGCGTTGTCACATTGAACAGCAATGTAAACAAATGTATACATCTGTACACATGGAGCTACAGTGCGTCATATGCATGTAAATGCACCTTTATATGTGGAACAGTTTTTTATTTGTTGTTTAAATGCAATATGTTTCTTTGTAAATTCCATTTTAATTAAAAATTTACTGATTTTACATATGATAATGATATTTGTGTCATGATTTCTTAGTCTTTTATTTCTAATATTCGTCATATAATTATTTAATAAAATCTTACCAAATAATTCACTATTTACATAGAATTTCATAATGAATCTATTTTTTCTAATTATTAACATATCCTTGTTTATTACAACAATTACGTGTACTTTGTCTCCACCCACTAACAAACAAAAGAAAGATAAAGGACACATAACCGGCAAGGTATTATAATTATTCAGATTTCATTTAGAAATTTATATTATTTATCATTCATCATTTAGATTATTCATCAATATATCAATTTATCAATAAAATCTTTTTTGATTAAATAATTTCACAGAAAGGACCTATCAACCAGAGTGTATTTGATAGAGGACTAGTTGTAGAGAATCCAAAAAGTACCGATATTTTAAAAGAAAGCGGACTTTATCATAAAAATACTAAAGTAAAAAATTTTCCAAATGAAGTCCTTGGATATATAACTCCAGTAATTATTGAATGAAATTAATTCAAGCAATCTTTTATAAATATTAACATATTAATTTTTTTTAATGTAGTGGAATGCAGATGGTTATGATGTTGCAAAAACATTCCACAACAAATTTACATTAATTTCTCCAGTTTGGTTCAATATAGTAGCTGGAGTTGGTAAGAAATTCCAACTTGCTACTCATGATATTCAAAAGAAATGGCTTAAAGATATGAAAGCTGCTAATGATAAAAATCATACCGTAAGAAGTGAGTGAAATAAACATTGTAAATTTAGAGGAATAATTCAATTTATTTATTATTTTTTCTGCAGTTGTACCAAGAGTATTATTTGAACGATGGTCTCCACATGAAATAACGTCATTTCATGCTAATCATGAAAAACAAGACCAGTTAATTTCAGCTCTAATAAGCACAGCAAAGGTAAACCTCACAGAAAATGTTTTATGACCATTAGATAAAAATATTGATTAAATGAATTTTTTATTCTGTTCTCTTCATGATTAAGACATATGAGTTCAGTGGCTATGTCTTAGAAATATGGAATCAATTTATATATACTGAAGTAGATGCAGAAACAGTCGTTGATATAATAAAATTAATAGCTAAGAAGCTAAAGAATAAGGATTTACAAGTTATAATAGCTATTCCACCGACTCGAGCGTATGAATCGTCTTTATGTTGAAAGTCATTTTAACAATTTAATTTGTTCAACATCAAAGTATATTTTACCTTAATTTTTTACAGATCTGAAGCTCAAAGGTTTTCTCGAAAATATTTTGACTACTTATCACCTTATGTTGATTATTTTTCTCTGATGACTTACGATTTTGCGAGTATTCAACGCCCAGGTCCGAACAGTCCACTCGAATGGGCACGAGACTGTGTAAGAATATTAGTACCTGATGATAACAGTCCAAAACGTGCACAAATTTTAATGGGATTGAACTTTTATGGTAATAATTACACGCCTGAAGGCGGTGGTCCTATCTTGGGACATGAATATTTAAAATTTCTTGAGTCTGCAAAAGGAAAAATTCAATGGGATGATAAGAGCAAAGAACACTTCTTTGAATACAAGTGAGTTACAATATAATTGTCAAATATACTCAAGTTGAATATTTTATGAAATTATTTTAATTATTTATGTATCTTTAGATCTTCTACAGGCAGTGGTTTTGTTTTTTATCCAACACTTTATTATATTCAACAGCGTCTAGATTTGGCCAAACAATTAGGAACTGGAATTTCTATTTGGGAGCTTGGACAGGGTCTCAATTATTTTTACGATCTATTTTAAGAAGTAAGCATTGTGTTTATAATTACCAAGTATTATTCATAAATTGAGTAATATTTCTTATTTTCACTTCCAGATAAAGTCTTAAAAATTAAAAAAAATATATTCTTGCATGATTCCATTTTTCATTTGATGAAAAAAAATCAATTTCAAATGTTTTTCAATTATTTATATTGTTATTAGTGATAGATTTTTATTTTATATTTTTAGAATAAACGAAACATCCCAAAAAGATGAGTGTATCTAATTTATAAAAAAGCTTGTGATATTACTAACTTTGTAATAAAACTGTAACATATACGTTAACAGTACATTTAAAAATGGTTTTAGTTATTATAATGTCATATTATAATAAGTTTAATAGTTTAATTGTCTTAAAAGATAGAAAACTATCACAAATGTTCTAAATTAACCAGGTGTAAACGTAAACTGCCATGAATAATTAAAATTATAGGTCTTGTTCTAAGTTACTACTTGGCAGTATTTCCGCGTGAAGCGATAAAAAAATCTTTAGATGATAAAGTATAAAAAGTGGGCCGAAGAGTTGCTAGAATTTATGTTGATATCGTACAGGTATATAAACTGGTTATTTGTCACCCTGAATTAGCAGTCTAATTTGATATCAGTCGTTCATTGTCATGCATATTAGCTCTGCTACACAAAATTTATTTTAAAGCACACCCATTGCTCAAGCGTTAATCCAATCTCGGTGGTTTAATTTTGTAAAAAAAAATGAAGTTAACAACTATTATTATTGTAGTGTTCACATTATTTCAACCCAACCGAGCCGAACCGCATATTCTAGAAAGTCCTTTGCGAGAAAAATATGACAGTTATGGAGAAGATTGGATATTTATGCCTGATGGTAATGATAATCCACAAGTAGCTATTTTGAAAGGGTCTGGTCCTGAGTTGGTAAATCGAGGATTTTTGAGTGAAGAAGTAAGCTTTATTTTATACACAAGGTAAGTTTTATTATTTAAATTGATTTCAATAGAAATTTGACTCTTGCGAATTAACTGATACGTTTATCGATCAATCAACTTTGATAAAGAATATCAAAATCAACTTCTTTATCTGTAGAATCGGTAGTAAATTCTATTATTAATGAGATAATCAAGTGATGAAACATAAAATAACAATAATAAAAAGTTTTATTTATTTTCTAATTATAATTTAAAGATCTGGTCCTGAAAATGGAACCGCGTTATTTACTGATAATCCAGATGCTTTAAGAAATTCTGACTTCTCTCCTTTCCGACAAACTAAATTTATTACTCATGGATGGAAATCTAGTGCGTTAGCTGTAGGTCCAACAAATTTAAAAAACGGTAATTTATATTTTACATAAATATAAAAAAAATTTTTTCAAAATATCTTTTACTTATTGGATATTTAACTTATTTAATTAAAATAATATTTTTAAGCTTATTTAAAAAAAGGAGATTATAATGTTATTCTCGTTGATTGGGAACCTCTGGCTTCCAATACATGGTACTTAGGTCCGATGAAAAATACAGAAAAAGTTGGAGCCGAAGCAGGAAAGTTTATCGATTATTTAATCAGCGAAACTGGATTAAGCTTAGACAATATTCATTTTCTTGGTAAAGTATAAAATATGCAGATGATGATATAGAATAAAACAAAATTAATTTTTCCATTCAAATTTAGGTCATTCTCTGGGAGCACATGTAGCTGGAAATGCAGGATATTCCGTAACATCAGGGAAAATTAGCAGAATTACTGGGTTAGATCCAGCTCTACCTGGCTTCCATGCTTTATCAACAAAAGACAATAGACTAGATTCTTCAGATGCACAGTTTGTAGATGTAATTCATTCATGTGGAGGAATACTAGGATTTTTACAGCCTTTAGGAACTGTTGATTTTTATCCAAATGGCGGAGTTGCTATACAACCGGGGTGCTGTTGTATGCCCGAAATTACAGGTAGTTATCACAAATATTTTTATTTATCAATACTCGTCTTATTAATTATCAAAATCACGATATGACTTGAATATTTTCGTTTTAGAGGCTTGTAGTCATGGACGTGCTTATACATATTACACTGAAAGTATTATATCTGAAACAGGCTTGTTAGCCACCAAATGTTCAGACTGGGGAAGTTATGTTGAAGGAAGATGTAATGAATCTGGATTAGTCTTCATGGGTGAATTTGTAGACCGATCTGCAACGGGTTCTTACTTTTTAAGGACTCAAGCTGAACCTCCCTTTGCTATGCCATGGCAATCAGGATCATATAATGATGAATGCAATGAACCTGGTGGTTGGCATGTTAATCCAGATGGTACGCGTTCATGCGGAACAAATTTGATTTAATTTTTGCACAAATGATAATTAATAATTAATATATAATAAATGTTTATTTAGAATAAAGAATGTAATGATATTAATTAGTAAAATAAGAATAAATTCAATTTGTATTGATATATTCAATTGACCACTGTATATTTAGATAAAAGAAAGAAAGTGTATTCTAGTCGAAAAAATAAAGATATCAGAATAATCCGATTATACCATTGAAAATCGTAATTCAATTAAAAAGAATTCCAATTGTTGATAGTCATAGTAATCATTAATAATAACAATAAATATTCATTGATATTATTTTACAGTAGCTTAATGTAAAATTCATTCTTATATCTTAGTATATTTTTCTCTTTTGTTTAAAATAATTGACGTCATATCTAAGAAATTAATTTCATTCCAATCAAATTTGTGATTTTCTACAACTTAGATCGATGTAATAGAAACGTCGTGTGTCGATTACGCATATGGCAATTAACTTAGACTTAAATTGGTTTATACAGCAATGTTGTTACATATTTCTTACGATAACGATGAGTGGCTGATAATACCATGACACTTTCCTTGATGCTCAAAGCGTAGAGATGATTTAACATAACATGATTTGGTTCAGGTAGGAGTGTTGGTTCACACTGAAATTAAACTGTGATTAATATCTATCTTCGATACAAGAAATTAATAATAAAATTATTTACCGATAAAGGTGTGTCTTTGTTAAGAATGACTTGGAGTAGATGTGGTGGAAGTATTGGAGGTCCCGCTACTTTATCCCAAGGTTTCTGTGATGGAATTTCTTGACAGTACTCAGATTGAACACTGCTTGCTCCACCTTCACTATCTTTTGCCAATGCTTGAAATACTTCAAAGTCAGACTTTCTTACAGATACCATATTATTTTTTGTACCTTGTACATTATCGACAATTTGCTACAAAAAAATTTAATGCATGTAGCACTTAAAAGTTGGCTTTTAAATTTCATAATTTTTTCGTATACTTACTAAACTAGGATCATATTTCCATTCTCCATCGACATAAAATTTATACTGATGATCACCTTCAGGTAAATCAATAATGGTTACAAAATCTCCATGACTATTAACCATAGGTAATTTTTTCCAATTTGAAAATGATCCACCAATATACACTTGTTTTCCACCACCTTCCCACTTGAACACTGTAGGAAGAACCTTGTTGTCTTTCATTTTTGTACCTTCCGAGACAGTGCTGGACCTTGGTCGTTGAGAGCCTTGGTTATTATCCTATTGGCAAAAACAGTAGTAAATTATTCACCATTTTTAATGTAAAAATAATTGACCATCACTAAATTAAAAAAAAACCTTTTGAAAGTATGGTTCTTCTTCATCATTCGAAGTTTGGAAGACTAGCTTTTGGCTGGGTTTTTGTGCAAAAGTAAAAACCTGTCCATCTTTACCTGGTGAAGGTGGTGGATGGTCTTTGCTCTGGCGATGTGTGTCTTTAGTTATTGCACTACCATGATGATGATTACCTGGTTGATTACTTCCTGCATTTCCCATTTTCACTGATTAAAGTAGATATTCAGTTGGAATAAATTTTCATAAAGAATAAATCGGTTAATTTTATCAAAGTTATTAGCTAGAGAAGCCTTCAAAGCTACTAAACTACGAGGAATATTCCAACAAAGTTCTTTACTAAGTTGATCATGAAAGACACTCCTATTTACCTAAAATAGAATAATATCAATGTTTACATTCACTTGTTTACATTTTGAAAAGTCATTAATAATTCTTACTTGTTTGTACAAAAACTACCAAATAATTTCAAATAAATATTGCACTTGCAATTGCCTTAGCAGTGGCTTCTTTTCCATTTATAATGAAAAATTTATTCATGTTAAAGAATATCAGCTGATTGCGTGATAAAACAACGTCACAGAGACTACTGAAACGTACACGAAATAAAACTTGGAGCATGCGTTTAAAAAATAAATATTTTCGGAACTTGTAGAGTTAGAAATTTAAATACTTTTTAATACTTTAAGGTTAGAAAATTTATTTTACTTAAATTTTCCAGATATTGTTATTATTTTTTATTATTATTATTTTTATTGTTGTTACGTAAATTCTAAGTGTCAATAACAATTAAAATAAGTAAAACAGTCGAGTTTACCGACAGATAATACCAAACACTACATAGCGGCGTTAGTGGGCTGTTTTGACCGAATTCCTAGAATAATTTCAATTCGATTGTTTTCGTCAACTCGAAAACAAAAATCGCATATATCGCTTGATTGGAGTCATTGTAGATGACTTCAAAAATTTGATTATGATGAGGAGAGGGGAGGGGGGTATTGTTATTGGAGCGCGCATAGCGTCATAAACTGTATCTGAAGCGTCTGCCATCAGTTTCTTTTTAGTAGCCGGAGTGTAGTGATGTTAGAGTGGATCGTTTACAGTAATCAAAAGATTGGAGGTTGAAAAATAAATTAACAACGAGTGTTAAATGTTTAAAAATATGAAAAAGTAAATTTCATAACAATTTAAGTGAAATATGCACCAAAAAAATTAGAATATATGAATAAATCAATTTGAGCAATAATAAAAAAAGTTTGAATTTATATATTGATAAAGTGAAACAAGTGATGTTAATTTTTCCTAGAAGTGCCTGTAGAACAAAGAAAGGTTTATGCATCTGTAAAATGATTCATCTGAGTAAAAACAATTTCAGTAAGTTTTTTTTTCTTTTAAGTAATTACGTAGTTAGTTTTTAGAATAATTTTTGAAATTTTAATTTATATTCGATTTGCGTCAGATTGTAACGGTCCAGCAATTCTCGGTAAATGATGGAAGCCGAGTATATTTTCGATGTGTTTATTTTGTCTTTTCGATTTGTGTTGAATTTTTTTTTATCTTGATTTATGAATTTTTTGAAACGCGGGAGTATTTCAGAGAGCCATTTTGGGACGCTTTCCTGCGCAAAAAGTATACGTCGATATATTACCGACATCAACATCTACTGTCGGTATTATTTATGGTCAGCAATAAAAAGTTCCTATAGAAATCTGATTTATCTTTTACCAACAAACACTGTTTTACCCGACTGAAAAAATAGAAATTGACACATTTTTTTTCTCTCGCTTCATTTTCAACTCGATTGAAAAATATTTTCCACAAAAAAATCTAGAAAATTTAATTGAATAAAAAAAAATTTTTTTATTCAAATATTATAAAAATGAACATTTTTATCCAATTATGTTTTATTAGTAAGTTCATATTTAATATAACACAGTATGCATTATATTACTGAATATTTTTTCTATAAAGCATGACTCCTTCATTAAATTTGTATATTCATTCAATGCTAAAAATACAAAAAAAAAAGAATAGAAAAATAAATACTACACACATCCAGTACATTAATAAAATCTATATCCACTCTTTGTATTTTACTTCCAATATATAGCAAGATTTTATGAGTATATGACATCGAATGTCACTTTACCTCCTACTATGTTTCTTTATTGCTATACCTATCCATTTTCTTCTCTCTGCTATATAGTCCATGTGAATTTATTATTTATAAATCTCGGTCGTTTTTTCTTTAGAATTTTCACGATCGATTTGACTTGCGAATATGATATTTAATCCTCTTGGGACGAAATCCGAGAACAAACAAAAATGAGAATTTGCTTTTAGCCAAGCTCTTGACTTTCAATGACCAAGAGATATATTCTGATTTTCTAAAGTGTGTGGATATAATCGAATATACCAGTTGAAGTTGAACGTCAAACATAAAATGTTATCAAGCTTCATAGCTTTCATTTACGCAATATGGGTGACTTTTCGATTATTAAATGTATTAGATATTTAATGACACTGATTAGATTGGTTTAAAAGCTTCTGGAATTATCTTTTTGAGTGGCACATCTGCTTCAATATTTTTTAAATTTAATTTTTTTATTTCAAAGTTAAACCTTTTCATTTATATAAATTGAAGTCTTTATAAAAATTACATTTCTGATTGGTTATTAGTGATATTACTTGGTTATATTAAGAATAAAAAAATGATAATATAATTTGAATCGACGTGATGTGCATGCACTTAATCGATAATCACGAGAGCAAGTGGTTTAACGTTGAAAAAGAGTACGTGCGTAGAGGAAAGTAGTGGATACATCTGTGAAGGTATCATCAATGTGTTACAAAAGACCGATCCATCATCCGCAGACAATTCAAGTTCAAAATTGGCCGGTGTAGACCTCTCAGAGGAGGAGATCCGTTGCGGGCTCAGCACGTGCGATTATAATGGAGATTAAAGTCAGTACAAACAATATATTTCGCGTTATAGAAAACTTAAAAAATTCTTTATCAAAGCCTTCCCTTCCATTTTTCATTTCCAACTAACGGATATCAAAGAAAAGTCAGATAACTAATTCACTTTTGCAAAGACCTCCATTTCTTACTCCAAAAATAATTAATTCAATGCATCAACTTTCTTTTATAATCAATAAATGCAATTAATTTCCACTGAGAATAATTCTACATTAAATTTTTTTAAAGTTAAAAAAAAACAAATTTGAAATTAATGATTAAGTAGTCCATTTATTTATTATTAATTATTTTTGTTTTTCAAAATGTTTAATATTGTTTGAAATATTAAAATAAATAAACAAAATGGCAAACCAAAAAGGATTTCAATACAAATTTTTGGGGGATTAATTTGTTTTTTACCACGACCAGCTGACATTGTCGCAGGATGCAAAATATGTCCTTGGAACATACGACGGAAGGATTACGCGGCCGTCAAAGCGGATGACTGAGCGACGGGTAATCATGACCAAGGGAGGGCTAATATTTCGAATAGTTGGCATTTACAATAGGCTTTATTGGCGAGAAACTGTAGGAGAAGAAGAGCGAGACTGAGAGTTTGAGGAGTGTGGATCGTTGGGATGTATTTTCAGGAGAACGAACATCCATCACGCGGTGTCAACGTGATTGTCTTCGAACGTGGCGATGGGGCGCAAAAGTATTGGCTGGAGTGTAGGAAAAGAGAAGAGCAAACTTCTTTCCCTTCATTCGCTTTTTTTGTTAGACTTTCGTTTGCTCTTAGTAGATGTTGAAAAAATACTACTCAAGCTGCAAAAAGAGATTGTTGGTGGAGGAAAGCTTTTTCAAGAGTTCAGTTGAAATCAGACCAGTATTTTTAAGCATTCGATACATTTTATTCGTTGATGATATTGCTGTGGATAAAGATAGCGATATCTCATACTAGTAAATGTCCCCCTGTTTCTTCTTGTTTGGTTCATCGTCCGCGCGCCATTGTGCCATATTCAAATGAGTTTTCTAATGTGTTTAGTCTAAATGGCTACGCCAGAGTAAACGCGTGGCTTCAGGTCCGGGCGGTCCTCGTTAAAGACGCATTTTCGCTACCCCAACTTGGGAAAAGTGTATTTAAGAAGCTGCCTTCCAACGTTACACCCTTTCATCACGTGTAACGAAACTAGCTTTGCTGCTGGATCACAGCAGGGGTCTTGATTAGAGGGTGATAATTGAAATTTTCATTTTGCGATATTTAGTTCGGATACACATAATTAATATAATTAATATTTCAATCTTTAAAATACTTTTTTTTAAATTATTCACAGTAAAAAGTTCTTCCTTTGTTGGAAAAATAATCACTTAATTAAATTCCTACAAAATATCACAACTAATATTTCTTGGTGGTATTAATTTTATTAAATATGCAAATGACAGCTTTTGTTTTATTATTTTTGTTACTCAAAGTTTTTAGACAATCATATGAAAAAAATTGAACATATGAATCATTTTTGTTGTCAGCTTTAATTAAATTAAATTTATTGATAAAAAGATTTATTTTTTAATTTTGAAATCAAATCCTGAAGAGTTTATAAAACACTTCATATCGTAAAATCGTATTGGAAGAATAAATTAATATTTTTCTTGAAAGAACAATTTTAATTTGTAATATGAATCAATTAAAAAGATTTACAATAGTTGAAATATATTTATTAACTTCAATTATAATATTGATGAAAAAAAAATTATTGGTGAGACTCTTCTTCGAATAATTTAAATTAATCAATCACAATTATTTATTAATTTTTCCTTCATCTTGTTCACCTTCCAGACTAGATCAATTGTTGATCATCAACCTCTACTTCATTTAGTTCTTCATAAACCTTCTCCCAATACGACATTAAAATTCTTTGCCCAAAATGGACTTAAAACATTGTTGTTTGGCCATCACTCGTTTTTGGTTTATTATAATAATGATAAAGGAGGTGGTGTGTTGCGCGTAATCGAGTTGCACCCTCTCTGAGGCTATCTGTTTTATTTATCCGATAACACGCCATTATGGGCATACATAGCGAATGTGGGTGCGTCCATAACGATTGGCTATTTATAATAACACACCGGGGCGCATGGATAATTAGTATCTCGTAAACCGATGTGCTCACTTTATGTATACTAGATGTGTACGGGAATAAGAGAGAAACATAAAACACCAAACTGCAACATGTGCAGCATAATGATTCAAACTACAGAAAAATGGTTTGATGCTGCTGCATACATTGTTCTAGCGTTGTTTATTACATTTGTTGTCTTTCATTATTTTGCTTATTCAAGTTTAACATTAAATTTCTACATTTATATACAAAATATTTAATTCATTGCAATTTTTGTTATTAAGACAAATAATTTTCTACAATTTTAATAATTTAGCAATAAAAATATAATTTATATTAATTAATTGTTTTAAATAATTTAAATTATTTATTTATAAGTTTGTATTTAATGAAAAGGTTTATTTATATAAAGACATAATTGACAACATGTGTTTAAATATTTCCGTGTTTGAAAAAAACTAATAATATATATATTAATTAACGTTAAAAGCCAATTTGTATCAATATTCTGTATATTTTTTGAAACTAATTAGGGGCGTTTTGAAATTCGCTGTCACTCTTTAAATATGACAAGCGACATCGATTCTTGATTGATTACTTTTACTGGCCAGCCTTCTCAACTCGTTCGTTAGACCTTTCTTAAGATCTTCTTAAATATATTCTTGGCTTTTTTGTGATTTATAACTTATTAAAACTATTTTTGTTTATTTTTCCTTATTAAATAGTTGGAAGATTCTTTTTTTTTTTTTTTGGTGATGTGTTTGTAATGATTGATTTCGGAGCAGCTTTAGTTAGATGTATTAATAAATAAGGTTTGGAAATATTTTTTAAATTAAGTGAATATTTATAATGACATGATAATTTAGAAGAAAAAATTAATAATTAATACGAAAGGTTTAATGTAAACAAAATTAACTAGAAAATGTTTATCAAAGTACGTAAGCACAATGATTGTAATTTATTTCGTGCTCCAAAATAGTAACTTGTGAATTTATTAATTAACTGAAGTCATTTGTAACTATAATTAGTTTATTACAACGGCAATCGAATTGAGTATGCTAATTGTTCCTTGGATTCATTAGAAAATTGTGTAAGGTCGAGGGATCAGCTGTTATGGTGCGTATGTGTGTATCATATGAGAGAGACCCTCGCACTAGCCGTGCAAATCTGGGTCACTAGAACGATGAGGGCAGAGATGAGGGGTTGACCGACCGAAAGATAGTCGAACGGTGGCTCCCCTCGGTGCTCTTCACTTCCTTCGTTGGCTCTGGTATAAAACTCGTCTATGACAAGATAATCGTATGGTGTCGTCCCTCACCGCACTTCTTGCCTCATCATATCTGCTTTTGCTCACACCTCACTTGGCCAGTGAGCAGGTGAGAGAACTCATCTGCTTTCAGCTCTCAATCTTCATCAGTTCATATACCTGCCTATTTTTTCATTCTCGAAAAGATTCTCAAGAATTTAGATATCGGTCAGTGACACTTGGATAGATCTGTTGCAAAATAGATAAATAAATAATTGAACGGTGAAGTGTATAAAAATAATTTGGAGCATATTTTGAAACGAATTAAAAGTTAAAAATGGTGTGTAGTCAAGATATTGGAGTATCGCAAAAGCTGAGGTTTGGGTGGAGAAGAAACTCAAGAGCGACGAGAGTAAGGAGAAAAGTTGTAGTAAAAAAGGGGTGGTTGAGGAAGGGTGGAATTGGTCGGGGGGGAATATAATCCACGTAAGAAATAAGTGCGCTCGTGTAATGCTGATGGCGAATAGTACAGTACGACAGGATCTATACGTTGGTATAAGAGTTGAAGGAAGTGAGAGGAGAAAGCTAGGTGGGTTGCGATCGATTCTTCACAGCGACATTCTTCGGTGGCGCTCAACGAAGCAGAGAAACAGAGTTGAACGCGAGGAGGACAATGGAAGGGAAGAAGCTGGGGGTATAGAGGAAAGAGAAGTTGAGAGGAAAAAGAAGAAACCCCCCCTCCCCCGAGGTCGCGGCGCCGGTTCGCTCATTCGGAGTCGCCGTACTGTGTCGCGGATGTGTTACTGCTTCACGTCCACGTGTGAGTATGCGTCGGTGGTGGATTTACCTGGTGGTAGGGATGATCAGTAGTTTTGCCACTGTCTAGAGGAAGGAACAGCGGGCGTGTCATGACGACTCCTTCCAGCCAATGACGCAACTTGGCGGCCTGCGCGATCGACCAACCGACTGGTAGTTGGAGAGACTTTCACGCCCATCCTCCCCGTTCGTGGAGCTTCTACTGATGTTTTTATTTATTACATCTGTGACTGGGTAGGGAAATACTCCCAACTCAACCGACAGAGCGTTTGCCACTTTGAGAACGAGCAACGCGCGTTCCTGCTCTACAGTCGTCGTGATCGTAGTTGTTACTTTTACTCCGTTTGCTGTTCTCGCACGAGACGTTTCCGTGATTTCGAGTGTCGCGTTGTTGTCTGTCATTTTAATTACTTGACTGGTCTATTTAATCGGGTTAACAATAAATATCTTGAAGTGAATTTCATCATGAACTGTCAGTGGAGGATGTTATCCTGAGTGTCAGGACCCATTGACCATGGACAATTCGCGAGGCTGTGCTAATAAGTGATTTTGAATTCAACTTTCTAGCGTAGTGACAGTGAGACACTAACTCGATTTCTTATTAGTGTAGTGTGTATATCAAGTTTTGCAAGCCTATTTGGCGTGCTATCAGGCCCCAGGAGCAGAAGCTATCAGCTCCTGTGAAGCCTCGGGCCTATTGGTTTAAATAAGGTTCAAGTGTATTTTCATCATAATCAAACGTTCCTACAAGTTGTCTTGTGACAAGTTGACATAGCGTATGGACCACGGAGCAATGGATAGTTCGTCTGAGCATAGTAGCCGTGCTAGTCCAGTTACAGGGAGCCCAAAGCATCCCCATAGCCCGTCGGCTCAACATATACCATCACAGCAGCATCTTAGCTCTCAACATCAACCACCACCGTCGCACCAATCACATCCTCGTGATCAATTACGTGAACATCATCGTGGTGTTCCAACTCCAGTATCACCAACGCGAGGTTCACCACCTCAAGTTCAACCTCTAAGTCCTCCACCTTTGTCAGCTGGTGGAGGTCCAGGTGGTCTTCCTGGTATGGTACCAAGAATGCCAGGTCTTCCACCGCCAGAGCTACGTCTTCTTGGCCAGCTTGGTGGAATGCTCAGTGGTCATCATGGCTCCCCACTTGAATTTATGGCTGCACATCATGGTGTCTTACCACCCAGATCATACAACAGTCCACCACCCATCAGTTCCAGCGATCCCACAGCTAATGAGTGCAAATTGGTTGATTATCGTGGTCAGAAAGTCGCAGCATTCATCATTGCTGGAGATACGATGCTCTGTTTGCCTCAGGCATTTGAATTATTCCTTAAACACTTGGTGGGTGGTCTTCATACTGTTTATACCAAACTTAAAAGACTCGATATTGTTCCACTCGTGTGCAACGTCGAGCAAGTCAGGATTCTTCGTGGTCTTGGAGCTATTCAGCCTGGAGTTAATCGATGCAAGTTACTCAGCTGCAAGGACTTTGATGTCCTCTACAGGGACTGCACCACCGCCAGGTTAGTTAAGTGTTACTACACTCAGAAATATAATCAAGTTCGTACGAATTATATTCAAAGCCAATCAATCAGTCTGAAAGAGTGTGGGCTTGTTGAAAGTATAGAAGTGATTACATTGCTCGATCAAACTGAACGATAAGAGACTTCCGATAGCCTCCAGGCTATTTCTTCTTTCATACTTGCACACTTGTTGTGTTATATATTCCACTCATGGTGTGCGTATCTTGTTCTTTCGCGCTTGAGCTCGCTCGTGCCTCTTCGACAAAACGGAAGCTTGAATCTTCACGTACATTAATAATATCATGTCCCCTCTGGGCAACGCTTCATCTTTGCCCACTGCCCACTACCACAGAAGCCAGATAATCCTTTAATTATGACTTCTCAATTTTTCTAAGCCTTTATCACCACCTTTGTACTTGTTCACTGAGATATTGAGTCATTTATTTTTTTACTAATCACTCACCTCATTCATTCTTTCAACAGCTAACACTACTGTACAGTCTTCAAGATTTATTTCTTCAGTCTGCTCTTCTTATTGTACATTTCCTATCCCATCAAGTCTCTTTCTTCTACCAATTGTTCTAAAAAAAGCTCTTCATTCTTTTCTTTTAACTTCAATCGATTTTTTTTATCATTCACTTGATGTTGAATTCACATAAAACAGTGATATTCATTTTCCACCAATTTGTTAGGGATCAATGGCATGAGATTATTTCCATTATTTATTTTTTTTTGTGAAGATTAATTGAGGTTTTGTCATCTAGAGTGTTTGAGTATTTCAAGCTTTCAATTGACAAGGGAAATACTAGAATTTGTTGGTGGTTTGATTTAAATTATGGTTGAGGATTTCGACTCGAATATATCCGGCGTCAACAGGTGTCCCTTTCACGGCTGTTTCTCCGAATGAATCGTCCCCAAACAACGTTGAGAGGCAGTGTACTCTATACCCATCACAAGCTTACCCCACCCACAAGTAGACGGCAGACGAAATGGAATGGTAAACGAAACGAGGGGATCCCCAAGCTCACTGAGAAAATGTTGTCACTTTACAGCTTTTCCACTTTTGTTTTTTTCACGATTTTTTATTATCAAAATGGTAACGTCATTTCGCGAGTGTCAAAAATCATTTCAGAAGATTTGAAAAATTATTGATGAAGAATAGGATTTTAAGTCCTTTTGAAGGAAATTGAGTTATCAGTTAGTTTAAGAGTCTTGAACTTATCTCGTTTGTATGACAACACTTTGTCAGTTGGCAATAAGAGAAGCACACAACGGAAACGGATTCTGGGTGACAAAACGTAGGGAGAGCAAGCAAGAGAGAAATTGAGAAAGAGAAAAGTGACGTAGGGTTAGGGATCAGAATAATCCAGTGTCGCAATCGCTGAACAGAACTTCGTGAGCCGTCGGCTCGTGCAGGTTCTTTCTGCTTACTATGTTACTTCTATCGACACACTTAACTTTCATTCCTTTCTCATTTCTTCTACTTTCAAACAAGATAGATAAATTAAGTTTTAGTTTATATATCTTTATATTTCTCGTTGGCTTTAATTTATCTCTATAATTATGTCAGTGATTTTTTTCTATCGACAATTCATGTGGAGAAAATGAATGAGAAACCGTACTAAATGATGCAGAAATGAGTTGTAGAGTGTGTTCGAACTACTTGGCTGTCCGTTTTTATGTAACATTCAATACCACCCACATTGTAATGATCTTCTGCTATTTTCTATCTCAATTTCGTTGTGAAGCTTAAGCTAATTATATAAATTATAATAAATTATAATAATAATGAGAAAGATTTTTCTTTGTATACATGATTTTAAATTTTTTATCAACTTCTTTTTCTCTTGTTGAAAAGTAGTAAAATAAATGTTCCTTCATCATAAATTTGTTTTCTTCCTCAAAAAAACATTTTTTAGTCTGAATTTTTGGAGTAAAATTTTTTTTTTAGTGCAATTAATTTATAACAAAATATTTATTAATAAATTTAGTGTTGAAATTAAATACATTTTATGTAAAAAAATGTAAATCAATACAAGTAGTAGTAGTAGTATTTATGAATTATTGTTATCATGAAATAGTTTAGGAGTTAGTCATTCCATTCATTAATTGCTGTCAGTAACAAAACAATAATGAAAGTATTTAAATAATAATATAACACATTATATAATCATGATAATAAACTTTGTAAATGAAAAGAGAATATTTAATGATTATGATTATATATTATATAAAATTATCAATTACTATTAGCTGTCAATTTTTGTGATTTTTATGTATTATTAATTAATTACATTCCTATGAAGTTTTAATAGTTATCTTATCAACTTTTTGTGTTAAGAGTTATACATTGCAAGTTGGAATTTTTTTGTAAAGTGATTAAAGGTTAATTTCCAGATTTAAAATATCTTTAGGTTATGAACAAAGTATTTATTGGAATACGTCATGATGCTATTTTATTTTATAAATTTTTTATTAGAATGTTAGATTGCATGCATGATAAAACATTATTGATTGACAAGACTAATTAGTGTGTGAACTTAAATGAACACAAGTTTAGAATTATTATTCTATCAGAGATAGTATTCTGCTGTGTATTGAACCGAATCATTATTTTCAATTAGAATGAGAAAAAAAAATTTTTTTATGATCAAACAATCGATACTTGTTTTAAATAACAAGGACAATTATTATTATCCATTATTATTTACGGAATTTATTCATTTTTTTTTTCAATTGAGTTTAAATATTGAAATTCAATAAAATGGGTTCAGGTTAAAATTTTTTATCGAATTGAAACAATACTGTTTAATAAATATATTCATCTAGTATAACAATTTTGTGTTTTAAAAATAATTAACAATGTATTCTAACAAATAATTCTGGTATTTTATATTTAAAAAAAATGTGAAATCAAATAATTTAACGTACAAAAAAGCTGCTTACAATTATTTTAAAAAAATGTATAAATTTATAAATACGTAAAAGAACTTTCAACAGAATAAAATTTTTAAAAAATGGATCAGTGACTCAGTGAAATATTTTTTATGCTTCAAAAATAGTGTGGTTTAGTTTGAAAAAAAATCCTAATATCAAAGTTGATAATAAAGTATAGATTTCTTCAAAAACAAATGTTTGTGTTGGCGTGTAAACTTGAAGAAAGAGTTTTCATGATGAAAGCATTGAATTACATTAGAATAAAGTTTCGAGTTGATATAGAGAAGAAAAAGAAGACATGAAGGTTGAGTCTTATGTAGGAGATAAGATCCACACGGTTGCATACTCTCAGTGTGAAATCTGTGAGCGATCGTATCACAGAAATAATAGCGCGTATGTGAGCTGAGTGTTTATTATTTGAGTTTAAGAGAGTAGCTAAAATAGACTGTGTGATGATATGCACAGGCGGGGGTGTAATAGTCATACGGAAATAATAATGCGGTATCTTTTGTCTGTGATGCGAGTTAACGAGTCTAGTCAATTATATTAATTAATTTGCCTAACCAAGTTAAATGAACAATAAAGCCCGTGCGCGAGGATAATTGGCATACTTTGATCAGACTACGAGCGAAAGACAAAAGGAGTAATAAAGGGAGAGGAATAAAAAATGCCGAGTCTTACGTCCTGATTCTTTTAGGACGCGAACTTGTTCTTTATGAGCTCACACATTCACATTTATTTCTTTTTTCCACACACTAGTGTTATCTCAATACGTGGGAGTGTGCAAGTCCCTGGCTTGTAATTCTATGCGCTATTAGCCGTTTAATTATAAAATTGTGCATAGATTAATTGGCTGCTGTAATGGGCCCAACAATGCGCAGACATACCTAGTGAATGCTGGAAGAGGGATAGAATGAAATAAATTCATACACTAGAGTGTTATTAATATTTATTTCTTGACTTCTTATTGAATTTTTTTTATCATTGTGTCTTTTTCTTTTTTCTCTTCTCATCTATCTCCTACCTCTGTATGTGCTCTCTTCTCGTTTATTCATGTAATCTATTTACGTACACCAGACTAAACTCTATGTATATATGCATTAAAGCTGCACCAGATGAGTCTGACAATGAGCTACAAATATATATATCTAAGAATGTATGAAAATTCAACATTGATAATAGCATGTGAACGCTTTTAAAACACTCAAGAAGTCGTTCCCGCTTTCGCCATTGGCCGTGACCGCGATCGTAAGGAAATAAGAAGTGAATATGCATCCGGTGCATTCCGATAAATCAACTACACACTCGAGTTACGCTTAATAAAAATTTGCACATGTAGAATAATTATTTTCTTCATTCTAATTTTTTCGCTACTATCACTAGAATTAACTAAATGAGAAGTGTGTAACGCTCTGAAAATTTTTATCTCATCGTTTAAATCTTTTTAAGAATGAAGAAAAAATATAAGAGAATGAAATTGTTTTTTGTGATTATCTCAGATTAAATCATGGCTGCTGTGATTAGCTATTCTTTTATTAAATTATTGGTCAGTAAGTCATAGTACATAAAATGTTAAATATAAACCAATGTTTTTATCTGTTCATCTAAAAAAAATTTTTTTTTAAACAGTTGTTAAATATTAATTAATAATAAATTAATTCTATTAATGTTATGCAACTATTTGTATTCAGTGAATAAAATTGAATAATGTTGATTTTATTTTGCAATTTAATTTACTGAAGAAGAACTTAAGGTATATTTGATCAACTTGGGATAAAAATAAAAACGTGGAAAAATTCATAATTATTTAATAAATCATTTTACTTCATAATTTTAAAACATTCTTCATCACTCCATTAATTTTTTTAAATCTAAATTCAATAATAAATATCTTCAAAATAACTCATAAATATTTACTCCAAAAAATATTAAATGAATTAAAAATCCATGTTTTAGAGCAAAAATAAATCTTATCAGAAATGATTGATTACATTTTCCTAAAATAACACTTCAATTCAATATTTCTATTATTGCAAAAAATTAAACTGACTGTAAAAATCAAA